CCTACCAAGTCTGACATCATACTCAGCATCCCTGTATACCCAATCCTCCAACCCCTTTCCGAATCCCGAGGCGGGAAGTGACCATGGAAGAACACCCTGTGTCGCCCTAAACCCCTGCAACAACCTTCAACTGCAAACCCTCACGACGATTCCTATTCCACTCGCCGTATTGTGCTGCTCGGCATGCTCTCAATGGTCTCCCTCGCTAACGCAACAGCGATGTTGTGTCAATCTTCTGGATCGCAACATTCGTCGACATAGTTGGTGCTTTCGCAATTGGTCTCTGTCATTGCTCGGCGAGCTACATTGACGGATCAGTCGAGATGAAAAGGTGCTGACACACAAATCAAGGCTTGGCTTCGCTCTTGGCTTGTGCTTCGCTTTGCACCGATCGGTGCCAAAGCTCGCACATTCGAAGCACAAACCTCGAACAACAGAATTATCCTGACAGCGCCTAGCAGTGTTACTGCTGGAAGTCCCCGTTTTCAACGGCACAGGGGACAGCCGTGAACCCCATACCCTCGAGCTAACTCTGCTAGAACCCCTTCGCCTGCTGCAGTGCTGCGGCACCTAGGTTGCTCTTGTTGTTGTTGCTGCCGTTGTTGGTGATGTTGTAGTTTAGGGTCGAAGGCGAGGGTATGTTGTTTATATTGCTGCTGGAACTGAGAGCTGGCTTTCGGCTACGTTGTCATGCTATGGTGGGATGTTGGAGAAGATATCTTGGGATCAGAATTCTGGGCGGAGTGTTGGGTTGAGATCTTGAGCTGAGATGCCTGGGGTGCGGCTATACACCGGAAAAGACTGAAGCCTTGAAAAGCCCTATGTTACTTGGAGGTTCGTGGGTAGTTATAAGGGTCCCTTTAGAAGGAATCTATATATATATATATATATATATATATATATATATAGGGATTCTATAAGGGTATAAGGTTTAGGTTTAGGGGTCTGCTTGATTGTTCATGGGCCCCTAATAGGAGATACAACTATAGTTACCCTACTTCTAGACTTCTAATTACCCATGAACCTGCAAGCAGAATCCTAAACACTATACCCTTCTAGAACCCCTATAGATCCCTTTAAAGGGACCCTTAAAGGAACCCTAGGGCCTTTAGTAAGCCGCCGAGAGGCCAAGCGCAAAACAGCGCGAGCCCAAAGGAGTCGCCAAAGCGCCAAAGCTGAGCCCCAAGAAGCGCCGGCAGAAGTTGGAATCCCAGGTAGGGTTTAGGGCTCAGGGCTTAGGGTTTAGGGCTTAGGGCTTAGGGTTCAGGGCTTTGGGTTTAGGGTTTATAGGGGTAGGGCTTAGGGTGTGGGGTTTAGAGTTTGATGTTTAGGGCTCAGAGTTTAGGGCTTAAAGGTTTGGGGTTGAGGGTTGGGCTTTTTTTTTTCAAGGTGCAATGGCTCTTTCTTTAAGGCTTAGGGTTTAGGGCTTAGGGCTTTGGGGTTTGGGGTTTGCTGTTTTAGAGCTTAGGGTTTAGGGCTCAGGGGTTTGGGGTTTAGGGTTTGATGCTTTAGGGCTTAGGGTTTAGGGGTCAGGGGTTTGGGGTTTAGGGTCTGATGCTTTAGGGCTTAGGGGTTAGGGCTTAGGGGTTAGGGTTCAGAGGTTTAGGGTTTATAAACAGGGTTAGGGGATTTCGGTTTAGGGATTGAGGGCCACCAGGAACACCAAAAACTCCGGTGGAGAAGGATCCAAGAGCAGCGTTCAGGGTCTGTAGTCTATAGGGCTTCGACTGTATAGTGGTTTGATTGTAGTGTTTTCATTTGTATAAGGCCAAAACAAAAGGAGGCCCTTGGCTTGGAGTTTAGCCTTCCGCCTGAGGGTTACGACATGTTGCGCAGTCACACAGGTTCCTCCCGCACCGCGTCTTGCATCACAAACCGCTCCTCCGGCCTGGCATTTGAGCGCACCCTCGCCTTTCTCGGCCAACAGAGGACCCCTGCGCACAGCTCCTGAATTTAAGCTTGCAAGGATCCGTGTCCATAGGCCCTCGAGGGTCTTCACGCACATCCCTTTCGCCAGATCCATGCCCGTACCGTGATAACGACCCTGCAGTCCAACCTCATCCCTTCCCGCAGAGCATCCATGCCCGAACCGTGAGAACGCAGAGCTTCAATGCCCGTACCGTGATAATACGCGTCTTGACACTTTATGTTGGATGGGCTTTTGGAAAGAAGGCCCAACATAAAGGGGTTCCACTCATGGGCAGACACACTGTCGTACTGAATTGCTCAGTAGTTTCAGCTTTCATTATGAACAATGTCATACAGCTTGGATAGATGTCCGGGAGCAGCGGGGTTTAGGGTTTAGACTCATGGAAAGACTGTCGTAAAGGGTTTTCTATTCACCGGTTGTATACAGTGTATAAGCTGCTCACACGGACTTGCATAGCTTTTGGAGAGCACCAGCATAAACGTAACCTTGACTTGTGGAAATCTACCCAACTGCTAGGCTTTGGGGTTGAGTGTTTAGGGTTTAATACAGGGGCCTTAATTTTTTAGAATTCAGTTTTGTGGTCCCTTATACTATAGTTGTTTCTATAATAGGAGACCCCAAAATAATTTTGGTAACTATTGAGGCCCCTAGAGTAGGTTCAGAGTTTGGGGCGTACCCTTCGGCACTGTGGAGCTTTTCTCGCAGACGCTGGTTGCCTTCGTGAGAAGAATGCTTTTGCACGCTCCTGCTCTATATAGTATAGTATATAAACTACATCAGAGGAAACCTTAAGCCCCACAGCTGCAAGACTCTGCAACTTGAACACCACGATCCCATGGCCCGGAATCCACAACCACCCACCATGAACGCCAGAAGCGCAAAGACAAGGCTACGTAGCCAGCCCTCAGGGTTCAAGTATCCTGTCCTGCCTGCTCCGGCCGGACCCCCAAGGGCCCTTTAATAGAGCCCTTATGGCCCTTAATAGTGAGTGTTTGGGGAATATTAGAGGGTAGTTGAATGGTCTACAGGGTATAGAGTCTACAGTAGAGTTTAAAGCTTAGGATTTCGGAACTTGGTTCAGGACCTCTTGAACATTCGATATACAGGGTGTGGGGTCTGTTCAAGAATGAGGAGTTCCATAAACTGAAATCCCATAGGATTGCTCCAAAGATGCCCCTGTAGTCAAAAGATGCTATCGAAGTCAGAGAACTACCCTGGCTGAAGCCCACAAGCACAACAAGACAGTGTACCAGGGTTGCCTGGGGTTTAGGGCTTAGGTTGTGTATGGTGACTACTCGGACCGCTGAGGCTGCCTCCAGCACGGAGAACTACGAAAATTCTGCATGCACCTTGGGGCGACGTTTCGAAGCCCTGGCGCGTGGCCAAATTCAGAGATGGCCCACCAGCCGCACCTGTCTGCTTGAAGAACCTATGGGGACAAGGTCTGCGCATCCTAAACCTGAAGGAGACGAAAGCATTGGGGAACAACGTTTGCGGTTGTGTGTGCACATTGGGGTTCTTCTCAAAGAAACTTACCCAAGCAAGCAACCAAAACAACAACGATATTGTTCACGGTTAACAAACCGCTCGTCTGCATGGATACTTAAACAAGTTGAGTACAACCTTCGCCTGGTCTTGGTATCAATTGGAGGGATTTTACCAAGATTCACTGGATACAAGTATGGTTGCCTTACTTTCAACCGTACTGAATGTTTCCACTGATCCTCTAAAGAGGATGGCGCAGTCTAAAATACCAGTCCTACTCAACAGGTTCCATTTGCATTACGGGAATTATTGCTGCTAAGACTTGCGTCAGACCTCAGTTTAGGAGTAATGCAGACCTGTAGACTTCCAACCCACCAAAAAATGTACTTAGTTGGCTAGCTTTCTACATCAAAGGCCCACGTATCAGGGTTTGGAGCTTAGACTCCCGAACAACTTTACCCTGATGTCTATATGATACAGCTAGGAACGCAACTCTCCACTGATTATGCGAGAGGGGTCATGCGATGGTTGGTGTGGGTCCGGATTTCTCCTTCAACCATTAACCCGCTGCTGCACAGCGTGGGCTCTTTCGCCTCTCCCGAAGTTGATGGACGAGAAAAGGTGGCAAGGTTTGTCCCAAAGAGTCCTAGGTACTGTTATGGAGGACACGGTCTCAAATCAGAATAGTAATTCCCAATACAGAAACCCTACATTCTCTTATATAGGTACTTGAAGCCATTTGGGTGTATGCACACAGCAAGGTGCAGAAACTCGGGACTCTGCACTATGGCTGGTCACGTGCGGCCATGGTCGTGACTTCATGCCGTCAATATAAAAGCAGACACAAGCCCTGTATAGAAAATGTCCATATTCTCGAGAACTGTGACGACGATAACATGTCATGTGCATGTGTATATGTACACACATGTACACACATAAGCCTGCATAACAAATATTTTGAACTCAACAAAACCCCTGTAGAAAATCGACAGCGCACATATATCCTGTGCAGCCCCTATGACAAACGCCTGAGGCCTATCAAAGCCCATGCGAACCCTGTACAACTTCTATACAAGAATGACTTAAACATTGTCGTTTATACGTTCATGAACCTTACACCCCTGATTGAAGCCCTGAAGCTTTATAGTCTTGTTCAAAAGCAACCCCCGTCCCGAAGAAACTTTTGAAAGTATAAAACCCTCAGACCTCAACACTTAACCTTAATCTAGCGGCCTCCACAGGTACAATAGCGCGCTGGGATATGATATAGTTACCTATAACAGTATATATCTACATACACTACTTAGATTGAGAGTTGAGAAGCCCTATAGGGAATACATATTGGTAACTATTCAAGCCCCTGCCCTAAACCCCAAACCTGATAACCCTCATCCCTAGGAGGCCTAGTTAGGTAGGATGAAGGATCCCTTACATAAGGACTCTTAACTATGTTGGGAGTTCCCCCACCTGCCTTCATCCCACCCTTGGAGTTTGAGACCCAGCTGCCACCCGAAACCCTAAAACCTAAATCCTAAACCTTAAATTAAACCCTAAACCCTATAGACCCTAAACCCTAAACCCCACCTCACAGTCGGGAGCGTGGCGCCGGGACGGAGAGCTTGGCTTGGCGCGCGAGGAAGCCTGGGTTTCAGGGTTTAGGGTTCCGGGTTTCAGGTTTTCTTCGGGTTTTTGACGGGTGCTCAGGCTTTGTGGGGCTGTATAGGATCTGATTATGAGGTGTGTTATTACGGGTTTTATGGAGTGTTTCAGAGTGCTGCAAAACCCTCGGAGATTTCTGTCGTTTCTTCGGCGTTCGGTTCTCGAGATGGATGTCTTTGGTGGGGAGTCTTGGGGTTTGGGGTTTGGGATAAATCAGCGGGCGGCTCCATCTGCAAAGTTCTGTCATGGGTTTCGAGACGGGTGCGATAAGGTCTCCAGGATAGTTCTCTCGGGTTTGAGTCTGGGTTTTTTCAGGGTTCCATGGCGGCTTTCGAGCTTTCAACCGGGCCTACGGCTTCTAGAGCTCAGGGTTTCGTGTGGGGCTTCGGAACGCGATCTTCCCATTTCAGAGGACTGAAGGATCTCGGGCTTAAGGGATGTTCAAGGGCTAGGGCTCAAGGGCCTGAAAGGGTTGCAGGTAGTTTAGGGGTACCTTATGTAGGGCTTTCAAAAATGGAAGCGAGGAACCTGGTAAGAAACCTGAGGCCGATGTTTGGGGGCCTTAAGCAAGGAGTAAAACGGCCACTTGAGGCTTCAACTTTTAAACCCGGCTTCATGCCTGTGACATTTTGGTGCCTCAAATTAAATTAAAGCCCAAAGGGTCCTAAGCACCTATATTGTGGAACGTACGGTTTCTACAGTAGGAACTACCTCAATGATATGGGGATGCCCTGAACCCTATTTTACCCCTACAAGACCACCATAATACACCTGGGAACCAGAAAAAAACGCCTTCAAAGCCCTGTAGCAGCTTTGAAACTAAACCCTCAGCGTAAACAACAACGGAAGCCCTTTGGAGGATTATGGCACTTAGTAAGTACCCAAAAGGTCCTAGGTCCTAAGTACCTAGGATGTTTATAGTAGAGTTACTATTAATTATGGTTTCGTATCCCCCATAACACTACCTGGGACCCTTTTGGGGTAAGTTACCGATACCGTTTATGGGTTTGCAGTTTACATGTAGCTCTAAGTATAGCTGCCGTCTGCATTTTTCCAGTTACTAAGTCCCATGATTTTTCGAACCCCTATACCCTTATGAAGCCCTTGTAAAACCCGTTAATACTATCTGTCCCATGATCCAGTAAGTAGACCCTCAACCATTTAGAACCTATACAGATCCCTGAATAAGAACGCATGAAGGAGTCCTTGAGGGAACCCTGTGACCCTAGTTACTGTACCCATAACCCTAGTTGCTATACCAACGACCCTAAACCCCAAACCCTAAACCTCTACACCTACCCCAAAACCCCTTCAACCTACCCCTAAACCCCTTAACCCTGAACCCAAGGAAGTCCCTTGGCCATGCCGCGCGTGGCGATGCTGTCGGCCCAGGAGGCACCGAAGATCTGCGGGCCGAAAGCGCCCCAGCCGGCCTAAGAGGCTCGTCGGATTTCGGGTTTCAGGGTTTAGGGGTTTAGGGTTTAAGTGTTTGGGGTTTAGGGTTTTGGGGTTTAGGGGTTTATCTAGTGACGTGGCACTGGCTTTTCACATCCGCTAAACTCCCTCCTTGTCACAGCCCCACCTTTATCTACCGCCAAGCTTGGAGTAGCCTAGCGAGGTTGCCAACGTGCAAGACACTCCTGGAAGCACACTCCTACTCCATTTTCTCACAGACTTGAGTTCATGCGGAGATGTTGCTGAGCGAGTTGCATAGGGCCGCCCAAAAAGAAGGGGTTTAGGGGTCCAGGTTTCGGATTTAGTTAGGGGCTGAGGGTTGAGGGGTTTAGGGTTTAGGGAGTTTGGGATTTAGGGCTTTGGGGTTTAGGGTTTATACGGTTCAGGATGTAGGGCTTAGGGCTCAGGATTTAGAAGCTTAGGATCTAGGGCTTAGGGTTCTTGATGCTGAATTTCAAACTAATTCGGGTTACCCACAAGGCTAGCTTCTTGGGGTTCGTGGGGCTCAGGGTTGAGGGTTCGAATGTTGTGAGGGTTCTTCGCGTTCCTCTGGCATTGCCAGAAGAGCTTAGGGTTTTGGTTAAGATCGCTTGGGGCTGCTCTAGGCGTTCTATCAAGCCCCGGATACAAACAAAAATGCCCCTATATAGGGACTACTTGAAGGCCAAAGTATAGCAAATGAGGAATATACCCGGATTTCGGGTCTAGCTACACCGGGGTTTCGGGTTCGGCTAAACCCGAATCTACGGTTCAATTAACCCGAGTTCAAACTGACCTTGAATCTTAACTAAACCCGAATTCAATCTAAACCCGTATTATGGGGTTCAGCTGTTTTTTGTACCCGAACTCACGGTTTGGCTAAACTCGAAGTTGGGGATTGGCTCAACGAACCGCTGGATGCCAACATACATACGAGTCCTCATTGGCCTGGCTTCATTCGAAGTTGCCACAACTTACCTTTGGTTAGTAGGGAATGGAGGAATGAGGTACAACAATGACTATAACTACTATGACTACCACTTTTCCATTCACTACTAACCAAAGGTAAGACAAATCACCAGCCTGGCCTTTTCTTGAAGAACTCAGGAGAAGCGGCCGAGATGGCTCTCGAGGTCAACTTCACGTCAGCATCACTGGTGTTGACGTAATTAGGCCTTCCATCCCTGTCGAAACACAAGTTGGACGCCCGGAGCCTTCTGGTTCACCATGTCGCACTGAGCCAGGACGCCAAAAGACATGAGATCTGCTTCAGGTTGGAGCTTGTCATGCAGTCCACCCGCCGCTCCAGTGCCCAGATGTTCCTAGGATGCTTGTGATGACCTGACACGCAGCCTTGTGCACAGTGGTCCCCGAGCCATCTCCACTGCCATGTCCAGTTTTCCGCTTCGTCGGTGAGCTTAGTTCCTCTACGTTTAGGGGTCTTCTAGGTTGACGGTTATCTCTAGGGTTTTAGGGCCTCTTCACTGAGGTCTGGGGTCAATATTGCTTCTTCGGACCCGTGTATAAGGGACCCTGAAAATGACATAAGCATGTGCATTTTACATAGATATATCCCTAACCTCGTGGGCTTCGTTATAAGGGGATTTAGGGTTTAGGGTCTGGATATCCTTATTCTAGTTGTTGCTTGCGTGCTTGCTTTGGGCCCTATGCATTTGGGTATTCGGGGCACATCTGTTGCTGTCCAGACGCCCAACCCAAGTGGCCTCCACCTGCATTCAACAAGGGACACATGGTCATGTTGTCATACAGGGGCCTTCAAAGTCGACAAAGGAAGCAACAGGTATGCGAAGGGCTCTTGTGGCTGGGGGGCATACCACATATTGAACTAGGAGTTTGGTGTATATTCAAGTATCATTGTACGGGCTATCAGATGCTATAAGCATAACTGCTGACTAAGTATGTCTTCTGGCCATCCGATGAACCACACAGGACTTCGAAATCTCGGGTTTGAGTTGAGAGTTCAACAAACTTCCACCCATCCAGCACCCTAATTCCAAGCTTTGAATACTCGGGCGAAGCACCCTCTTAGCCCACACCATACCCATGCGTCCAAACACCTGACAAACCAAGGCTCTGTAAGAATCTTGGGCCCTGCACATAAATTCCTAACCCCGTATAGGCTTGTGGCTATAACTGGCAGACTGCCACAGAGGTCTTCTGATGTGGCATTTGCGCTATGATAAAGCACACTCGTGAGGGGAGGGGCAAGTCTACATAAATCCTGTTATATCAACACGGACTCTAAGACTCTAAGACCCACAATAACTATGCAATGCCAACTGCACTTAGCCCCCAACCCCTGCCGGCAACCAACCTTTAAGCCTATGAGCATTGGACTACGTAGACCGCACTAACCCTAAACCTGAACCTTGCAGTATGTACCAACCAGTCAATACCGCGATCTCAAGCCCCAAACCCAAAGCCCTTAGCTCCTGAACTTGACGAAGCGTAAACTGCCGAAGCCACCAAGCCGTTGCTCTCGCCGTGAAACGCCACTGAAAGGGAAACGAAGCTTCCCCCCCATGCCTTCTGTTTCCGCAAGGACCAACCGGGAGTTCTGGGCGATCGTCTCGCGCGGCACCGGGGACATCAACGGGTCCTTCGTCGGGGTACGTCGGTAGCGAACATGTAGGGTTGAAGGGTATAGTCTAAGAAACGTTAAGAAACATCACCAGGGATTTGATTTAGGCGGATAAATGTTTTCAGGCGTTGGGGTTCACGGCTTCTAGGGTCTCAAGTCTACAAGCGCTCACTCTCTCGCATTTTCATCAATCCATGGATATACGACCATACTCCCTGATTCCGAAAAACAACGCCCTCCTTAGATTGCAGCATGCCGTAGCGCCGAAACCCTAGATCAGAGATTCGTAAAAGCCGCGTTGATCTCCTTCGGAGCTAGAAAGGACCAAAAAAAGCCTGTGCTAGAGCGTGCAGTCCCTTACAAATATCCAGTAATTCCTCGAGCCCTTCTCGTAAAGGGCTTAGGGTGTAGGGTCCCGAAGCCGTAATAAACATCTCGGAGAGAATACCCTATGAAGACTCGCATGGCACATAGAAACCCTCAAAGGCTCCAAGAGCTTCTGATCAACAGCCTGAACCCCAAATGCAAGCCGAACCCCTGAAAGCCCCAAAGACACAAAGCCCAACCCCGAAACATAGACCCCTAGAGACACTACCATTGCAGGGCTCCTTCTCAGAACTTGTTGATATGAGCCCTTAAAAACGGTGGGTTAAATGGGTACGTAAAGCTTGAACTTCCGAAGCCATCAGGCTCAAAAGTGCCAAGACATGTGTATATGTTTCCACACATTATATATATATATATATGTATATATTATGTGTATGTATCTATATCCGATCAAACAAGAAGAAGATTGTGTTGTATCGAGGGACTGAAGCATAGAGGGACTATGTATTCCTAGATATTGTTCACGGACATCTGCGGTCAGACATCTAGATTCGATCCTAATTCCCAGGAGGCGCATGTGTGCGGAGTAACACTGTTTGTGAGACACTGACTATGACAAAGAGCTAGCCTTAGCCGAAACACGAGTTCTCGGACCGTGTGGACCTGTAGAACCCCCGCAAAAGCCGAACACGTCCATTAGACCCCTTACTGAAACCACGTAAAAAAAAGCTGTAAACACACCATAAACAATCACACACGACGGCTTCAAACCCTGTTAAGGCCCCCAAACTCATCGTAGGCCTACTCTGGCCCCAAAGCCCTAAAGCCCTCAAGCCCTAAACCCGAAACCGAAAACCCAAAGCCTTCTTAATACTATAGGGGCCTAAATAATTAGAACAAGATTTTGGGGCTCACTATACTACAGCCAGATAAGGAACCCCCAAAAATTAAAACAAAAATGTTGGTGATTATTTGGGCCCCATAATTACCCCTTAAATCCTTTACAGATCCCTTATAGTATCCCTTAAAGGACCCTTCAAAGGAATCCTAGCCTTTTTTGATAGTTCCACCAGGGCACATCTTTGGCGCCTAGGATGAGGACTGGGCACTTGATCCGGCCAAGCACTGGCTCGGGATCGTTCAGCCTCAGCCGCTTTGGGGGAAAAGAATTATTTGGTGTATTTAAGGGTTTGTGCCAGTCTGTGCCTTTTTAGGGACATTTTGTTGGTTTTGGGGTTTTAGGTCTGGCCTCGGGCGCTTTGGGGTGTAGGTTTTCAGTTCTACTTCGGGGTTTAGGGGTCAATCGTTTTAGGGTCGATGCTTTTTTGGGCCTCGGTGTTGGCGCTTTTCTTGTTTAGGGTTTTGCGGTACTACAAGGACTTTCTGTGGTTTCTGCATGGGTGTGGATGGATGTCATAAGGGCTGGTTAGCTGCGGTTTTAGTAGAGTTTATGTGGGTTGCACTGGTCGTTTATAGCTACTTTATAGGCGTTTCGGCGTTTCCACACAAGGCTTGCATATGGCTGCATACCGCCCTCAACCAGAAATCCTAAACCTTCAGAACCAGTCCGGCCGAGCAGCGTGAAGTAGTCGGACGGTGTGTGGTACCCCTGGTGCTCCTCGGCAGATCTGGCAGGTTTAGGGTGCAGGGTTTAGCTGACCAGTTCGAACCTTCAGCTTACCGGATTGTCTGCCAATTCAAGTCTGGGCTCAAGAAGCAAATTGTGCAACAACTCCAACGCGCGGTGTAACGCCCTCACGAATATGAACCTGGCTTCCTTCCCAAAGCTTAGCAAGGTTCCCGGCTCTAACTCTAAAATGAAAGGGCAACAGGGTACTGCTGGGGAACTTGGCTAAGTAAAACCTGAGATCCAACATCGTAAGCCGTAAGCCTAAGCTCTTCATCCTCGAACTTGAACACAAAAACTTGAAACCCCAAACCTCTAAACCACCAACCCCCATAACGCCTAAACTAAACCCAAGATCAGCCTAGCCCACCTACCTCACACATCGACCCAACGCCCTGGCAACTACACTTCCGCGTAACCGAATACTTGAAGCCCGGGACTCCGAATCGATGTATGAAACCGCAGTTCTCGGCTCGTAATGGCGACTTTTGTGGGTCATAAGGACCTTCGAAGTGAAGAGTGAAACCCCGAAGAACCTAATCCCATTGTCGGAAACCCCTCCATGATATTTCTGATGCTGAGGAGCTTGACGAGCTTCTGTCTCTTCAAGTAAACCTTGTTATTTGGGCTCTAAACTTCTAAACTGAAACCCCAAACAAGCATCGAGCATGTAGCCGACAACGTGCAGAAGCGAAGTGCTCTTCATGACCTGCCGGCGCTCGTCGGTTGTAGAAATGTCGGCTCCCGGATTTCAGACTGGGTTGCAGATCACAGGGGTGCTAGAGCTGCTAGGATACCCAGTAACCTAAAAATAAAGAGGCCTCTCTTTTTGGTATTGGGTAACTTTATACGGAACCTAGGACTACAAAAAGGGAATAAGGGTACTACTGAGCATCCTAGGCTGGTGTTTAGGATGTGGAGCCCCGAATCCCGCGGTGCTGCGCATTCTGCATCCCCACGCACGACACTTTTGGAGCCTCCGAGTCCGATGATTGGCGCCGTGTAATATAGGGGTGGTAATAATTAAAATAGGGCTTTGGGGCCCACTATACTACAAGTATAAGAAGGAACCTCAAAGTAATGTAGGAAATAATTAAGGCCCAGTATACTACAAGAGTATCAAGGAGCCCCAAAAGAATATAGGAACTATACTACAAGTATAACAAGGAACCCCAAAATAATATAGCAATTATACTACAAGTATAATAAGGAATCCCCAAAATAATCTAGGAAATTGGCCTCGATGTTGGAGGAGCCTTTTGGGGGCCTCAGGTTGATCTATGGCTTAAGGTTTGGGATTTGGGGGTTTAGGGTTTAGGGTTTAGGGGCTCATGGTTTAGGGGTTGATTTAAGGTTTAGGGTTTAGGGGTTTCGGGACTAACTAATCTCACCTTTGGTTAGTAGGGAATGGAGGAATGGGGTAGAATTATAACTGCTATTACTGCAGTTCTTCCATTCCCTACTAGCCAAAGGTAATTGCATATTTAGGATCCTATATAAGAACTACAATGGAGACTATAGGTACTGTATTTCCCAGCCAAGAGGGTAGATGCATAGTCGAATTGCACGGGTAGAGCCAGATCCCAATGGTGTTTCAGGGCCCAAACCCATAGTCGTATATACTTGCCGTAGTAAGCGTAGAATTTGTCCGGGGTTCCCCAAAAAGACCATGATTTGGACAGGTACATATATGAAACCTCTTCATAGACCAACACACGGTAAGGACGAGATGAGAGCATGCATCAGCGCAGAGTGCCGAGCCTACACCATCAACCCTAAAAGCAGCACCCTAAAAATCAAAACTCTGCATCAGCAACGCCGAAGAGCGAAACTTCTGAAACCCTTCACCCACAGAGGCACGCAGGCCTCGCAGAAGAAAGCTTTGGAACACCCAGCTAGTTTACGGCTCGGAGATGTTCAGAGGGTTAAGGGTCCCAGACCCTAAATCCTAAATCGAGTTTAGAAGGCCTGAACTCCTAAACCCCTAAACCTTAACCATACCCTAAACCCCGAAACCCAAAGCCCTGACCAAAGTCAGGTACTATAATCCCCTAAATCCTAAGCCTATAGATCCCTTATAGATCCCTAAAAGGAACCCTACATATTCCTTAATTAAGGGGCCCCTTTTGGGCTCTCTGGGAAACCCATCGGGCCAGGGGCCCCAGGGTCCTCTGGCGAAGACATCCCAGGGCTCCCCCCCGGTACTTTAATATTATAGTACCCTTATAGATCTCCTATAGCAGCCCTTATAGATCCCTTCAAAGGAACCCCTATGAAGGCCCCTTTTATCACGGCTCCCCCCGGTACTTTTGGTCTTGAAGGAATCCTCCAAAGGTTCCCTTCAGAAATCCCTTACAGTAAAAGCCAGAAAGTTGGAATATCATTATCGTAACCCCTCTAAGGTAAATTATAGGGGATCCTACCATTAATCCATATTCCAACTTTCTGGAGTTCCCTTTAAGGGGTCCTTGAGAGGTTCCTTTCAGTCCTTTAAGGGGTCCTGTAAGGGTTTGGGGTTGGTGCTTCAGTGTGTGGCCTTCCGGGATTACAGTTTTGGGGCGTTTAGCGTTTACGGTTTCAGGTGTTCTGGTTCTTCTGGTTTAGGGCAAATGGCTTCAGGGCTTGAGGACTTAAGTTACCCATCCAGGGCCAATTCGGGGTTAAGTTTAGTGCTAAGTCACCAATGTCCCTTAAATTACCTTAGCAACATGCCCTTTAGAATTGAGGGAATAATCCTACACTCTGAACCCCAAAAGCCTGAACAAAACCAAGACAACCCCATGACACCCGACAAGACCATGTGGACAAAAAGGAATAAGCGTCCCTAAACCCTAAACCCTGTGCAGAGGTTCAGCCGTGCCTCTCCCATGTCGCATTTCGGCCAAAGCTTTGCAATCTGATCCCGCTTCCTCGGCATGGCTCGGGCTTCGCTCTGTAGGCCTAACCTTGGAAACAGTAAACCCTAACTTGTAGGCAAACCCTGAACCCTGACTTGCAGGCTTGGCTTGGCTGAGTGTTGATACTGTGCTAATGTGCCATGGGACCTTGTGTCTCTAGAAAGGTTTTTTTGCGAAGTCTCGCGTTTACCTTCCAGTAGACTGGCTATTGGCTATCCGGAAGCCCTATGTCCAACACGGTGGAGGGAGGGCGTGTATTACATTATAGTTACAGTAAGGACTGCCAAAAACCGTTTCTAATGATTAAGGCCCCTACATTAACTGTCAATGACCTCCTCTTCCTTTCCCAACCAGTTTCTCCACCGTGATGAAACCATCGACCATCGATGTCAGACGACGTTGCGACACGGGCTTGCAAAGAGTTTCCTGTTAGGATAACGGCGGTACACTTCCAAAAACCCTAAACCCTCAACCTTACATTCGAAGATCCAGGTGAGTCCCGCGCTTCACCAATCCTAAGTCCCAAGCCCCTGAGTCCTTCCCGTTTTCAAAAGCCCGAAACCCTGCTAACGTAATCCAGGGCGGCCAAAAACTTAGAATAGGGATTTGGGTTCTATAATGCTATGTATGACTAGGTATCAGACCCCTAAACCCAAAGCCTTAGGAAGAATGGATTCAGGCGTCTTCAGTGCACCCCTTCCCGAAGCCCTGAAGATCATACGCCCCAAATCCCTCAGGATAATAAAGAGCGGCTCGGAATCCTACCGCTGCATTCTGAGTTTAGGGTGTAGGGTTTTGGGGCTCCCCTTTACGCGAGATAATGTGGAGGTCTCAATGCCTAGTAGTAATCCCCCTCATAGTCCCTATTTAGATGCTACACAATGACCCAAAACCCTATTCCAATCAATGTTTCTCCTATATATGTTTAAACCCAGAAAAACAGAAAAGCAAAACAACAACAAAACCAACACATAAAACCTGGTGGTGGAAAGGCAAATCACCAAGGTCCTACACCCCATCTAAACCTAAAGCATTACCAAAACCCTATAAACCTGCAGCTCCGCGTTTTGCATCCCAATCCCCCTTTAACCCTGAAGCCTGGGCCCCAGGCTCAGAACCCTAAACTAAACCCCGAAGCCCCAATACAGGGGCCTCAATAATTACAATAGGGTTTTGGTGCCCAGTATACTACAATTCTCATAGGAGCACCAAGATAGTATAGGCACGCAATTAAGGCCCCTATACTAAATCCTTATCATGGCCCCTTATAGGATCCTTTAAAGGAGCCCTTTAAAGGAACTCTTGAAGGGAACCCTATTCTGATTACGCCCCTGTAGTACCCCTAAACGAACCCGCCACTCCGACAGCTGAGTCTCTTCCAGAGCCAGACCTCTCGCAAGTCGAGCTCAGGGTTTGGACCCGTTAAGAAGTCCTAAAGGGGTTCCTACAAGGCTACGAGGTTGGGCCCAGGAGAATCTTGTTTACTGTAGAAGGTTTTGAGTTAGAGGGTAGAGGCCTTAGTGAGTGTTCAGGACTGAGGGCTTCATGTTGGTATATCCACTCTGTGTAGGTACATGGGGACTTCAGTTTGAAGTGGTGCAGGCTCGAAACTTTGGAGGGGTGTATGATTCCAACCTACTCGATAGCCGGACCCTCAAGAACCTACCTTTCTAGGCTTCCTTATCATGAGTTCTCTATTTAAGTCCTTAAAAAGTAGGCTCTTTGGAGTAACGTAGGCCCTAAACTCCAAGCCGCCGTGCTTGGAGAACTCTGCCGGATTGATCGTCGCAGATATCAGGGCGACAAAGACCAACTCCCCGAGGGCCGCAAAAAGCGTATGGGTAGTTCTCTACATCAAGGTCCCTTTTTAGGGTTCCTTAAAGGCTTCATTTTATAAGGGCTTCCTTTTATAAGGGTCCTGTATTATTTGGGGGATCTAGAGAGGGACCCGAATGTAGAGAACTACCCATACTGAAGGGCCTTGATAATTTCAATACGGTTTTGGGGCCAAGTATACAATATATTATAACAAGGAACCCCCCAAAAAGACAGTATAGGTGATTATTAAGGCCCCTATACTACAGCCTTATAGTACCCCTATAATATCCATTAATGGTGCCCTTTGACGGAACCCTATATTCTATCAAGGCCCCTATGTCATGGTAGAAGGCACTTCCGAGGAGTTCGTCGCAAACGAGGAGCCCACACTTCTTCGCGAAGTCCTGTGGCTTTCGAGGCCTGTTCAGCAAGGGTCCCTCTGTAGCAAAGACTAGGCTATCGCCAAGTTTCGGACGGAAGGCATTGTGGCCCGCTATGCTATCCAGCGGCTAGCAGTTTCTTCTGCATCGTCTTCTAGGAGTGCGCATGCGCTTCTTTCTTCAAGCCAATTGCTGACAGCCTCGGATTCTGAAAGCCAGGAATGTCAAGAACCACAAAACCGGTCGTGTGGATTCTCCGCTCCTGGTCTTCCATTCGATGCTCATGGAGCAGCCTCGTAGGAAAAGAGAACGAAACTATATACCCATATACCCCTTTAAAACCATAATAAATAGAGTGTTTAATATTATCTTGGGTTTTTGTTATGAACAAAAAAAATCCCAAGGAGACTATCGGCAAGTCAGCCTCAATGTACTCTCGGGAGGTCGGGGTCTTCATCTGATTTGGCCACTTGCCGAAATCGAGCAGCTGCTGTTTGGCAAGGTGGCTTCCACAGGTTCCGGGTCACCAAAAACCGGCATGACATTCCCACGTACTATCAGTGCTATTCGTATACACCAATATTACGACTGTTACTATTGGTATTGTTATTGCAACTACCAAGTTTTTGAAGACTGGCCTGAACCAGACCAAGACAACCCTAAACCCTAAACCCCTAAACCCCTAAACCCTAAACAACCCTAAACCCTAAACCGAACCCTAAACCCTGTCAAGGACATAACCCGGAAGTGCCTTTGTTTGCCCCTGAACCGGAAGTTCTCGAGTTGAGGGCTCAGGGGCTTCACTGCTTAGGTTTTCTGGCGCAACAGTTCGGAGTTTAGGGCAGCTTGAGCAATACAGGGGTCAACATGTTAGCCACAATATCCTCGTCTGGTCCGTACATGAACATGCTAAAATAAACCAAAATCTGTTACTACTGCTATGGCCCCTAGACCCGTCAAAAGCCATCTAGAACCTTTCTAGAACTCTAGAATCCTCTCAAGAACCCTTCCAGAAACATCAATGCAAAAACCCATCGCACAGGTATCCCACCTAAACCCTATGAACCCTGAACCCCAAACCTGAAACCTGAAACCCTAAACACTACACACCCTAAATCTTAAACCCCGACGGACGGACTCTTTCTGCCCTGGCCTTCAGCGGCTGGGCCATGAGAAAACTCAAGACCTTCCTGGCGTGTAGGTTGTAGGGGTAGGGCTATTCGACATACCTAGACCCCTCAAAAGTAGGTAGAATAATGGACCAAAACTTACAAAAGGTTATAATTCTACATACCTTGGGGGTCCAGGTAGGGGTCTTTCAAGCGTTGCCACAGGGGCTTTGAAGTCTTTAAGGGTTTCAGCCCCTGCGGGGCATTCTAAGACTGTAAACGGCTTAGGATTTAGCGGGTTTAGGGTTCAGGTGTAACCCTTCAAGGAAACCAATAACTACGATTTCGGGTTTAGGGTTGTGGGTGTAGGGGGTTTAGGGTTGCGGGCTTGGGGGCTTCTGATGAGAATAACCAGCAACCCACACCTCAAAGCCTAGCCAAGTCTCCTGAAGCCTGCCCCTGAACCCTAAACCCCTAAAGCGTGCACACCCCAATCGTCCGCCTCCTACATCCCTCGGCATGCCCGCCCAAGCATGCAGGGCTTCAAACCGCTACATCCCACCCTACCGCCGCACAGAAGTGGCTGGGTAATCGGTCTCTGGCCCACAGCCCTCACAGCCTAAAGCCCTATAAGCCATCCTAAACCCTATTTTCTAAAAGTGAAACCCTGAACCCCCCCACGAGCCTAACGCCTGAAGCAGTAAGTCAGTAAAGCTCAATGGTATGGGCAGTTGTCCAAATTACGGTCCGTTTTCGGGTCCGTTCATAACGGTGCCAAACATAGCAGCCACTCCTGCGAGATTGACCGCTGCCAAAAACATTTTGAACAATTAAGGGTTTTCGGTTTAAGTCCCTGAAGCCAACACGCCCGAAAGAGCCCTAAACTTAAACACAAAACACCGAAACCTTGAAAGAACTCCTGCCCTGCCCCAACAGGTCGTTCGAAATCTCCGGGATTATTTCGGTCGCTAAACCACCCGTAAACCCGAGCCCCCAAGGCCCTGCGCTGGGGTGCCTTTGCTCCAGCTCCAGCTGATGTCCCGGATACGCCAATGGTGAGGATACGATAACACCTGTGACATGGGACTCTGTTACTGTTGCAAAGTTGAGCCCGAAACCCCTGATCCTAAACCCCAACCTTGAACTCGAGAACTGCGACACCCCAACCTCAAAGGCCAAATCCCACTTTGTATTTTGTGTCCGGTTAGATGCTCCGAGAAAAATGTACCCTGTGTTTCTCTATCAGCTCAGTTTACTCACCTGCCCCAGGGGCAGAAACTGTTGTTCCCACATGGCGGTCACAGGTGACATCACTGCTTGATGCTTCAGCGCTCAAAGCCTTAGCAAATCTCTCTAATTGCGGCAATCATGCTGACAGTGGTACGTGTAACAGTGCCAATTGAGGACGACGATGCCGACGGCAATCGCCGCGATCATGGGTGGTCAAAGTGGCGCTGATGCTGGTGCTGGCGCTGGTGGCGCTGGTGGCGCTGGTGGCGCTGGTGGTACTGGAGGCGGTGGTGGTGGTGGTGGTGGTGGTGGTGGTGGTGGTGGTGGTGGTGGTGGTGGTGGTGGTGGTGGTGGTGGTGGTGGTGGTGGTGGTGGTGGTGGTGCTGCTGCTGCTGCTGCTGCTGCTGCGGTGATGATGGCGGCGGAGGCGGGGTGGTCACAACCACAACCTTACCAAGGCCCACATCCCCCCTCAAACCTGGCATGCTAAAGATCTCAGTTTGATACCTGAGCTTTTACACCTAAGATCGTTGATGTCAGCTCATCCTCAGGCATGACCTCATAAACCCCTCATCAACCATTCTGCGCGAGCCCGTCCCAAACCTAAACCGACACCCCCAAACCCCAAACGCTAGACAATCTTGCTCAAAAAAGTCACACTTTTTGAACAAAAAAAAGCACGTTTTGAGTATGTCTCAAAATTCCTTGGAGCTCCACCCTGAGCCATCCTGAACCCTAAGACCCTAAGCCCCGAACCCTAAACCACAAACCCCGAAAGGCTCTGAAGTCACTTAGCTTACGGACCAAGCCCGGGGCTTTGGTTATAGGGCAGAGCTGGATTTTAAGAATCGTCCACAAGGGGTTAGGTTTAAGGTTCAGAGAAGGGTTTAGGGCTTAGGGGCCTTTAGGCTCAGGGAAGGGACTCTTGAATAACAGAGCTTAGGGTTTAGGGTAACAGACCTTCGGGCTTAACTCCTTGGGGGTTCTACCCTTCAGGTTTTGAGCCAGTGCACGCCTGCAGCGATTCGAGAGCGGTGCTCAAATTCGCCCAAGTACTTGGCCAGAATGGTGCCACCTACTTGGAGGTTAAGGGTTGTTATAAGTGGGCTTATAAGTCCCCGTATAGGAGTTATACTTATGGTTACCATACTTCTTTCTCATAATTATCCATGCACCTCCAAGTAGCCTTGGGTTTGGGGCCTTTGGGGGTTTTACCGTTTGGGGCTTCGGAGTTTGGGGTGTGTTCTTTATGTAGGCAGATGGGCCCTTAGCAGGACGAACTGTGATGTGATTGCATGCACTGAGGTTTACAAACGGCAGTCCCTGTTAGGCCAAACAACGCATACATACATACATACGTACATACGTACATACATACATACATACATACATACATTACATACATACATACATACATACATATATATATATATATATGTGTGAAGATGGCAGATAGACAGAGAGATGGACAGATAGATAGATAGATAGACAGGTAGCTAGACAGACAGAGTCTTTAGGCTAGAGAGATGAAACTAGATAGATTCGATTGATTAGGTAGAGTAGATAGACAGACAGAGGTAGATGGGTAGATAGATCGATAGACAGATAGGTTAGGTATTCAGATGGATCACGAGGGAGTGGAAGTGCAAGGTGGTTCCACGGCAATAATGGAACTCGCCAAGAAGCTTTGCTGTATCTGCGCATTGTGCTCGAATCCTGTCCATGTGATCCAGATTTCAGCCCTTCAAAACCAAGCGAGGTGCCCTCCACCGAGGGCACGTCATGGACTGAGGACACAAGGGGTCGTCGACCGTTCGTCCAATTTTTTCTTGCAATCAGGTCGATGTAAACATGAGGGTTTCGAGTGAAGGGATCTCAGGCTCAAGGTTTCGACAGGTTTAGGGCTTTGGGTTCAGAGTTTGGCTCGGTATGCTGACGCCTGGGAGCTTTCGGCGACATTACCTGCGCTAACAACGTCCATAGACCTTAGGCCTGACTCTAACGTCAAGACTTACAAGGGCCTTATAACCTATGTGCTTTCGCACCTGAATGAACAAAAGAAACCGCCTGTGGTTCAATGCACCTTGCAAGTCAAGTCAAATCCCCAAACTATACGGAACAGACCCCAACTGCGCTCCGGGACACCCATTGAGAAGCCGATGGCAAAGATGGGCTGCTGTGGACACGTGGCCTTTCGATTGGCTGCTGATCTTGAAGTGATACGAGGCTGACCCCCCCGCCCCCCCCCCCCCCCCCGACTGTAAACCAGGAACCCTGAATCCCTTATGTATCTATCCACAACACCTGGACTTTATTCTGTGTTAGCTGCAACAGCCGAGAGCACATTCACTTTGTTCTGTGTCATGACATTTGCTAGGCCTTGCCGGTGCATGTGAGACATATGTCCCAATCACAAGCTGTTGACAGTGTTGGCTGGCGGCGCCGCTGGAGTCATGTCATGGATGGAGCTCAATGCTTCTTGACTTGAGCTGATGGCGAAGTGACGCGCCGCCCGGACAATGCATTTGAGGCGATGGAGATTTCTGGTACACTTCGCTGAGCTGGGGCCAGACTTGATGTAAACAACTTCAACCCAAACAATAATGATTCTACTTAAACCCCAGACTCTGAACCTAATCACCCGATTTGCTAGAGTTACTTTATAAACCCGAAAACCTCTATCTAGTGAGGATCCTGTCGAGCTTGAGTTTATGTTGGCTTCAGATTAGAGATGTGGCGTGTTGCGATAGGTTCCTTTGTCAGTCAGAAGGCGTCCTGGCGAAAACTTAGGGCATCCAGGGTCTCAGAGGAAGATGTGTTATCGGTCGTTGGCTGGATGTTGTCATATTGTAGGGGCCTCGGCTTTTGGGATAACATACTTATGAGCACGAGAAAGCCCGAGGACTAACACCTGTAACTCTTCCGACCTATACATTGGCAGGCCTCCTGGTCTCCAGCAGGACCAAGGTGAGGGCTTTCGCATTATGCATACCCCTGATTGGAAGACCCTAAACCTAAAGCCTTTCCTCCATGAGGAAGACAATCGGGGGCACTAGCGTCGCCTGATTAACAATCCGCGTTTGATCCTGATAAGGGCCCTGCCATCATACCAATTGGGGCCCCTAATATAGGGCCTGAATAAGAAGAATAGGGTTTGGGGATGTCATTCTATAACTACAGTACGGAGCCCTGAGGAACACTATTGGTAGTTATTTAAGATTCTATAGTAGTGCTTCTCTTGTTACGACCGCTTCTAGGCCTGTTCGGCTGCTTCTGTTTCAGAGTTTGGGGTCTCGACGTGCTGAAAGGGCCAGCAAGAGTCAGAGGCTTGGAAAAGCCAAAACCATGTACATAGGCCTGCAGGGCTTCGGTGGCTTATAAGGGTTGCTTAAGGGTCCCTGCAAGGGTTATTGGCGGGTTGATTGAAGATTCTACAAGGGTTCCTGACAGTTCCTGAAGCGGTTCTACAAGGGCTTAGGTTTCACGGTTGAGGGCTCTTGGGTTTTAGGGTGGGGTCCTAGGGTCTTGTATTTAGGGTTCAGGGGGGTTTGGGGAATTTTTCAGGTTTCGGGGTTAGAACTAACTCACAAGCCCAATACAGCCGTCAGTCACCTCCGAAGCTTCAGAGAAAATTTGATGAACATCCCGACATGCGACAGATCAAGGCAACCGATAATGAGCACGATACTACAGGGGCCTTAACAATTAGAATAAAGTTTTGGGGACCATGATACTATAACTACACCCAACTGCCAGGCGACATGAACCTGGGCTATGTCTTTGTGCAGCTAGCCGTAGCTCTGAGACAAGCATCAATGCTTATGCGCGTGTTCCCAAAATCCGAGAGCCCGAAACCCAGCGAGTAAGCACGGATTCTGACCGACCTACAAGCGAAAGGCTCTTGTGGTTGGAGGTTCATGGGTAGTTATAAATGGGGCTATAAGTCCCCTAATAGGAGATAAATATAAGTACCTCTATGACTCCACTTATAATTACCCACGAACCCAACTTGAGCTTCAGGCGAACCCCCGACCTCGAAAGGCTAAAGCCAAACCCGACCTGGTGGTTTCCGAACATAGGGGACCCTAGTCTAGCACTCTAAGTTGTAGGATCCTTGTTATAAGGACCCCAAAATAAGATACCCCTAGCTTTCGGAAACTCCCACCTGGATACTGTCAATGATCTTGGGTAAGTCCTGACATATGGTACTCTCGCTCGCGTTCTGTGTCGCAGTTGCACGGTGTTGACAAGTGAGGCACGACGGCTTCGGATACCATGGTCAGGATAATGCACCGAAACCTATTCTGTTAAACCCGGTACCATACCGTCCGCACAGACAGTAGCTAATCTACGACAGTAGCTGGCTTGCCGGGATCCCTCAGGCCCTAAACCCGACACCAAAAGCCAAATACCCCTTATTTACGGAATACACCCTAGATCATCATGTGATGTCCCTTAGTTGTATATTGGATTTGTGGTGAGCATTCGAGTTGTATTTCGTGCACGTGTGCATTACATCGTTGGTGCATGTGACTGCGGCACTAGCGCTCTAGCAGGCAAGCACATCCGTGCGCAATGGTCTGAACTGTGAACACTTATATCTCCCTTGCCAAGCACGAGATCTTTGTCCCCAGCTTTCCCGAGCACTACTTCTCCGAAATCCACAGCCGCAGTTCCTCAAATCGTCAGCGTAAGGAGCAGGAGCCGGGGCCAGCTGCGCAGTGTAAATAATCACAGTCCCCGCCTCCTCTGCATCGGTCTCCTGCTTGCATTAGCTGCTTGTGGGTTGGCTCTAATCCTGGTCGATTGAGCGACTGGGAATTCAGGCAAGGCCAACGCCGCTGTTGCGGGTTGAAAACTTGCAGTAGGAACCCAAAGCGCTCGCCTAGCGGAGGCTCGCTAACAACGGTCTAAAGCTGAAAGACAGAAGAGAGCCCTTAAAAAGTCAAGCCACAACTGGAGCCACACGCACCCTGCAGTCCTCAGCATACTTCTCCGTCGCTGGGATGTATGGAAGGTCATGCTCACGACATAGCAGCTTCGCTATCCACAGTGTGGTTTACCTGCTGACTATACTGGAGATGGACAGTGATAAGAGGGGTCATACAAGGCGAGTCTGCACATACCTACTTCACTGCGTACTTATGACAACAGGAACATTGAGTGTACATAGCAGCTGTTCCCAGCCTTTGCGGATAGCGAACTTTTCTGAGTCCATCATGTTATCCTGGGTTTCGGGATCTTGGTGCAGAACAATTAGGGAGCAGAATAGCTCAGGCACGTGCACACCGATTTGAAGAAAGGATGCGCCTTCAGCTTCGCATATCCTGTTCATGGCAAGTCTGCAGCGCAGCTTGACTGCGCTTGTACTGGCGAAGCCTTCGTGACCCGCGCCCTGCCGTCTTTTGGGATCTCTCGACAAGAGACGCCGAAAGAGGCCTGGATTACGTTCTACATTCTTGAAAGTCTGCAAGTGGCACAAGGCCGTGGAATCCACAAGGAGGCATTACTCGAGAGTTCTTGTGGAGTTCAGTAGATACATGTGTTGGCACCGGACTTGCTCGCTGGGCCGCTGTACATTGTGGACAGCTGACACAGTTTCACATGTTGCACTATGTAATCATGCCGGGGCAGCAGCCCATTGTTTCCTCCACTATCGGATGTTTGTAAAACCTCGCAACGCCAAGGAATGCTACAAGTTCATGGCGCAGATGCAAGGCCGTGAGCTGCCGCCTCCTCCGCCAAGGACCATCTCAGGTACCATGAAGATCGCCCAGCAGTGAGCCATACCTTATCTGAGAAGCGCGCGGAGGACCAACATCTCCTGCCGGCGGCGAGACCAGCGGCACAATGCCATCATGTGTTGGATATTGCTGGAACATCTGTGGATCGGCAAAGCCTTTGGGGCCACTGGGGGCGGGATTTTAAACCAACGTAAGACACTTAACTTACCTTTGGTTAGTAGGGAATGGAGGAATGGGGCACAATTATAACTACTATTACTACCATTCTTCCATTCCCTACTAACCAAAGGTAAGTTAAAACCCTGGGCAGGGATCCGGGGCTCCGGAGGCCCCGGCCCTCCACAGCGTGGATTTATAAACTCTTCGAAGCGTGAGTGTGCAATTCTTTGTATATTTCGCGTCGGGACTTACACAGTTTACATAACATAAATCCGGAGGCCTCCCCGCATGTTTGAATCAGTTAGTTCGGGAAGTTCGGGCCGGGAATTAAAGTTGTTGATTATTTTGTTTCCCCGGGGGTGGGTGGGCGCGGATTTAAATTACTTCAATTAATTATTCAACTTACATAATTGAATCATTGAACTCGGGCCGGGAATTCAACACGTTTAGATACATTGAATCCGGTGGCCTTCGAACCCATACATAAACATTTCAGGTATGGGATTCCCTCCCCCCACCGACCGCAAACCCCGCATAACATGGTATATAGGCCGCCTGTCTGTGGTATTCTGGCAGATTAGCTGTGCCTTGGCTGCCGCGACGTGCTCGCGACTCATCAGGTCTCTCAGGAGGACATCGACATCTTCGTCGTAGCCTTGCATTGCTGGCCCGAACACGTGCGGAGAACTTGCAGGCGGCTAGTGCGAGCACGTGTCCTGTGAGCCCTTCTTGCCCTTGCCAACTGGAACCGCATTGGCAATACCTCGCAGATGCAGAACTCACCTGCAGAATGGCTCACTCATACATGTTGCAACCACAGAGAACCCACGGCGCCTCTTTTCTTTGTGAGACTGGACCTTGACCTCAGCTTGAACTGCCAGCTGAATACAGTTGGTATCAGCTTGGCTAACATATACTGAAGGAAATTAAGCTTCGTGCCAACTCAACCAGATCTTTGCTCCTTCCTGCTGCATCCATCTCCTCAAGCACCTTCGCACCTCCAGCTAGCGGGCTGAAAAGAGAGCTGCCACCGAATCACACCTCTCAACGTCTCATGCCTTGACACTCTCCGGCAGCCTCTGGAGGAGGCAAAGTGAAAACCCTGGGCTTGTGACCTCAGGAAGTCTTAGGCGAAGGCCTACGGCCAGAGTCAAGCAAGCGGGCGAGACTTTTCAAGCTCCGTTGCCTGGCGCTTTTCGAGGCATCGGTTCACCTCCCCGTGGCGAGCCACATCGGCACCTTGCCATGAGCGCAAGCAACAGCAAGGAACTCCTGCGGGAACTGCATGGCAAGAGCACCCAATTGTTTCGGATCGATGTCATCTTCAGCGTCCTAGTCAAGAGCAGGTAGGAAACACCCTTTTCCAAGTTGAGCTGGTCCTCTGCATCGATCGAGAGCGGAGTCGGCTTCTGACTGAGGCTTCGGCGACTGCAGCTTTCATGGGACGCCAGGACACTGAGGGAGGTCCTTGACTTTCCAGCAAAACGACGCTGACGCTCATACTGCATCTTCCCTGCCATCCGGGAGCCTGGCACATCCGGTCGAGCGCAGCCAAACACGGCTCCTTGCGATGTTGCACGTGCTTTTTCGCCGTCAAGGGAGCCTGCCCATACCTCCAGAGCCGCAGACGGAGCAGCTTAGCTTGAATAGAAACATATGGAAACATGAAGACACAGGGCACGCGTAAGTTCCGAGCACACATGCTTTGGCATCAAGCTGGCACCTGCCGACTCCGGAACCTGGTACACCACAATGCCGACAAACGAGACGGCTGCAGTTTGCTGCATGCACGATTGTATAAGCTTACCGATCAGCTGGAAGGTTAGATTCTTCATCACGAGGGAACGAATTGAACTCCGTCTCACTGACCTAAGGAAGCAAGCCGTGAAGAGCATCGCTGTACCGGGGATGAAGCTGCACACGATCTGAGGGTGTGTGGGTGTGTGGGTGTGTGGGTGTGTGCTGTGTGCTGTGTGTGCTGTGTGTGCTGTGTGTGCTGCGTGTGCTGCGTGTGCTGCGTGTGCTGCATGTGCTGCACGTGCTGTGGGTGCTGTGTGTGCTGTGTGTGCTGTGTGTGCTGTGTGGGTGGCAGTGGGCAGTGTGTGGGTGCTTGTCTGTTCATGAGCCATGAGCTTCCACGATGCGGCTCCTTCTGTGCAGTCTGTGGCAAGGCCCGAAGAGCATACCATGTGGGCAGATCCATACATTGATACACCATATAACATGCTAACCCCTGAAGTGTTTTGCAGGACGGAAATCCGCGTGTAAGACCTTGGTGCACACGCGCAGACAGACACAGACGCAGACGCAGACGCAGACGCAGACACAGACACCACACACACACACACACCCACACACCCACACCCGCACACCCGCACACCCGCACACCAACACACCAACACACCAACACACAACACACAACACACAGCACACACAGCACACACAGCACACACAGCACACACAGCACACACAGCACAAACAGCACACACAGCACCCAACACCAGCGCAGCGTCCCGTTCTCTCGCCAGGGCGCGGAAGCCAGCCGGGTTCCACAGGCCCCAGATGTCGCCCGCTGCCTTGCCTCGCAACGCGACGAACAGAAGTAGTAGTAGTAGTAGTAGTAGTAGTAGTAGTAGTAGTAGCAGCGGAAGTAGTAGTAGTGGTAGTAGTAGTAGTAGTAGAAGTAGTAGTAGTAGTAGTAGTAGTAGTAGTAGTAGTAGTTTTGGCTCCCACTTGTCGGACTCGCAGTAGTAGTAGTAGTAGTAGTGGTAGTAGTAGTAGTAGTAGAAGTAGTAGTAGTAGTAGTAGTAGTAGTAGTAGTAGTAGTAGTAGTAGTAGTAGTAGTAGTAGTAGTAGTAGTAGTAGTAGTAGTAGTAGTAGTAGTAGTAGTAGTAGTAGTAGTAGTAGTAGTAGTAGTAGTAGTAGTAGTATAGTAGTAGTAGTAGTAGTAGTAGTAGTAGTAGTAGTAGTAGTAGTAGTAGTAGTAGTAGTAGTAGTAGTAGTTGTACTAGTAGTAGTAGTAGTTGTAGTAGCAGTAGCAGTAGCAATTAGCAGTAGCAGTAGAAGAAGCAGTAAGCCACAGCAGCAGCAGCAGCAGCAGCAGCCGCAGCACCAGTAGCAATTGCATCCTCCATGTGGCCGGGTCTAGCAAGCTGCAAGACTTGTCCAGTGTGCATATGCAGAGTTGGGCAAAGTTTTAGTGTTTTAAGAGAGCTAGAGAGCTAGAAACAAATTAAGAAGGATCCCCTTTCAGGGGTTTCCCTTTCACTACCTAGGAAACTTGAGGCACTTCTCCCGATCGAACCTTGGACCTCAATAACCCATCTGTACACCCCTGCAACACACATTGCTGAATCTTCGCTACACACTCTTCTAATTCAAGCCGTGCCCCGTGTAGAACCCTTGTGATATAGGGCTTAATGATGGGGTATACGTACTATATTCATAACAAGGAACCCTGAGAATACATAATATCTAGGCGCGGCGCGCTCTAGTCAATCCTGCACCACCACATCGGATCGAGGCACCTTTGCTGGACGGCTTCTTCGCAGCAGGCTTGCGCTGCACGCGCTGCACTTTGAATATGTTTGCATCCGTTTGGTGACCCAGGCAGTTCTGAAGCAGAGTTTTAGAAGACAGGCACCGGGTGCATTGGTGGGGGTACCACATACATGTATATTTAGCTGTATATGCATATGTGCATGGCAAGGTATCTAAATATCTAAATAAATACATAAATAAAGCATAACTATATATATGCATACATATACATACATATATATATATATATATATATATATATGTGTGTGTATATGTGCATATGTGGATGTATATGTACATGTACATATACGTGCTTACGTCTGTATATATATATATATATACATATATATTAACATGTTGCATGTATGTCAATGTCTCCTATATATATATATACACACATACCATACTCTGATTCATTTACTTGCGCCGTGTGAATAAACAGATGCATGGCGCTCGGCTTGGCTTGGCTTCAGTGGGGGCGGGGGTTGGGGCAGTGGTTTCTTTCCTTCCTGATTCTGCTTTCTTGCTTTCCTTCTCTCTCTCTCTCTCTCTCTCTCTCTCTCTCTCTCTCTTCTTCGTCTTTCCTACCTCCGATAGAGTTTTCCGACAACAGACATGGCATAGCCAAGAAACCACTAAACCATACTAAACCTACCTACGGCCTCTGCACCAGCACCGAAATTTGCTCAGCCTGATAAAGCTGTGGACATGCTGGCTGTGCTTGCATTGCTTACAGCGAATAGACGTACCATCAACAACCGGCTCGTGCGAGGCATGAATACCAAGCTTTACCAAGGGTGCAACGCAAGCGCATGAGCTGCAGCAATTCTAGCACGCCAAACCCAAGGGCATCAAACAATCAATCAATCAACTGAAGGATGAAGCGCTGACAGCAACAGCAGTAGGCAAAAAGGAAAACAAGTAGCGGCAAACAAAAACAGGAAGCAGCAGACAAACCAAAACTTGGACAAGCCGAAAGCGGAAAGCAGACCAAACAAAATCACAAGGCAAAAAAAAACGGAATCAAAGCAGGAGACCAAACAAAAGCATGAACGATACCACAAAAGCAAAACACCGAAATGTTTCGCATTCCGCCCGGTTTCCCCAGGCCTTCGCCCCCTTCTCTCGCTCGCAGCTTCAATTTCTGCCCCATCGCATGCCCAACCGCCCACCCCCCCCTTCGCTGTAGGTACCCTGCTTCAACCTCTCCTTATCAGAGAATAAGCGCCCACCTACCCACTTGGCAAGAAAACTGAGTGCCGATCCGGGGCCAAGGACGGGAAGTCACCTTGTCTGGCTTCCAAGGAGATCAACGTAACAAGACACCCCACCCCCTTCCAGCGCAGCTGCAACGGCAAAGCCGGTCGCGGCGCGCTGAGCTCCCCACTCTTATGAGACAGAAGACGAAGCCTCAGTCGCGATGCAATGGCACCGAAGAACACTTCTTAGGACCTGGCTGGACGAAAACATGCGGATATAGGGTGGAATTGCTAGAGTCGGCTAGAGCAGTCAATCGATGATCAATCGGCTGCAGGAGTGCAGCAGATCATCATGAGCAGCAGGCTTTAAGGTTGCTTTTATGGCGGTCGGGCTCAGGGTGAAGGATTTAACACAGATGCAACAGAGACGGCAAGCGAAGGCAACGCGGCAACGTTCCTTTTTTTCATGGCGCACCTTCCGCGAATTGCCAGTACCCACCCACAACCTTTGCCTCGAACGACAATGCTTCGGAACTAGCAGTCTTCGTACCGGTAGTGGTCGTGATGACGGTGTAGCCATAGTGGTAATGTTGCTGGCCGCGCTTGGAGTAGGAGTGCAGCAACATCCGCAGCAACAATAGCAGTTGCAGTACTGTAGCAGTCGCCAGTCTGTGAAGTTTCGGACATAGTGTAGACAAAGATCCCCCAATAAGCAGAACTTACAGAACATTCGGTAGGCCTTGACTGGGTTTTGGGTTATAAGCTGTATGGTCCCTTAGGCTTCCGATCTTGTCTGTGTGTTAATGTAAATACCGTATCTTGCAAGTTGAGCTTTTTTCTCGACAAGCCTGCTCATCTTCAGACCTTCCGCGGGACCTTCCGCAGAGACATCGCTTCTGCAAACCCTTCCGCATCCTTCCGCGCACACAGTCCCACGCCCATTTCAGGATATCCAAGAGGAACCATATTTCCACGTTAAGAGATCTTCCCAAACGCACACCCCCCCAACATAAGTCTCGCCCGCTTATGCCTTCCAACAAATCTGGCAATCCCCAAGGGTATTGCAAGTTAAACCATTGTGTAAACGCCCCGTCACCCAGCTCATTTAAGCACATGTGCTTGGACGACTCGTAGAACTTTGCCCCTTCCGCCTCCCCAGCTGTTCTCGTGCTTGTGTCTTGGCGGTGTTGGACCTTGCTACACGACTCTAAACCCAACCGAAGGAAAGGGTGAGCTCGGATCACACTCCCACCCGTGCTCGAGGTGATCTGAGGGGATAAAAAGGGTGGACGTTCATGTGGGTCGGTGTACCTCAAGTCGTCTATTCATCCTCACCTGCTCACTGGCCCTCTCGCTCACTTGCTCACCCAATGACTTGTATGGTGCTTCTTTGTTTGGCAGCATTACAACGCGGTGGCTTTTAATTTCTGAATATTTGAATCACATACCACTACACACCTGCTGCCACGAATGCGCTGCATAGCAAGCTTGGGTAATGATGAATTTGGGACGTGCCTCCTCTTCTTCCACCAGCGACTTCGGGTTCACAGCGCGAGTTTGCTGTTAAGCGGCTGCACCACATAATCAAAGCTGTCCAGGGGGTGTAGCATCAAAGGGTGCTTGAGCTTGAAATTGGGCAGAGTTTAGGGTTTAGCCGTTTAGCCTGTACGTGAAAACCCTGAACGTCTAACCAGGGTGGTGGTGCAGGAGGAGGAGTGGTAGTGGCTCTAGTGTCAGTGGTTGCGGCAATAATAATTTCAATACTGGTCGTGGTCGTGGTAGTGTAGCTGTAGCAGCGGTACAGCAGTGAGGCATGCCTTTTCTGAGAAGCGCACTGCATGGCAGCACTCATTGAAAGCTGGGGACAAAGATCTCGTGCTTGGCAAGGGAGGTCCCCTGAAAATTATACATGTATATTGCAATCAGCGCAGTGTGCAAGTGTATGCTCCAATCTATAATTACGAGTAATATGGGGGCCTAAATAATTACCAATATTGGTCTTTAGGGTTCCTTGTTAAGGTGATACTATAAAGGAGCCCAAAACCCCATTCAAATTTTTAAGGCCCCTATAGTACCGGAGCTGAGGCTAAAAGGTATGGCACAAATCATATATTCTCATTTTCAAAGGCTAAGATAAGGGCCAACCTGGTAAAGTGAAGGACCGTTCAGGATGCAGGGAGGTCGGAAACCACAAATTATAGATCCCTTTCTTTAGACCATCTTCGTCAGTTTCGAAATGCGGCCCAATTCCAACCCCCAGCCCCAAGCACAGCCAACCCCAGCCCCAGCACAGCTCCGCAAAGCCCCCAACCCCCTTACCCGGGGCCCAAACCCTATACTATTCCCCCGAACCCTAAAAGTTTCGCAAACACCCTGTAGAAAAACATGGTCTCCTGCCAGGTGTCTGCACAGCCCAACTTGGCCGAAGTAATCCTAAGCTTGCAAGGATCCCAGAGACGGTTTCGGGCCGCGGGTTTCGGGTTCGGGGCTTAGGCTTTAGGCTTTAAGGCTGAGGGTTTAAGGTGTAGGGCTTCGGGGTTTAGGGCTCAGCTTTGGGTTTAGGGTTCAGGCAGAAGGGTTGGTAAGGGGTTTAGGGCTTGGGGTTCAAGGTTCAGGGTCTTAGAAGTTTAGAGTTTTTGAGTTCGGGGTATGGGGCTTAAGGGTTACGGGTTTCCAGTTACATTCTAGTTGTTGATGGCTTTGAGGGTTAGCTGTTCCGGGCCCGAGGGTTCTGGCAGTGTTTCTGTTTCTAGGGTTGGGATAGGTTTCTAACCGGTCCTTTCATTCGCTTGTCTTTAGGGCTTCCTGCAAAGTTGGAACATTCCAGGTCTCGTAGATGCGGGTCAATAGAAGAACTGGTTTGCTAGGTAGGGTCTTTACTGGGGTCTCGAATTCTCTGAAGCTCCCATTTTTCCGCTGAAGTTGGGACGAGCAGGGCCATCCAACATGGTCAGGGAAAGCCCCAACTGATCTTAGCATTTAGGGTTTAGGGTTTCGAATTAGGGTTTAGGGTTTAAGATCATGAACACGTAGTTGAAGTACGATTGCCGGTTGTAGCCAACACTGACCCTATTAGGGTTCAGCGTTTGGGGTGTCTGGGGCTTAGGGCTTGCCTTCTATTATGACTCAGGGTATTCGATGTGCAACAGGATGTAAAGTTCAACTAAACAGCTCTAATATGCCTACCAAGCTGTAAGATATACCGAAGAGAAATCCTGTCTGACCAGAGTCTATACAGTTTCAGGGTGTGGTATGCTTGGAGCAATGAGGTGATTCTAAGTTCGCAAACCCCTAGACAGCCTGATCCCCGAATCCAAGACCTTAAATCCCCTAACCCGAAACAACCGTAATTGGGATCCTGGGAGATGGGGCTCCAAGGGAGTATATGACTTGGTAATCCCCAATTCTCTTAGTACTCCCTGAGGTTCCGCACGATTCTTTAAGGATCCCGGGGCACCCTCCATTGTGGATCTTACGAACATGACAAGGCCCGCTGTAACCCGTGAGCCCTAGACTCTAGGGTTTAGGATTTAGGGTTTAGGACTCTAGCCCCCTCCGACCTCAGAGTCCAGACGTCTTCTTGGACGAAGTCCTCGGTGCTCATCTTGGCCACTTTCCTGGCCATGTCTTCCATGAGGTCAGCCGCCGTCCTCGCTCATCTCTTCACCAAGGCGGCCCCTACGCCCCGCCACACCTTTAACCCTCCACCTTAAATACTAAACCCCCGCATCCTAAAACCTACACCCTAAACCTTGAACTAAAAACCCTAAGCCCTTAATAATCGACCCCCAAAGCAAGCAATTGAACCCTAAAACCTAAACGTTGAACCCTAAAGCATAAACTCCAAGCCCAAAGCCCTTAAAGGAAGAAGTCACACCTGGAGCTTTCCCTTCAGCTCAGCTCAAAGAGCCTCGCAGCAGGTTCCTTTAAGGGATCTACATGCTACTAGTATAGGGATTACTACGAGGGGTCTATCGCACAGGGGCTTTATTAGTTCGAACCCGCACTAACGGAAAGAGAATGGGTCGTGACCGGCGAACGGAAGTTTACGGAAGGTTCATGAAAGATCAGAAGCAGTACCCAGCGGGCACCGTGCTTGAGTCAACCTTCACTCTGAATCCACAAATCTTATACCTGCCCCGCAAAGCCTTAACACCTAGTCCTATATGCAACCCCTAGCAAACTCTGGACACCGAAATTCTTACAAAGCACCCCCTTTCACTATCAAAAAACCTATAGTACCTGCATATCCACCAACATTACTAATACTAAACCCAGCATCCAAAACCCCTGAACATAACAAACCCTACACCCTAAACGCAAAACCCGAAACTCCTGAACCCAAAAACCCTAATCCCTTCAAACCCCATGAACTCCAACCCAACAGCTAAAAACCCTAAACCTAGCAAGACTTCCCAAAACATTTAAAATCCCCTCTGCATCGAGGCTCTCCAGGTGCTCTACGCCACGGAAGTTCATGGCGACGGGCTGGAATCCCGCCTCGCCATACTTGGAGGGGCAGAGGACTTAGTAAGGGTTCCTGAAAGGGCTCCTTAAAGGGATCTATGGGGTTTAGGGTTTAGGGTCTACTTGGAGGGGCAGGGGACTTAGTAAGTCGTTTGTAGGTAGGGTTATAATTGAGGTAGCTCCATTTAGAGTACTTATAGCTCTATTTATGACCTACTTACTAAGTCCCCTCTGCCCCTCCAAGTAGGGGTCTAGGGCCAAAGTCTGGGATTAGGGGATAAGGGTTTAAGTTAGGGCTTCCAGAGATTAGGGCTGAGGGTTTAGAGGATTTAGAGTTTAAGGGCTTACGGCTTAAAGGTTTAGAGTTTAAGGATTTAGGGATTAGGGCCGCTAGGGTTTAAGGTTCGGGGTTAGGGCCTAGGGGGTTTATGGTTTCGGGGTGTAGTCTAGGTTTTAGGTTCAGAACCTAGGGCAGTGTAAGGTTTGGGGTCGAGTGCTGCAAAAGGGGAAGAGGAAGTGGAGAGGTTTGTTCTGCAAGGGCTCCAACACGACTTCGAAACGGTGCCAAAAAGGCGGCTTGATGCTGACCGATCGACGCTCATCCTTGACATGGATGCCGATGGAGTTCCAGTTGCCTGGGTGTTAATAAATGTCAGCTTCAGCCAGTGAAGGAAGCGATGAACTGAGGTCCCAGCGACGCACAAGCCGCTCAACATCAAAAGGGTTCTATCTTCAGCAGAGCAAGCTAGCGGGTGTGCTGCAGCCTCCGCAACTCGCCAGACAGGGCGGCCGGCACCTAGAGGGACGGAGCTCGTTGAAGCCTCTAGGAGGCGTGCTGCGCTGCATCCTCGCCACGCTGCAGCTTTGTGTCTGCGTCAGCCCCAGGCCCCACCGGCTGGATGGGTTTCTGGTCGGAAAGGCCATTTTGCAGTGACCCTAGCTGTGGGGGTCGTTGCGTTATTAGGCTGGGATTTGTAATCGGGACCCAGGTAGAACAGCGCCATCGTGCTCTTCCTTGGAAGCCCGAAGCTGAGCGGCTGGTACTCTGCCAGTAAATCCTCCACAACAAGTATTCACAAGAAAATCCTTCTGCTTCCTGTGGTCTAAGCATATCGTGTTGCTTGAGTATTCGGACCCGTGGGGTCCGGCAAATTTGTTCTAAACCATGCCCGCGAAACCCAGAACCGTTTAACCGGAACTGGCAACCTCAGACGCTCAGCCCGAAGCGCAAGCCCCCGGCGTTTTCCTTTCCTCCGAGCCCTCAACTCAGTTACTGAGCCAATAGAGTTTGGGGTTTCAGGGTTTGGGGCATTGGAGTATCCGGGAGAAGCGCTTGAGGGTTGAGCGTGCTAGGACCGAGGGTATGTTTGCATGCTTCGGTTACTTGGGGGCTCATGGGTAGTTATAAGTAGGGTTGTGAGGCTCCTAGTCGGGCTTATAGCTATAGCTACCCTACTTATAACCCCAATAACTAACGACCCCTGAACCTCCAAGTAAGGTCTACTACCCTGAAACCCCAATCTCGCGACTTTGGAACCTCAGACATGTGCTGCAGGCAGTCCTGGAGACTTCCGCGCCTGGTACAAGCGGTCCATGGTGTAGCGAATGTAAATGCCTTGGCGCTCCAAGTAATCCCTAAACCTAAAAAGACCTTTCTAGCGGTTGGGGTCCTGGGTCTGGGGATATGCGGTGCAGGATCCCGTGTCTGGCACGGGGTTTCTAGATACAAGGTTTCGGGTTGCGAGTTCCTGACCACTGCATTTCGCATGTAATCCCTGGTGGTGAGATTGATGGTTCGTTATCGGGGCCGGGTCCGGCGATAAACTCGAACTAAAGAAGTCGGTTCCTCAAGGGGAATTAATCAAGGACCACGACTTCATTGAGTCCTCTGCCCAAGTTAGGATTGAGGACCCATGAGGGATATAGACCCTATCAATAAGAACCCGCTTAAGAGAGCCAGAAGTAGGGCTAAGAAGGGTCCCCTTTAAGGGTCTCAAAACTACCTAGGAGAGTTACCTCCGCCAGCTGTATTTCCATGCAATCCGTCTCAGTACAGCCCGACAGACGTGTGTCGGAGATCATCTGTAACGTTTGAGAACCCCGAGCACAAGCACGGCCGTAGGAATTAACTACTGGCCTCTATGTCTATGTATATTCTATCGTTCTAGAAACAAAACCTCGGATGAGTGTCTAATTGTAGCAGTGTATATAACCTACTGACCAAATCCCCTGGTCCTTCCAGTGCAGACGCAACCGCTCAAACAAAGAGAGGACTCCCCTGTCTTAAATGTCTTGACTCGTTGACATCCCCGGATAGAAACCACCTGACTCTGACACATCAACCCCGGACGTGAGAGACTACACCCTTCACCCTAAACCTGAGACTCAGCAACACAGAAAGCTCCCTCCTCTGGGGTCGCTGCTCCGGCTGCTGTTCGCCATGCCCGGTAGCACCTTGTTAGGTGCCTACTTAGTGGTCACAAGACTTAGTGAGTAAGGTTATAAGTAATGTAACTCTAGCTACAAATGCTTATATTCTCAATTCAGGTATCTACAACTCTGACTCTAGTTACAGAGCTCGCTCAGTCTTCAGGACCCTACTGTTGTCAGGAAACCGCGCATAACACTTCTGCGAGATACCAAGATCCCTACAGACCACATCATCCCGAAACCTAAACCCCCAACTCTAGACCCTGGGCCACTGGCTTCAGGTTCCGAAGCATGAGACGGACAAGAATAAGAGCTAGATGGAACTGGGGAGGTTTAAAGTTTACATTCAGGCTTCACGAACATATAACAGTATTTGTGGCTTCAAGGCTTCAGAATTTGGGATGTAAGGAGATTGCATGGGCAGCAGCAGAGTGCCCGTCGGTGGTGGTGGTGGTGCTGGTGGTGCTACATCAACACCGACGAATGGCTCATCCAGAACGCAACTGAAGACCCAATCCGGATTTCCTTCGCCCCGGACCCCAAGCCGCAAACGGTCCATGAAGCCTAAGACATCCAAGTAGCTTCCACAACGAACGGAACAAACTCCTCACGAACCCTCAGCCATATGTAGCGGAAGCCGTTCTCTGAAAAAGCTGCAAGTTGAAGCGCTACAAACCAGATCATTAGCTACAATCTTTTGGGTCGTGGCCGGGTTTAGGGTTCAGGGTACCCAAAAGCCTGAAACAGTAAGGCCCCGACCCGAACAACCCCCAAACACCAAAAGCCGCTTTAAACAAGCATCCGGCTTCAGCCTCAACTGGGGCACTAGTGAGCCCGGTTTGGGTATACTATAGGGGCCTAAATAATTACCTATACTATGTTGGGGAATTCCTTAGTATAACTATCGTATAAAGGGCCCCAAACCTGCATTTTAATTATTAAGGCCCCTATATCATAGAAACCTCATAGTAACCCTTATAGACCCCTTTAAAGGAACCCTTTAAGGGAGCCCTATTCCAATTATTAAGGCCCCTATGTTAGACAATGGACCCTTTAGGGTGCCCGTGGAAAAACTGAGGCCGTGACCAGAGCGACAGGACGCCCCTGGGCCACACCCTTCCTTGGTCCGCAACTCGTCACTACTTGGAGGTTCATGGGTAGTTATAAGGGTTCCTTTAAGGGTTCCTTTTAAAGGGATCTATAGGGATCCTGTAAGGGTATAGGGTTTAGGATTCTACTTGGGGGTTCATGGGTAGTTACAAGTAGGGTTATAAGCCCCCTACTAGGGCTTGTAACTATAGTTACCCTACTTATAACCCCACTTATAACTACCCATGAACCTCCAAGTACAGGGGCCTTATTAAATAGAATAGCGTTTTGGGGCCCATCATACTATGACTATAATAAGGAATCACCAAACTAGTATAGGTAGTTAATAAGGCCCCTTTGGTACGCTTGCGGCTTCTGGCTCGGAGTGGGGAACTAATAGGTACGTGTATAGGAACCATGAAGGGAAATTGCCAAGGTTCCCACAGTGCCACCTAGGGCGGAGCTCCCATCCTAAAGCGCTGAACTGCTAAACGATCGAGCCTCAAAGCCCCAAAGCCCTAAACACCTGACCCTGAACGCCAAACCCCTACAGTATGATCTCAGTAGAAGCCCAAAGGTTGGAAATCCAATAGCCTCAATCCTTAAGAATAGCGCGTAGGGAATCCCAGCACCATTTGGCCTTCACCCGGTTTCCAACTTTATGGGTTTTACTGTAATGCCGGAAAACCCTCAACTCAAATGCCCTGAGCTCGAAGGGCTTGAACCTGCTCGGTTAAGGCTAATGCTCTAGTGTCTCTAGGCTTCTGCACTCATGCAAAAGGGTTCAAGAAAAAGGGCCGGCAGTAGGATTTAAGGGATCTGCGGATGTAGGTTGAGGGCGTAGGAGTTTAGGCTAATGGCATAATAGTGCTTAAGGAAATACCCCGGATCAATGTCGTGGCAACGGGGGTCTTGCCAGTTGCCGCCTGCAAAGAGGGTTGTCCACTTGCTGTGTGCATTGGAAGCAGTGTTCGTGATAGTGTTGACCGACACGTGTAGCAACACTTACACATGTAGCACCAGTGTGCAGGCGCGACAACTCCCTCAGTATACACAAGTAGCACCAGCAATAACAAATAGTTATATATATATATATACACATATATATATATATATATATACGTACATATATATATATATATGTATATACGTGTGTATATATATATATGTATGTATGTATAATATAGTTCTGAGGAAGGCAGGCAGGCAGATAGGCAGGCGCCAAAGAAAACTGCACCTGTACAAGCAGTGGCAGTTATAAGTTATAACAGGCAAGGGAAGTAACAATGCTTCGGACAATATTTTGTCAGTTGAAGGTAATGACAAAACTAACAACCAGTGATTGAACTTGTAGACTACAGCAACAACAAGACAATGCCTTTCCTAGCGGCACTGCCCTACTTTATCGAACTAGTCCAACCCAAACCTCTCCCTAACTAAAACCGGCCCAAAGCCCCCAACTCCAAAACCGCAAACCCTAAACCGCTAAGTCCCGAAATCCCTAAAGATCGTCCCCAGACCGAGGCGCCACCAGTCCAGGGAGACCGTTCCGCCATCCTCCAGCGTCAGGTACACCTCCTCCTTTGCGCGTAAAAAAACCAGAAGAAAGGCTGTCCAGGGAATACGGTTTAGGGCATCAGCATTTCGGGTTTAGGGTACACCGCCTCCTTCGAGCTTTTCCGGCCAAGCCAGGCTTAAAGGGTTTAAGTGCACGTTTGAAGCCTAAGTAAGGCTGTTCTGAGCTTAGAGTTTAGGGTTTTCCTGTTGAAAAATTCAGGGTTTTGGGCTTAGGCGGAAAGTTTAGTGTTTAGGGTACACCTCTTCCTTCATGCTCTGAAGGCTACGGCTGTTCAGGGTTAACGGCTTGGCGGCGTATATAAACGGGGCGCTTTTGAGGCTAAGGCTTTAGGCTCAAGGCTAAGGGTTGGTATAAAAGGGTCTTGAAGGGACAAAGGCTCCTTCCCGCTCTTAAAGCTAGGGGTTGGGGGTTTAGCAGTCAAGGGTACGGGTTGGCTAAGTGGCTTCGACAGGATGGGCATCGGATCTAAGTTGAATAGGAAAGCTCCCGCAACTGCATTCTGCAGATCCCCTAATTAAGGCTCCATGTACCCATATAGTAGGTACTTAGGCCTTAAAGGGGTCACTGTATGGGTACTTTACGGCCTTAGTACCTACTATATGGGTACATGGAGCCTTTGGGATCCAGATGGGCCCATCCGCATAACCGCTCCAAACTGCCGGCAACGCATACGCTGCACTTCACATTTGGTAGAGCGACATTGCGCTTGGCGATGCTTTGCAGTTCGGGGATGTGGCTTCCATTTCCGGTCCTGTAGGCTTGAAAGGGAGGAAGCCCTTATCACACTATATTATATAGCATCAACTAAGGCAAAGACTGCGGCACAACACAGAAATCTGGAATGGGTTGGATAGACATGCTTTCCAGGTTGCTCCTGATGCCTATTCTAAGTAATTCAGTCTTACGTAAGTTGGTGGTAGAATGATCCAGGTTTCCCAGCAACCCCTGCTCAAGTAGCGTGATGCACGGGCCGAAAATGGAATTTAGGGCCAATGATAGTATAAGATAGTGGAGTTATAATGAGGAACCCTTACTCTTACGAACATTCAGAAATAGAGAGAGAGAGAGAGAGAGAGAGAGAGAGAGAGAGAGAGAGAAAGAGAGAGAGAGAGGGAGGTATATATATATATATATATATCGCTCAGGCCTCTATATTCACTGTTGTTTCAGGTTCACGAAAGGATACGCCGTCTAAGCAATTGGCACGGAGATCCCTGATATGCTTAAATGTAGATAGAGGCCATTTTGGGCATTAAAGGGTAATCTCAAGGACAGGCTTCTGTCAGGCTTTTAATTTATGGATAAGTTTACACAGAGCTTCATGCATCGTCCGAATGCAAACAGGCCGCCCTAATCAAATCAAGAGACCCGCAAGCACACCGACCGTTAACAACCGTTACAATCCGATCCGCGCAGTGTCCTTCTTTAGTGCTTAGCACAGGGAGCCCAATGCACCTGAACTAAGTTATATGCCCTATAAATGAAGGAGTGACAGAGAAAAGACGATAATGGCACAATGGTAATGAACTGTGTATGTATATTTCACCTGTATGTGTGTGTGTGTATATATATATAAACAAATACACACACATAGTAAATTACGTACATACATATACATATACACATGATGTGTGTTTATAAGTATGAGTATACATATGTAAATATATATATATATATATATATATATATATGTGTGTGTGTGTGTGTTTGTGCCTGTATGCTTGACAAAGACTAGATACCTCGCCCGCGACGCCAGAAAAGCCCAAAGGCTGCTACCGAGAAGCAGAGCTCCGAAAGCTGCGGGGGATGGGCAGACCTGCTTGCACGGGTGCGAGCTCAGGGATCCTACTACTTGGGGTTTAAGCTTTAGGGTTTAGGACCGAAGCCCCTACGCGTTCGTGCTCTCTAAGACTTGAGGGCTTTGGGGCTTTGGGGTTTATGGGTTTAGGGTCTGCGGGGCTATCGGGATTAGGACTCCAGGCTCTACTTGGAGGTTCATGGGTGTTATAAGTCGTGTCACTATAATCCTGAAAGAGGACTTTAGGGTTTCCACTTTTCACTACCCATGAACCTCCAAGTAGGACTTTAGGGCTTTGGGGCTTAGGGTTTCAGGGCTTTACGGCTTTGAGCTTGAGGGGTTTAGGGCGTATGGGTTGAGGGTCTATGGGTCTATACAGATTGGGGCTTAGGGGTTTAGGATTTTGGGGGGCCTTTAGGGGCTTGGGGGGTTAGAGTTTATGGGTTTACGGGCTCAGGATTTAATGGTTTGGCGGTGTAGCGGCTTAGGCAGGGTTTAGGGGTTTGGGATTTATGCAAGCAGTCAGCAGACAATCCGAGCGAGTTTGGGGATTTAGGGCTTCGGGACTTTAGCGTTTAGGGTCCAGGGGTTTAAGGCTCCGTTTTAAAGTTTAGGGGTTTAGGGCTGTAGGGGTTTAGCGCTTCGGGTTTAAGGATTTGGGCTTTTGGGGTTTAAGGGCTCAGGGGCGTATACTCAGATTTTCACGGCCTTAGTAGGTTAGAGGTTTAGTGTCCCATAAAGGGGCTTTGAGACTTCAGGGTTTGGAGGTTGAGGGCCCTTGTTGAGGGTTTAGGGTTTAGGGTAGTTGCGCATTACAGCTCACCCTGCTTTCTGCCGGCTCATAGCTCGGAAGAGACGTTGGAGTTTGCGAAAATTCGGGGTACCTTCTTTTGGGGGCCTCATAATAAGGATCTACTATTTAGAATACTATATTAGGGTCCCCTATTCTGCGGAAACCCCCACTTGCTAATTTACTAGAATAACATAATGTATCTTATGATAACTCATTATTCTCATACACAACAAAAACATCACAATTTACGATACCACACTCTAGTATACCATAACCTACACGAACCCACTATAATATGTTCGAATACACTATAACCCACTATACCTCACTATAACATAGCATAACCGACCATAGTATACTGTGGCATACTATACTGTACCGTACTAGCTTCCTAAATCTGGGGCTGGCAGGGCCAGTCGGGCCCGGGTCGCTTGGGCATTAGCAGGCTTCCAAACTTGCCTGGCCTGAGCTCCCTGAGCTGTCTCCGGCTTGGATGTGGATTTGATTACAGGGCATGCGTATCATCTTCTCGAACATTTCAGCGGGTTTTGAACGGGATTTCTTCGGATAGTCTTGCTTGGGCTTCCTTGACAACACTGCCATCTGGGTATACGGTCACACTTCGCTTGGGCCCTGCTCTCGAACTTGTGACCTGGCGGCTTCACGCGGTAAGGCCCGGGACAGATGCAATAAGCCGGGCGCTAGCGTGGACCACATCTAGTCTATAGCGGCGCAAATGAGCAAACCCTAAACCCTAAACCCCTAAATCCCAAACTTACACCGGAAATCCTGCCATAGAAAACCAGGGCCGGACACGGCAAGGATATCAGACACCAAGTATACCCTGCAACACCCTGGTACTAAGCCTGACTTTGCTCAGGTTTGGGTTTAAGGGAAGTGCCAGCCCTAATCAATTTGGACTTACAGTTGAGGCCCAGGGATTCGTAACAGTACGAGTACTATAAGCGGTACAATAAGTAAGGGGTACTATAAGGGTACTACAATGGATGGGATACGGAATTAGTCAAGCTCCTTGGCCAGCCCAACATTTCTAGCCGATGGGTAGAAAGACGGAAGACTAATGTCGGCCTTTGATGGCGGCGGTGGCAGTGGACGCTACCTGGCTGGCAGACACAAGCTGAAAGCATCGCAAGATTTAGGGGGCGGCAGCTTGCATGAGGCTCCGGCTCAGGGCTCAGGGTCTAAATGCAGTGTCGAATTTAGGGGTGTATATTTTATACATGGTTTCAAGGCATTGGTCTCGTATGGGCGGCTTTAGGGCTTAGAATCGCTGCTTGATGTCTTGTTGTATCAGTATTGCACGGGCTGGACGGAATCAAAACGTCTACTGCTGACCTGTATGAAACTGAAGTGTGCGTGGCATCACTAACCACACTCTACTAAACCCCAAGACCGTGTTCTAATTATGACGGCGCCTCAAGCCCAGAAGCATTAGAACCGTTAGAGGAACCCGTAAGGAACCCTATTCTACTCGTAAAGAACCCAAAGTACTAAAATTGTCTGTGAGTTAGATGTCTGGCCTTAGGCGTCGATGTATAGAAACACTGGACTGGATCAACTTTGGCGTCCTTGCTTTCCTACTGGCTTGTCGGTTTGTGATGCTTCGCGCGGCTGCAGTGTGACCTGAACCGGCGCATGCGTTCACACCGGAGAGGCATGCAGGCGTTCGGGGCCAAATTCTTTAGTGTCTCGTGTCTTTTGTTCTTATAGCACACTAGACAAACTCTTCCGAAGCTGATGGACGACCAACTTCTACAGACCGTCTGCGTGAATCCACCACGGTAATCGTAATCTGAACAACTTGCCCCCTTTGCCCCTGAACCCTAAACCTTGAACCCTAAACCCCCCCCCCCAAAAAAATCAAACCTTAAACCCCGTACTTGCGAAGGGACCCAGTGGCAGTGGAGCCAGTGGGGCCAATAGGGCGTCTGCAACGACCGACCTGCCCCAACACAGAAATCTGGCCATTCGAGCCTATAGAGTTTAGCTACACCCAAAGCGCAACGTGGGATGTAATGTAGGGCCTCAATCATTCAGAATAGGGTTAGGGGTATATCATACTATAACTACAATGAGGAAACCCCCAAAACCCCATTCCATTCATTTAGCTAAACCCAAAGCGCAACTTAGGATGTACCTAGACCCCCAACTGCCCTCGAATACTAAACAGCTCTTAAGGATTTCCTGGTAGCACCGAGAATGTTCAACCTGACGACTTGGGGTTGCAGAGGGTTTCAGTGTCAAAATCCCATCATTTTTCTCCAGGGGATTGTCTCGACTTCCCTGTGTCTAGTGGTCTTGGGCTTATAATAGGTGCCTTGATTTTCATAGGGGTTTCGGGCATGTCGTGCACTAGTTACAATATGGCCATACAAACTCAAGCCCTTAGGTAAGGTTGTGGGTTGATTTGGAACTATGGCTCCGGGAGAGAAGGAGTATTTCACGACTCTACTGTATCATGGGTCATGAGGTTACGGGGGGTACTGTAGGGTTGAGTGTTAGTGGGATTTAGGTCGTTCAAAGTATTCGGGTTGCTAGCGGGTTGGAGTTCAGAGGTGAAGAGTTTTGCGGGAAAGCGACTCTTCCAGAGTCCTGGACTAATTAATCCAAGAGTACCAATCTTACCGACTGAGGGGTCGCAGGCCCACATATGCCAGGTGTCGAGTTCAAGAGTCTCGAAAACTATTTCTAACTAGGGGTCTGTATTAAACAATAAGGGAAGATTGAAATTATCCAAGACCGATACCTAGAATTGTAGCTAGTTTGGGTCGTTTTGGAACTCCAGAGTATCACTACAGGAAGAAGCCGTTCCACTACTAGTCTTGCTGCTGCAACAGGAAGTGTGGGCGGGAGGATGAACGAAAAGGTCTCTGCTGATGATTGCGGAGGCAGTGATAACAAATACGCACTTCTTTTCCACTTTACGCTCCTTACCCTCAACACCGTAGACCTTAAACCAGACCCTAAACACCCAAACCTGGACGAAAGTTTTCCATGCTCGGACTCCAGGAACTGTCTTTCAGGGGCACTAGAAATACCCTATCCCAAGCCTTACACAAATGACATCTCGAGACCGACAGCCTTGCTGAAAGATTCTTGCGACTTAGGGAGCTTGGGCTGCAGGTTCATAAGGTTTAAAGTTGGCGGTTGGCGGTTTAGGGTATCGCAATTAGAGACCGAGAACTGTATTGTAGCTATAGGAGCACTGCGCCGACGAAAGGGCAAGATCCTTCAAGCATCACGTACCCTAAGGCTCCAAAGTAGTTCCTTTTTGGGGTTCATACATAGAATCCTATAAGGTAATCCCAAAAAGGAACTACTATGGAGCCTCTGGGTAGGAGTCTTAAAAATCAGAGAAGGGTTGGGCCCGGCGTTCGGTGCATATGTGAAAGGGAATCCTACTTGTCGGGTATCATGGGGAACTAAAAGGTTGACCTTTTTGGGTTTTTTCGGGATTAGATAGGGACTATACTACCCAAGAAAGGTTAAAGCTTACCTACTCTACTACTAGGATCTACTAGGGAATATAACCAGGAACCCTCAGGAATACTTCTGGTCATTACCCAGTCTTCTACGTGAAAACTTCGGGTTCGGGGTTGTGCGGCTTTCACGCTACACTGCATTTGCAACCCTAAGCCCTCAAATAACCCTTCAAGGAACCCCCAAGTAAACCCAATGAGGAACCCGAAAACCCTCAACCCTAGACCCTTTCAGGAACCTTTGAATCCTGAACCCGAAACCCTTTAAGGAACCCTGAACCCCATATACCCTTTAAGCAGCCCTTCCGGAACCCTTATGAATCCCTTAAAAAGAACCCCTATAGATCCCTGATAAATCCCTTAAACGAGCTGGTGTAGACCCCCTACCGCCTGTGCTGTCATCCTCCAAAAGCTTCCGAAGCTCGGCGTCGTCCTGCGGACCCAGAGCTTCGAGTTTGCAGGGTTTAGGCTTACAGTAGAAGCCAAAAAGTCGGAAACCCAATAGCCTCAATCCCCAAGAGCAATGTATAGGGAATCCCAGCACTATTTGGCCTTAATCCGGTTTCCAACTTTTTTGGGGTTTACTATAGGGTTCCGCTAAACCCCACAAAACATGAACCCTAAGTTGGATTCCTTGGTGGGTTTTTCATGTGTGTATTTAGAGGTGCATGGGCAGTTAGAAGTCGGGGTACCAGCCCCCCAATAGGAGTTATGATTGTAGCTACCAGCTACCCTAAACCCTAAACCCTAAACCCCACAATACCAGCTACCCGACTTAAAACTCCACTTATGACCGCCCAGGAACCTCCACGTTTGGTCTAGCACCCACCCTGTACTCGATACCCAGAGGCCTGCAGGGTCTTTAGGGTTTAGGGTTTAGGGCCCTAAACATCCCAATTAAGGTTTTGAGGTATGTGAAAGTTTACGATTATCAATCATATATAGGCAGATCAGGGAACCCTGAGAGAATAGCAGGAAGAATAATGTTCAGAATGACTTATTTATTCCGTCAACCCCTAAACACGCCTTGACTTGAACAACCGCTACACGATCCAAACAAAACCGGTCCATGACTTCCGACTGCACACATTTAGGACCTGGCACTTGATGGTACAGTTTCAGAGTAGTGCGCCGTTGTACCAAGACAGTGGCGACAACTCGCAAAAAGCTGGTGGGTTGAATGCAAATACAGCGTACGAGACTCCAGAATATGGCGTTGAGGGATTCCAGGCAGTAGTTCAGTCCATGCACAGTGGACGCTATGCGGGTACACATCTAGCAACAACTTCCATCCAAGGGACGCATCGCAGCTCTGGCGCGGGAAGATTGCGATAGCCTGTCTGAGGGGAGATACGAGTAGGTAGCTTCGGCGCTTTGTGCGTAAGTAACAGCAAACTAGGACTGGGTTGTAGTTTGGGTGCCCTCAAAAAACAGGCACTTGTGGAAATAGAGCCATCCAACCCTGGACGGTCAGCCAAAAATCATAGAACTCCTAACGGAAGCACTTGTGCAGCAAAACCCATGTCCGACATCACGGCCTGGAAGCGGACCGTGACATAAATTCTTCACGATAGGAAGTGACTTTCGTGATAGTCACTGGTAGTACAGATCCCCCCACGACTCAAAACATCCCCAAATGCCACGAAACCGCCATCCAAGCGCTCACTCCCTGCGCCCCAAACCCTAACAACCTACACCCTACTACCGCAAGCCCCTTCTGAACCCCAAACCGTGAAAAACTTGAGTTCAAATTTCGGGGCCTAATTAGGGCTTTGGGGTTAAGGTGCTTCGGGTCCGGCCATAAGCCCTCGAATTTCGGTCCAGGATGCGCCAGGCTGCAAGCAGCGCGGCCGCCGCGGCGGCGGGCCCGAATCGCTCGGGCGCCGACATGGCAAACCCAGAGAGCCCGAATACCTCTTAATTAAGGACTAGGCTTTCTCTTAGAAGCGGCTTTGTACTATGATTTAATGTATAAGCCAGAAAGTTGGAATATGATTATCCTAAACCCTCTACTATGGTAAATTACAGGGTATCCTACCCTGAAACCATATTCCAACTCTCTGGAGTTCCCTTTACTGTATATTGCTTAGTTAACCGGTATTGGGCTCTCTGGGAAGATACCTGGAGAGGCTGATGCAAGAGAGGGTTTCGAGTGTGTGGGTTGAGGGCTTCTACCAGAAAACTCAGAGATTTTCGTAGGTTCTATAGGGTGTTTTGAGGCGTCTAAAGGAAGTCGATGAGGCTCTATGAGGCTGTTGTAAGGGACGCCACGTTGGCTTTATATAGGCTTGTGATTGCTTCTACCAGGGCCGCAGGGGCAAAGATGCACGGGGTTGTATGTCCTTGCTTCTATCTCTGTGGCTGCAGCTGGTGAATCAGGTCAAATATTTCTCGTGATGTCACTAAGATGTCGGCGTGGGCCTGTAAAGCGCCAAAGGATAAGACAATCAGCAAAGATTTTCAGGGGTTTATGGTTAACGGTGTAGGGTTCGGCGTACTGAATTTAAGGGCACATCAGCCTTCTGGACATCATTAGCATGGCTTCCGGAGACAATTAGAGTATACGTACATTGAAATGGTTCAAAAAGAAGAATCTCAAGGAACTGCAAAAAAAAACGAATAAGGCCGCCATAAACGCTAAATTCTAAACTCTGAAGTCAGTGATCAGAATGCGGCTCGTAGGGTACGTAGGGTACATACTGGTTCAGGGCGAAGAATAATCACGACAATCAAGGACGAAACCGAATCTCTCGGCAAAGGCATGATGCAAACCGACCTCCTTCGAACGAAAGACCTTCACCAACCACTGAATCCTGTCCTGAACCCCTAAACCCTAAACACCCCAAACGCCAAACCCCCAAACCCGTCGACCCCTAACCTTTTCATGGATCAACTTCCGCTCCCTTACCCTCACGCACGGCCTGCGGAGAGAATCTTTTTGAACGGCTACTCCTCTTGACACTGTGTCGTGCCAGTGTCCATGTGCAGAACACCACCAAAGCAGGCTATGAGCCCGAGACCCTCCAGCCGCCATGCGGGCGCCTTTGTGAAGGGGATTCAAGGTTCAAGGGGCTAGAGGCAAGGATTTAAGTGCCCCAAAATTTGCTGAAATCTACATCCATCCGCTGGCACAGGATCTCGGGGGTCAGGAGAGCTTTCCAGGTAAACTCTCGATCCTGGTCTCCTTTCCCGCCAAGCCGCCGTTCCTCAGGATGCAACCCTACACCCAACCTAGCACCGCAGAGGCTTATGACGTCGGCTCCTCAACTCTAGGGTAGCATTCCACCAAGACTAGTCATAGATGGCTTCGGCATTCGGGTTGCAGAATTAGCACGTCAGGATCTATTAATTCGGCCCCAATTAGAACGACACACGACGATGAATGATGCCACCACAGACAAGGCGGCCACCGCCACCATCTTCAGGATCTACCTATAATCCGAGAGCCTGCAAAATAGTAGGCTATGCCACCGTCGCTACTGGGTAGAGCGCTTATAACAGATTTATTATGTCATATGGCATGTAACCACAGTATCTCATATCACATACAATATATATATATATACACATACATATACATATACATATGCATATGCATATACATATACATATACATATACATATACATATACATATACATATACATATATTTTTGCATTTGGGTGCTTTCAGTGGTGTCCGCTGCTTAATTAGAGCCTGCACAAACCTCCCTGAATGGCGTAAAAGGATCCGCCAGGGAGTGCTTCCAGAAACTTTCAGGGGCTACTAGTATAGGCCATCCTCCTTGTTGGAGGTCCCGCCACAAGTCCCTGAGCTCCTGCGGAAGCAGAGAAAGAGGGTCTTTGACCACGACTGCGCTGAGCTCGTCTTTGCACTTCCTTCGCCACGCAGTTTCCCAGCAAAGAGGAAGTCTGTACGTTGACTGCTCTTGGGTCCCGTTGTCGTCCCTCAGGCACTGGTAGGCTTCACACCAGTTGAAGTTCTCGATCACTTTTTGGAACGTAGCCATCCCCATCAGGCATTGGGACTCTCGCTGAGTCCTCGAAGTTCCATGGAATCCCTCTGTGCACAGCCGGGAGATACTTGCACAGATTTCATCAAATTGGGCATCCGTCCATTGCGTAATGTCGCGGTCCTCGTGGACTAGCTTGATCTCCGAGATCAGGTAGTCAAAGACCGCCTGGATCTCATCGAAGTAGAGCGGGTACCGCCTGGCATGGCCTTCGATGACCCCGCTAATCTCGATGTGCTCGAGGTCGCCAAGCAGAGCATCACACAATCCCTCATGTAGAAGACGCTGCCACGGGTTCCACACCTCGTCGCCATCATCTTCCACAGGCTCATTGCCTTGAGTGGGCGGAGCCGGCGAGTAGTTCTCCGCCTCATGCTTGCGTCGACCACGACTCCCATAGCCAGGGGGCACGGTCTCCAAAGGGCGGTAGTGTCGCTTCAAAGCCCGGACACACTTGGGCGTAGCGCGGAGGTGATCCTCCAATCGGCCTCTCGTTCGAAAGTCCTTTTGGCAGCTTCGGCAGCAGGTCCCTTGAATGAAGAATCGGTACTCAGCCTGTCTGCCGTGCACACTGAAGAAGTGTACACTCAGAGCCGACTTCTTCTTGTAGCTTTTGTCACATATGCCACAGGTCCAGCTTGCCGTCGCGGCCTCTCTTGGCACCTCAACAGGGAGTGTTTTGTAAAGGTACCATTTGCAGACGTCGACCGCCGCTCGCTCCTTGTAGATGCCGAAGTCGATCTCGTTGGCTCGCCTTGTCCGCTGCTTAACGAGCTGTGGGCTTGACCGAAGTAGGTGCCACCATTGTGGCCACGCCGCTCCGTTGACCTCCGGCCACTCACCCTGGATTGTGGTTACAAGCCAATGGAGATCGTCCCGGGCTTGTGCGCACCACTCATCCTCATTTTGCAGCATCGCCCACAAGATGGGGGGGCCCTTACGGGCCAGAGAAATCAGCGCCGAGATGCGACTCCTCCTCGCAAAGCTGGCCAAAGGCCAGCATCCAGTTGCCCAGTGGGCAAGGGGGAGTGGTACCTTGAAGATGTCCGGCCCCTTGACTTCACGGCAAAGCAAGCGTCGCACCTGCCTTGAAAAGGCATCACTCATGCGCTCCCATTGCTTGCCCTTGGCAATCCATACCTAAAGATTGTGGTAGGTCGCCACCACAGCCGTTTGGAAGAGAGCAGATCGGGTCGCGAGTGTGAGGTCCTGGTTTTGAAGGAGAAGATGCTTGGCCTTGTCGTAGGCAGCCGTGGCAAGGGCCGTTCGATATCGGGCTTCGGATCCGAGGCCTGCCTCCATGTCCACCATACAGCCAAGGTGCTTGTAGGTCTGGACCACCTGAATGGCTTCTCCCAAGTCGGCCAGCTCCAGTTCAGGGCGGCCGGAGTCGAAGTAGGCCCTCCTAGCCTTCCTCGCTCCGGGTCCCCGCACTCTGATCATGGCACTGGTCTTCTGCCGCTTGAGGTTGGGGTCCAGGCCGTGTGAACGGAAAGCAGAGACCACCAAGGACCCTACCCTACTTGTGCGCCGTAGTAGCTCCATGGGGTCGTCCGCCAGCAAAGCATAGGCGCTAGTTGTATCAAAGGCCTCCTGCCAATTGTCTCTTGGGTTTGTCGCAAAAACTCCTTGCTCCTGCTCCCACGGCAGTGAGAAATTAATGTACCCTCCATGTACTCGTGGACTCGATAGAGGATGCGAGCATATATCACTGCGAAAACCGTGTCCGCCCACGACGCTCCTGGTCGGGAGCCCGCAGTGGAGCGGCACACCGCCGTGGCATCCGTGTACCGCGACGTGAACCAGGAATCATGATGGAAGTCATCAACGGCCGCTCGTATGGGCTCCGGAATCCCAGCCATGTTTAACATTCCTCCTTCAAGGATCAAATCACGAAGGTCCGCAACATCTGAGCCATCCAACCCGAAACGGTAGAACAGCTCTTCCACCGCTCGGTCGACCTTCAGATCTCCAACGGCCAGTTGCCTCACCAACCGGTAGTACGCCGATCGAGTGTCGACGAAAAGCACTGATGCGCTGAGGCGTCGCTGAGAACAGCGCCTCAGGTGCTCGATGACGAACAAAGAAGGGAAGAGGACGGGCATACCCTGCCGGCTGCCACAGTGCAGCGGGTGGAGAAAGTCATCGAGCTGTTGCTTGACCTTTGCTCGCATCACCTTGTGCAGGGTTTTGCCCAGAAAACTTGAAATATACAAGCTCCGATGGTTGGCTACAGCATGCTGTTCGCCGGCCCCTTTGTACGCTTCGTACAAGATGCCTCCTCTCCATTGTAGGGGTTGTCGCCCATTGAGAAGCGATTTCAAGTAGAGGGGTTGTATCATCCTCGCAAACTCGCTTGGATGTACGCACAAGGCGTCACTGGGGATGCCGTCCATGCCAGCACTCTTTCCACGCGCCGTGGCACGCAGTACCCCTTCTATCTCTCGAAGGCTTGGCAAATGTTGCCAATCCCAATCATCCCTGGGGTTGTTCTGCGTCCAGGCAGCCTCTTGCAGAAACCGGGCAGTCGGGAGAATCTGTCCAGCTTCTTGTTCTCCAAAGAACTTGAGCCAGACCTTGTCCCTGTCTGCTGCGCATTGCGTCTCCTGGCCCGTAGTCGGATCCATCAACTTCGGGAGCTGCCTGCTCACCAGTTGTCTGGTCTTCGCCCCCATCCCTGCCTTTTTGGCCCGCTGCAGGATCGCTGCCACATCTTGGGGACCATGGGCAGCCAGGTGGCGTAGGAACTGATCCTTGGCCGTTGCAATACACCTGCGAATGCGCGCAGTGGCGAAGCGGATGGCCGCCGCCACAACGTCGTAGAGGATTTGGTGCCGCCGACAGTGGGGTCCTGGTCCTGTCTGGCCGCCATGTCGCCAAAAAAGGAGACATTTTCTGGCGAGGGTCATGCCCTGCTGTCTCCTCCCTTTTGTTTTCCATCGCAGGTCGTTCTTTTGTCGCCGCATTTCCCAAACTTGGTCTGGAATGTAGGACGCTCGGCCTGGATTTTTGGGCTTTGGGAAGTGCACCTGCAGTGTCTCAGTGATGTGCTGTTCAAGCCTGTGGCAGTGCTCGTCAGGATGCATACTCCACGGTGGCTGTGGGAATGAACAACACATGTGCCCAATGATCTCTCGCCCATGTGCGCTGTTGAGCTTGTCCAAGTCATACTTTGGCCTCCATATTCTGCCGCGGGCGATTCCGCTGGCAAGGGTCCCGGCGAACTCCAGTGCCACTGTCCTGTGATCTTCATTGGGACTGCCATTGTCGATTTCTCTGTCCACAGAGCTTCTGGCCAGCTGGACCCGAGCACGTCCCCCAATGAGGACGTAATCGATACAGCTCTCCACACCAGTGTGATGGCAATGGGTCGCTGAGTCCCCAACGTGGATATCGGCATATGTTGATGGTGCCCAGACACCGCTGTCCTGCAGCACCTGTGCGGCCATTTCGCCAGTTTCGTCCGACTCCTGGTAGTACAGACTTCCGCTCACGTGGGGGCATTCGACCGGCAATCTCCCATTGAGGTCAATGCCGCAAATCAAAAGTTGGACCTTCTTGAGCTTGGCCAGGTGGGCGGCCAAGACTTGGAGGAAGGAGTCTCTTTCTTCAGGCTTGTTTGCATGAGGACAATGTCCAGACACAAAGGCAATCTTGGCTTCCTTGACCTGAGCTACCACGATTAGCAGTCGTGGCAAGGAGCAGACGATGGTGATATCCTCCTCCTTGGGCAGAACCGGGACACCGTCAATCTCCATCATTCCCCAAGTCTTACTGAGCCACACAGCCGTGCCCCAATGGCGTTGGGCATCAGATGCGAGCCGGAAGTATCGCTGGCTCTGGCACTGTCCTCCTGGCATTTTGGTTTCCTGCAACATCACCACCTGGTAGGATCCCGACTCGAACTGTTCCTCCATGTAGCGAAGGTTGCCCGCCAGCCCTTGCACATTCATGGTGCACACCTTGACTCGGAAGTCCCCAGTCGAAGGTTCCTGCTGGCCAGGACCTGTCCCTGTTAGAGGCACAAGCTGTTCAGGTCGTAATTGGAAAGGGGCAAAGGGCTGCTCCGACCAACAGAGGGAGCGATCCACAACCTCCACGGCTCCGTGATTTTTTGCAGCCAGCTCAAAGCTTAGCCAATCCAGGTTGGCCTCCACAAGGGCTTTACATGCCATTGTCGGTGGTTCTGCAAATCTGTCTCCTCCGCGGGCAGCTCGCTTCGCCACTCCATCAGCCAGTTCGTTCCAGCCATTTCCTGAATGCCCTTTAACATGTTCGATTCGGACACTTACCCCAGGGGTTTCCCTGATCATAAGCTCCAAGTTGTGGATCCTCTCTGACAGGTCGTCCACCGGAGCCCATTGCCCATTGGCCGCTCTTCCAGCCGCCAAGCAGTCGACATAGATACAACAATCTAGGTAGGGCAGCATAGTTCGAGCTTGCACCACCCAGAGCAGTGCAGCAGCCACCGCCACCTGCTCCGCCGTAAGGGCTGCAGGTCCATGCAGCGGCCAAGGGGAGGAGCTGTTGCCTAGGAGTTGCCCTCCCAATATGCCGAATACAGCAACTGCTGTTCCAATTTTCATCAGGATCACCGCCGAGTAGCCGCTGACCCGATTCTTCTCGTCCGCAGAGCCATCCGTGTAGACATGGATCTCGGGCAGAGCTGTTGTAGGCTCGACCAGCATCTCCTCCACACTTATCGTATTCGCGAGCTCCTTCTCAGCAGCTTCATGAAGATCCACTTCATGTAGATCCCACGACATCCAGCTACCCGACCATGGCTGGAACAGTGGCGCCACTGCCTGCCAAAGGTGGGGCAGTGGCAATGTAACCTTTGACAGGTCAAAGACTGGGTGACCAACACAATCATGTAGGCTTAAGGGTCTTGGCCAGTGGTTCCTGCTCAGTGTCCTGTCGTCGCCGTGGCGATCTGCTTCTTTCAGGGGGCTCATTTACTGGTCTCGGTGGCGGTGGCCCACGCGGCCGGCCATCCTCCACTCCTGGGCTCGGCGGCCCGAGCTCACTCGAGCTGGGTAGACAGTCGTGGGTACTGGATGATTCACGGCCAGACTCACCATCTGGGTCGTCCTCGTCCGTATCGCCATCCTCTCCGTCGGTTGCCTCATCCTCGTCTTGGTCCTCTTTTTGAAGGTAAAGGGTGAGGACATCGCCACTGGCCACATCAATATTTTCCCCATCATCCCTAGGTTCTCCGCCTTGCACCAACAGAGTCCATCCCAGTAGTGGTGGGAGCCCCAAGGTTTCGTAGAACTCGACAGGGCGGAAGACCCGGCCCTCCAGCTGCGTCCATTGCGGGAAGAGGGCAAGACCTCTGAGGTCGGTGAAGATAACTGGGGCGGTCGGGCTGAATTGGTTCCATCCATCCAAGACGGCCACTTGTCCCCAAATCTGACGTCCCATGTGGGCCAGGTCATTCAATCTCTCCGAAGGGACCTTAACCCATACGTCACCATGCTCATAGCGGAGGGCTTCTTCAGCAGAGACTTCCAGGGGGCGGTCGTCGTCCGATTCAATCTCCTCGAGGACCTGGTCGTCCGCAGCCTGGTAGACCATATGAAGCCGGCCCAGTGCATGTGGCAGAGCCGCTTCAGAGCACCACCGGGTCGGGTCCTGCAATCTATGTTGCAGCTCATCCTGCCATCTGGGCTCCATTCCTGGGCGAAGGATTTTGATCACACTGCCCGCAGGTGCTTGATACTCCTGTCCTGTTCGCATAGGGCGGGAGCTTCCACCCAGGAAGGCATTGAGGCCGGCTGGCCATCCTTCCACCATATGCATGAGAATGTTTTCCCGCGTCACTGGATTCTCAGCGTAGGCTGCGAAGACGCCTCCATCGATAGCTGTGGCATCAATCAGGATCACCACTTTGTTTGTCTCCTGGAGCCAAGCCGGGCCCGCAACATAGCTCGCATATCCCCGGCCAAGTTGGGGCACTGTGGGAGCGAAGTCCATGCGGTAGTTCTCGTCCCTGGCACTGGTCTGCTGGACAGCCTCAGTGATCTGCTGGAGCGTGGTGGGCATACACAGCTCAAAGTCGACAACCTCCGCCACATAATAAGGAACTGCTACCCAGGCAGTGGCATGGATCCGCGCGATCTCCATGGTGTCTGGATCCGGCTCCGGCGGTGCAGCCGGTGTCTCGTATCTTGGAGGTCTGGCCATTGCAGCGTTGTGTTCTACCGGGAGCTCCAAGACCCAGCGGGCCTCAGCTGCAGCTAGCTGCTCACGCATTGTCTGCTGGCCAGCTGCCCATAGCTCCACATCACTCATTCTCATGCCACGGTAGGTCCCAGGTCCCCTGCTGAGCCTGGGGGTTGCCTCCGCTCCACTGACAGTGCTTGTCAGACAGAGCACCATGCAGATTTTTTCCGGGACTTGGCCACATAGTCGCCGGCGTCTGCGACATCTCACAGGGGCCAGCATCATACACAAAGAGGCTCCCCAGATGGCCAAAAGTGTGAGTCCTCCTCCACCAATGGCAGACTGTAAGGGGCCCATGACGGAAATAAAGGCCACGGAGGCCTCCATCCAAAGGTAGTTCATAAAGTCGAGGCAATCATAGATCTTACTCTGACATCTGTGGTCGTGGCCTCCCGCAGGGCCGTGCCACCCTTCGCTGCTCCAACCTAGCACGTCCTCGTGCTCAAAACTTGTTGGCGTGCCATTGCCAAAATGGCTGGCTCCACCCCAGGTCATATCAGCGGACGGACCAAAAAAGCCGCTCATCCCAGGGGGTTGCTGTAGGTCCTGTGCTACTCGACGATCTGCTCTTCCTCCGCACCCTTGAGGTCCGCGAGGAGGTCGTTCTCGTCCTCGTCCTCGTCGTCGTCGATCTCGACGGCCCTGTTGGTAGCATCCTGTTCTGCCAGAGCCGATGCTCGTTTCTCTTCGAGCTTTTTTGCCAACGAGGCGTGGCGGGGGATCTTGATCGGGCCATGGAGGTGCTTCTTGATTGACAACCTCGGCCCATTGTTGTGAGACCTTGAGCGGGCTCTGGTATTCGGCAGGGGAGCGGTCGCTGTTGTCGGCGAGGTTTGGTACGGGTCTCGATGGGCAGGCGATGCGGTGCTGCTGTAGGTGTTGGTGTCGCCTCCTCCGGTCTTGGCCGGATCGTCCACTGTCCTGCTCACCGATGGTGGCGTGAAGGCCATTGTCTCCTTCTTTCTTCTCGTTGGGGTGGCGGGCTCGGCTCTCAATGCTGCTCGTTTTGCAGCGATGGTCTTCAGCATCTTCTGTCGAGCCGCCTTCTTGAGTTCCCCCTGTCCATTCAGTGCACCACTGAGCATATCCAAACCCATATCGTCGTCCTCCGGTTCCTCTCGAAAGAGGTCGTTCCATGCCTGCTCCTCCTCCGCGGTCGGGATTGCCTCCTTGACCATGTCCTTGACATTGCCACCCGCAATCACCGCCTGGAGGTCCACAAGCGCCTCCTCCTGGGCCTGCAGGTTCTGTTCCTGCTCCACTTTGTTCTTCTCCACCGCTGCCAAGTACTTGGCTCGCTCCTTGAGAAAGTTCTTTTTGAACTTCACCTGGAAGACATCCCACTGTTCTGTGATCAGGGCCAGGTCTTCCTCCCCACGTCGGACCTTGGCCTCCGCCCTTCGTAGGTTGTTGACCAGCTTTTGGGCGTCTTTTACCAAGTCGACGGCCTTTCCCGGCTCCCTGGCGCCGCCCTGAAGTCGACGATCTGCAGGGCCGGCATCCATGTGACTCACGGGCATAGCATCGAAGGAGGGGAAGTCGGGCTCCTTGGCCATCTCTTTCGGATTCCGGGCTCCATGTTTGCCCTTTTCCTTGCCTTTGTTCGCTGAGCCTCCATAGCCATTGTCCTTGCCCTTGCCATAGTACTTGTGCCAAGACGCAGAGGACCAGCCTCCATACTCGGATCCATCGTGCCACGCTGGCCATTGCTCCTTTCCTCGTCCCATCTGCAGCTCACGGTAGTGAGGTGTTGAGTGGTGAGCACTGAGGAGTGCCAGAAGCCGAGCAGGTGGTGTACGCTGTTCTCTGCGGCAGCGGTGGATCGTCCGCCTGGCTCTAGACCTGACGGCGCGGGCCCGTCGATGCCAAGTTGGCGACCTCCTTGGTCGCTGCAGGCCTATGGCGTCGGGCGCAGTGCGTGCCTAGCTGACGGCACTGGGGTTTGCCGGCGATAGCTTCAGTCGTTGCTGAAGCTTGTTCCGAAACCCTATATACATATATACATACATATGTTTGTATACCTGAACCAGCAGGTGATTGGAGGCACACGAAATTAAGGTTCAAGAACTGTGAGAAGTGGCAGCTTGGGCGGGCATTTCAAAATACCTTGATCTAAACGCAGGCTCGTGCTTTTCGGACTCTTGACCATGAGCCTTCGCACCCTAACCCCTGATCCCAGATGCCCTAAGATCGAGATACTGCAGCTGTAGCGCCGTTAAAGATCAAATCATGGCATATCCTAGTCATGGCCTAAGTTCTACATGGTTTAACCAAGAAACAATAGGTCGACGACCTGCACTGGGGCAAACGAAGACTTCTGGGAATAATTGACGCCGCAAGCCCTGAAGCTTCAGAGGAAATGGGTTGAAGGGGTGGTTGCCTGTGGTATCGTCACAGCGGGTGGGTAGAACAAAGGAGAAGACCGAAATCCTAAACCCAGAGGCCAAGAGCCAAACCCCAAACCCTAGACCCTAAACCGCAACTGTAAGCCAAGAATACCTGAAACCCAACCTGAGCCTCAAATCCTACACCGCAAAGGAACCCACAGCCCAAGCACGGCCCTGTCAGAGCACGAGCACTTCCCGAGCTCCGGATTGGACTCGCAGTTTTTGCGGCCGGTCACAGCACAGAGATTTCACGAATTCCCACTCTTTTTTTGCTTTCTACCGTAAATCCCTATAACGCCCTGTTCGAACCCGAAAACTGACATGACTGCTGGTTGGATTGAAATCTTGTCTGCGAGGCAGGTTGAAGATCATTCGCACGCCAGGCGAAGCGCTTTGGCAAAGGAGGACGTGTCAAGACTGCACACAGGGAACCCAATACCCCATAATTTAGGAATATACCTTAAGTTATAGAGGCCTGAATATTGCAACTTAAGGTATATTCCTTAATTAAGGGGTATTGGGGTCTCTACACATTTCATGGCTTCTATGGACCTTTCGACTTCGTCGGAATTTTTCAAGGGTTTATCGGGTCGGGGTTTGGCTCGGAGTTCGGGTGCTTTATGGATCATGGCAGAATAACTAGGTTCCTGAGTAGTCCCTTTATAGTAAGGGTGCCCTTGATCCATCTTTTTCCTACTGTTTGGTTGTCCACCTTAAAACTGAAATGGGCAAAAGGGCACTACTCAGGAACCTAGATAAACGAGGATTTAGGGTTTAGGACTTTAGGCAATAGGTCGCAGACTTACGGTACTTGAAGGTTCATGGCAGCCTCTCTAGACCCTTACCGCATGCAAGCTTCAGGGCTCCGGTCTCGCGCGAATGAGTGAGCACTGCTGCTTCTTCGAAGCCCAGTGATGGCAACAAGCAAGGTGCGACTTGCCTTCGACTCGCCGGAGATTCGGAGGTTTCCCAAGCCCCGAAACCCTACATCGGTGAACCAACCCCAAAGCGCATGACAAAACCGCAGAATCTACAGGCCCTTTAAGGACCACCTTAAACTACTGACGAAAACCCCACAGTATGCAAGCCCTTTAACAAACATATCAAATATGCTGAGCCCGAAAACCCTAAACCCTAAAAACCTTTAACCTCTGAACATGCTGACCAAACCCGCCGGACCAGCCGAAGGCTTTGCAGCAACGCCGAGGCCGATGAGGGCGCAGGGTTAAAGCACACTTTGAGGGTTCAGGTCTTATGTGCTGTCGCTCCCAAAGCTTAGACAATCATATTTCCTAAACCGCCAAACTGCCTCAGCCAAAACCGTGAAACTCAATGTTCAATGTTCAATGTGTGTCTCCAAACAGGCACTGCGCACAGTTGCCTGGCAGCCCGAAGGCTACAAAATCACATGTGAGTGCCACTACTCCGCAGAGACTCAAAAACCGTAAGACTCTCAGTCCAAACACCACCAATCGCCCTCGGCCGAACTATGTCCCGTTGCTGCCTGATGTCGTCAAACTCTCGAACATCAGAACTCTACTCAGCAAGTGCCAGAGATCCCACTAAGGGCCTGCCTTAAAAGCAGGAGGTGATTGAGAGGCCTGAAGTATCAGAATAAGTGTTTGTGTGTTTGTATGGGGGACGATGGTGGAACATCATTGCCAATTTCCTACCATTCAGACCCCTAGATTGCCTCAAAGGTCCCGTATGGTAAGGCTGAGACTGTTCCGTTAGCGTGCCTGAGTCTTTGAAACTCTCGTGTGAGGGTGGTGTTCTGTTAGACTGTGCTGCGACATTTTTCGACAGTTCTATACCGGTTGAATAGGCTCCTTCAGTCAACCCCAAAACCCTAAACCCCAAAACCCTTTAATAACCTATAGTGCGTACCCTATAGATCCCTCCAAAGGAACCCAGGAATATTTTGACCGTTAGACTGTAGAGGTGCCATTCAGGCTGGTCCGGGTGTGCTGTATATGGGAAGTTCACTAGATTCGGGCCCCTTATTTTATGGGTGCCGTACTGTTTTGGAGACCTAAGAAAGGATCCTACTTTCGAGAACTACTCATAGGGTTCAAGCGAGCCTTGATGTCCCTTCGCTTGTTGGACTTAGCGGTTCGGGGTTTAGATGACATGCCGTCACGAAGCCACTAGGGCTGGTCTTGCGTGTGAGGATGGACATCCTACATGTAGGTAGTTCTCTAAATTAGGGTCCCGGTTTAGGTCGTCGAATGTGTATCCCGCTCTTATAACGAACTACCCGTCTACACCTCTTAATATTCCCTGGTTCCCAGGAGCCCGTCTACACCTGCTTCAGTACATATGGGTTTACAAGTTGGGAATCGCCGCTCCGTAGTCATAGAGGCATGCTTACATGACCTGAGAAGGTATACAGCCGAACCTAAGGAAAAGTGGGCTCTCTGAGTGTGTACGCAGAAACATGCCGACCATGCTGTGTCCCACTGTGGTCGAAAGCCGGTCCACCCCAAGACCTAAACCTGAAACCTTAAACTCTAAGCCCTAAACCCAAAGCACTCAGCCGTGTTCAACCCTAAACCTGCAGACCGAACTTCGATTTAGGGAGATTGACGCTGAGGAAGGGTCGACTCGACTAACAGGGGGCCGCACCAGCCTTACGTCAGAGAGATTCGAGTTTCGAACTTGCACCAGTAGGTTTGCTTAAGGGGCCTGAATACCCCTAATCCCTAAACCCCTAAACCCCTGTACCCCTAAACCCTAAACCCCTATAATTACCCCTATAATTACCGCTATAAAACCGTAAGCCCTTAAACACAAAACCCCTAGCCCCTAAACCCCTAAACTCCCGTACCCCTATACTTAGCGCCCCACGGCCCATGAGGCTCCAGTAAAGATCCCTTTGCAGGGAAAAGAATGGCGCGCGCTTCCTTTAAGGAAAATCCTGTTTAAGGGCTTTATAGGGTTTGACTGGGTTCCTTTAAAGACCCCTATTCAGGGCTCTATAGGATTTCACTCGGTTTGGGGCTTAAGGTCCCGAGTACTGCAAATGTATGTTTGAGGGAGGGCCGGGGGCGGGGGGGTTACAAGGGTTTCGGCTGGTAGGATTTTCGTATAGCGGCCCTAACAGCCGGAATCAGTTTCAGGGGGTGTCTATTCTGCCGTTATGTAAATGCAAGGATGGTGATGACTAATCACGGAGCCCCCTGCAGATTATAAGCTTGGCCATCTCGATTATTCTACTCATAACTCCACCTAGTACATACCAGTATATACCAGTTAACAGATCCCTACAGGGCATTATACGAGCCCACTACCACCTAGATAGATAGGCAGATAATCGGTAGATAGATAGATAACCTGCCTGTCTGCCTATCTACCTACCTTTCGATCTATCTATCCTTCTATCGACCTTTGTATCCAACAAAACTGTCTATCCGTATACCCGTCCCTGTATATATATATATATATATATATATATGAATCTCTCTCTACCTATCTCTGTTTCTTTCCATATCGTGCATGTATATGTACATATATATATATACAGCGGCAATTACACATACATATGTATATATATATATATATATATGTATGTCGAAATCCACCGGACCGATCGGGGAGCTTCAGCGTGTGGCGGCAAAAAAACCCATCGGCAAAAAGCACCGGTGCGAGAGGTATTCTGGAGAGCAGGGCCTTTAGAGGTTCTAGGGCTTTAGGATTTAGGATACCAGGGATCTACAGAAGGCTTTTTATTCTGGAGTGGAGAGCTTAGGGGTCTAGGGGCTTATAGTTTAGGGGTTGGGATTTCGGGTTTCGGGTTTTAAATTTTCGGGTTTCAGGTTTAGGCTTCTGGTATGCAGGGCCCATTGGAGGTTAGCTCTGTAAGCCTTAAAGCCTAAATCCAAAAACCCTCAACCCTAATACCTAAGCCCTAAACCCTAAATCCCTAAACCCTATAAACCCTAAACCTCTAAACTTCTGGAGTGCAGAGCTTTGGGGGTCGAGGGCTCCCGGATGTAAGGGTCCCAGGGCTGTGCCGATTGAGCTTTGAGTGTGGAACCTTTGGGGGTTTTGGATTTAAGGTTCAAGGCTAGGGCTTATAGGGATTAGGAGGGTTTGGGGTTTAGCATTTAGGGCGAACGATCTTGCTCAGCGGTCTATACAGGGTTCAGGCTGTTAGGTTTAGGATCGGGGCGTCTCGCCCCTCGCCCGAGGGCGTAGGAATGTTTAGGCAGCTCTGATCCAGAATAACGCCCATTTGCTCAGAAAGTTAACTTACCTGGCACGGCGGAGGTGAAGTACTTGGAGGTTCATGGGTAATTATCAGTGGAGTTATAAGTAGGGTAACGATAATTATATCTCATGCCTAGGGATGAACCTCCAAGTACTGGTCCAAAACCCTAAATACCCCTACACCCGATTCTGGTGCTTCCCTAACTCTGAGCTCTGGTGGCATTTGCTTGAGGCTTTTGCTTCGAGCTTCAGCAAGGGTTTCGACAAAGCTTGGAGTTTGCTCAGGGCTTCGCAGAGTTGGGAGCTTCTTGCTTGGAGTGTGGTTGTTGTTTCTGGGCTTTGAAGGGTTTCGGGCCTGGTGCATGTGCATCTGTGTGTGTGTGTGTGTGTGCGTGTGTTTGCGCGCGCGTGTGCGTGTTGGCGTGTTGAAGCATTCGGGGTTCGGGGCTTGGCGTTTGGAAGAGGACAGGTCACATGGAAAAGAACAGCCTAGCATGGACTTCCCGGGCTCACGACTGCAGCTGGTGATGGTGCTGTCTGCGTGTGAATGGTGTAGTCTGAAGGGAATCCTTTCCAGAAGATTTCGAGCTTCTGGCATATTACGGGCTCCAGGGAAAAGACAACTCAACCACAACCATAAGGAGGCATTTCAAGGTTGCGATGTCCCACAAACCCCTTCGAAGAAATCAGCCGGCAAGATACCTTTGGGCGGAGAATATCTGGCCACATTATTTTTCTGCTTCTGCTGCCATTATTTTTTTTTTTTTTTTGTTGGCCCTGGGCCCTGTTACTCTGTTACTCTCATACTCTTATACTCTTATACTCTATTACTCTATGACTCTATTACCCTATGACTCTATTACTCTCTTACTCTCAAAGCTCTATTACTCTAGTACTCTATTAGTCTATTACTCTGTTATTCTATTACTCTATTACTCTATTACTCTATTATTATATTACCTTATTACTCTATTACTCAAATACTCTACTACTCTATTACTCTATGACTCTATTACTCTTATACTCTTCCTCTATTGCTCTATTACTCGATCACTTTATTACTCTATTACTCTATTACTCTATTACTCTACTACTCTAGTACTCTATTACTCTATTACTCTAATACTCTATTACTCTACTACTCCATTAACTCTATTTATTACTCTGTTACTCTATCTACTTTATTTCCTCTATGACTCTATGACTCTATGACTCTATTACTCCTATTACTCTATTACTCTATTACTCTATAACTCTATTACTCTATTACTCTACTACTCTATTACTCTATTACTCAATTTCTCTATTAGAGTATCCTCTCTAATAGAGTAATAGAGTAGTAGAGTAATAGAGTAATAGAGTACTAGGGTACTAGAATACTAGAGTAAAAGAGTAATAGAGTAATAGAGTAAAGAGTAATAGAGTAATAGAGTAATAGAATAAGAGTAACAGAGTAATAGAGTAATAGAGTAATAGACTAATAGACTAATAGAGTAATCGAGTAATAGAGTATTAGAGTAACAGAGCCGAGGGCAATCAAAAAGCATTAGCAGTACCAGTAACAACACAATAGCAGTATTAGTAGTACGGGTAGTAGTAGTAGTGGTAGTAGTAGTAGGAGTAGGGGTAGTAGCAGAGTAATAGAGTCATAGAGGAAATAAAGCAAATAGAGTAATAGAGTAATAAATAGAGTTAATGGAGTAGTAGAGTAATAGAGTAATCGAGTAATAGAGTAATAGAGTAATAGAGTAATCGAGTAATGAAGTAATAGAATAATAATAGAGTATTAGAGTAACAGAGTAATAGACTAATAGAGTACTAGAGTAATAAAATAATAGAGTGATAGGGTAATAGAATAATAGAGTAATAGAGTAATAGAATAATAGAGTAAAAGAGTAAAAGAATAACAGAGTAATAGACTAATAGAGTACTAGAGTAATAGAGTAATAGAGCTTTTAGAGTAAGAGGTAATAAAGTCATAGGGTAATAGAGTAATAGAGTCATAGAGAAATAAAATACAAGAGTATGAGAGTAACAGAGTAACAGGGCCCATAGAATAAGAGAGTAATAGAGTCATAGGGTAATAGAGTCATAGAGGCATAGAGTAATAGAGTAGTAGAGTAATAGAGTAATAGAGTAATAGAGTAAAAGAGTAATAGAGTAATAGAGTACTAGAGTACTAGAGTACTAGAGTACTAGGGTAAAGAGTAATAGAGTAATAGAGTAATAGAGTAAGAGAGTAATAGAGTAATAGAGTAAGAGTATAAGAGAAATAGAGTTAATAGAGTAATGGACTAATAGAGTAATAGAGCAATAGAGTATTAGAGTAATAAGGTAACAGGGCCGAGGGAAAAAAGAAAAAAAACATTAGCAGTACTAGTAACAGTAGCAATAGCAGTATTAGTAGTACGAGTAGTAGTAGTAGTAGTAGTAGTAGTAGTAGTAGTAGTAGTAGTAGTAGTAGTGTAGTATCATCATCATCATACTCGCTGCGGACGGTGAAGTCGCAATGCGCTGATTGGAGCAGGAATCACCTGGCGCAGTAGTAGTAGTAGTAGGAGTAGGGGTAGTAGCAGAGTAATAGAGTCATAGAGTCATAGAGGAAATAAAGTAGATAGAGTAATAGAGTAATAAATAGAGTTTATGGAGTAGTAGAGTAACCGAGTATTAGAGTAATAGAGTAATAAAGTGATCGAGTAATAGAGCAATAGAGGAAGAGTATAAGAGTAATAGAGTCATAGAGTAATAGAGTAGTAGAGTATTTGAGTAATAGAGTAATAAGGTAATATAATAATAGAGTAATAGAGTAATAGAATAACAGAGTAATAGACTAATAGAGTACTAGAGTAATAGAGCTTTGAGAGTAAGAGAGTAATAGAGTCATAGGGTAATAGAGTCATAGAGTAATAGACTAATAGAGTATAAGAGTATAAGAGTATGAGAGTAACAGAGTAACAGGGCCCAGGGCCAAAAAAAAAAAAAAAAAAAAAATAATAATGGCAGCAGAAGCAGAAAAATAATGGCGACAAAAATAGGCCCTCCGATACCTTTCCTCTTTAGGGGAAACTTCCTGGGCTGTGTTGATCAAGGAGCCAGCGTGCGGGCGCGTTGTAGAATACTGTGCATGTCCAGTTGGGCTATTTTAAGCATAGCCCTAAACCCAGAACCACAAACCTCAGAAACAGAATCCCTGACCCTACATCCCAAACTCTAAACAGCCCAAAGCCTTGTGAAATCCTGCAAGGACCCTGAAAAAGGAATCCCATGAGCAAAGAACCCTGACTACAGAAGCCTGAATACTTGCTGGTGCTATTCTTTACAATCATAAGATATTATACCATTTTCTAAAAATCAAGACTAAAACCAGCAAAAAACCCTTACAAACCTTCGCAAGCCTTTTAAACCATAGTAAATCCTTATAAGGCACGACGGGGTGGGTAAATTCGTTGTTGTCTCATGCTGCTTGGGGGAGGATGTTCTTGTGTTGGATTGCCTGCAATCAAGGGTAAGGGAGGGTGCGAGGGCGGGAGGGGATGGGGAGGCTAATGACGTCCTTGTCTGATGCTGCTTGTCCAGGGAAGGGAACGCTGATATCGGTTTTGCTTCCTGGAGCTAGTGACGGGTCAAGCCTTAAGTGAAAGAGTTTTCTGCCGGCAGCAAAAACGGTGAGCACTTGCACGCCTCGCACTTGAGCAAACGTCTCTCCTTCGATCAAACGTCAGACTAAGATGCCTGAACATGTGCATTTTCCTATGGAGGACACACGTTTTGAACAAACTCCTGCGGAAAGTCATGACTTGGACAATGGCCCAGCGCTACGTCCTCCCAAAACCTGCGTGGCCACACGGTGAAATTTCTAAACTTTGCCACACAGACGCATGTCGAAACTACAACCAACTGCAATGACTCGGAAGTAGCGGGTCCCTGCCACGTGATGTTTACTTTGGCTGCATCTCTTGACGTTCGCCCTAAGTCCCGGGCGCCTACCCTGTGCTGCGCGAATTATTGAGGCCCCCCATAAACCATTACAAACCTGAACCCCCCCAATACAAAAAACCATATCCTAATTCCTAAGGCGCCTGTACTAGGAACCGCCGGCCGGGCCTCGTTGTCCACAATGTCGTACATGGCATAGAACAAAGGAATCCAATCCTGACAAGGCAGGATGTGCTATAAAGTGCGGTGGATGGTATCGGGTTTAGGGTGTATGGATTGAGGGTTTAGGGTGGTTGGGGCTTTAAAGGGCGACGGTTTTCGATGGTTCAAGGAGTTTCTGGGGTCCTGGGCCTTGGGTACGGAGGTCTAGTCTGGCCAAGTTTTGAGGGTTTAGGGCTCAGGATTGTAGCGGCATGGCGCAGAGTCTCGGGCTAAAGGCGAAGACTTTACGAAGCAGTAGGGTTTATTCAGGGTTTCCTCAACGAAATCATCCCTCAGTGAAGAAAGAGTGCCAGAAGAATGAGAATATAAGATGAAGGTCCTAGCAGGAAAACCGACATCATCAAGGTCATGAAACGTCGAGGCCCTAATAATTTGAACAAGGTTTGGGGGTGTATTATGGTACTGTGCTATTAGCAACAACAATACCAGGTAAATACACGAACAATGATAATCCGAATAGTGATGAAGATGATATAAACAGTAGCATTTACAATAATTGAACTAGTATAAGGAACCTCAAGGGATAAGCTTTGTAAACATTCGAGCCCCTATATTGCATGGAATTTAGGGTTCCTGTCATGGAAGAAACTTCTGAAGATTCGCCAAGACACTAAATAAATTCGCCAAGACACTATGGAAATCAAACGCTCCACGCATGGTTTAGATGTTGCCTAGAAACTACAATAACCCGGAAATAGAGTCTAGGGATTAGGAGTGTGATGTCCGTGGCTTTTTCAATGCATATCCATGAAATGCAACTGCTCTCCACAACCTGGAACTCTTGATCCGGCCCTGCTTTACTTCGTATGCTTCAACCTCGCAGCTAGTTCGGTTTGAGAGTCGAACCCTGGAAACACTTCCTTTCCAAGTGATTCAGGCTCTTTGACCTGTGTTTCTCAACTACTTCGCATGACTGTTGCTGTGCTTATGGTTTCTCTCGCATATCACAAGCATTAGTCTCCGACGCATCAACCTCTCCTGATTCTCATGTAATGCTCACCACCCTGGACTACGAGGGTTGGCAACATCCTCAGAGAAGGCCGAAGGTCGTGTCACAATGCCTTAACTGTAGTTGAGAACTCATGGTTCCAGCGGGAAAGAGCGACAATCGTCCTCCTCACCATGCCAAGCCCTTTAAGCAGCACAGTTGCTTTGCGGTTCCATCTTAGTTTTGACTGGGCCACAACCATACACTCACACTAAACTTTGAAACACAGCGCGGCATGTTCCCCTCATTGACCCGAACCCACAAACCTGAAACCCCCGACCCAACTTACACAAATCCGTCAAAAACTATACAAAGTGATAATCCTACGACACTCAACTCTGCGTGCCCGGCCTCGTCAGGTATTGGGTCCCTAATAAGTAAGGAGATCCCTTTAAGGAATCCCTTTAGATCCCTTTTAGGAGCCCTTTAAAGGAACCCTATGGGTTTAGGGTTTAGGGATTCTTAAACCATGCCCCGTAGCGTGAAAGATACTGTTCATCTACGCATACCAGCATCCGAAACCCAAGTCCACGTTTGACCGCTTGGGTGAGAGCTATATACGTCCCAAAGGCACACTCCCAGTTTGGGGTTTACTGGGTGTTGGAGACTGTAGGCTTCAGTGTTGAGGGCGTTGAACTCTACATAGGGTGTTAGGATTTAAGGCTCTTGGGCGTTAGGGCTTATACTATAAACATAGTAAGGAACCCCCAAAATAGTACTAGCCCCTATAGTAAGCCAAGTCTCGGCGCGCTGGAGCCAGATCAGAAGAAATAGCAGCGCAAGGGCTGCCTCCCGGCTCACTACTGCCGTTATACAGTGATATTAAGGTTTAGGGTTTTTGGTGCTCACCATTGTCGTTGTACAGCAATTAGTATACAGGGCAAAAATAAGAACACAACATAACATAGCATGCAGAGCATGCATACATAAATTCATAAATACATACCTACCCACCACCCACCCGCCAACTCACCGACCTACATACATACACATCCACATCCACATCCGCATCCGCATTTGCATCCGCATCCGCATCCAAACCACATCCACATCGACATCCACATGCACATGCACACGCACATACACATACAGACAGATACCTACACATACAAAGACATATACGCATGTACACATATACACATGTACACATATGAAAATATGCATCATGTACACATGTACACATGTGCACACGTGCACACTCATACACTTACGTATGTATTTGATACAACATTATGTGCGAGTAATTGTTGAGTTTGTTGTGATTTGTTGTAGTGTGGGGTGGCGCGCCTGGTTTGGTCTGGTGTGACGTGGCATGAGGTGGGGCGGGGTGCGGTGGGGTAGGGTGGTGTGCTGTGGTGAAGTGTGTTGGGTTGTGTTGTTTTGCGTGGTGGTGTGGGGTGTAGTTTCGTGTCGTGTGGTATCGGGTCGTGCGGTGTCGTGTTGTGTGTTTGTTGGTACTCTTATTGTGAATGAAATATCCGTGTTTTGTGCGTATAACAACTCTTCTAAGAATTGTTTTTTTTGTTTATGGGTTGTTTAAGTAAAATCGAGTCTTTTAATCAGAATTAGGGTTAATCCTGTGTGCGGCTTTGAATTTATGTAGGATCTTCGGTCTGCCAGAACTCCAGAAAATGGGAACATAGTGTAGGGTTGAGGGACTGTTGCTGCGGTTCCCTGCCGGACGGTACCTTAACAGAATCAGGATCTAGGCAACACCCGAGAGAACGGGCAGACTCTACGAGTAGCGATCGACTGGTGCACTGTGAGGTGTTTTGCAGAAACTGTTGAAATTCATGCTTCAAGACGAAGGAAGAAACGACCCTCTCACCATGGCTTCGTACCTCCAAGACATCTCGAAGTCCCTTTTCAAAACCCAAATGCCCAGACGATTGCAACAATAGGACGAAGTACCATGGCAGACAGCCAGGTAGGAATGCCGCCGCCGTACCTTGGTCGGAACTCGGGGAAGACTATGGCCCCACATAGGTTTTCATAACTGGACGCTCCAATGCAAGCCACCCTGTCAAATGGTTGCAAGGACGTTCATCAATCATCTTCACAGACCAAGAAAGTGAAAACATACCAGACGGCTTGGTTAGCACAGCTTGAACTTCCAAACCGAAACTCCTGCATCCCAACCCATGTGATTGCAGTACCTCGCATTTGTTGTCATATCTTCAGCGGCTGAGTACCCTAGCCCAGTACAAAATTGTCAACCTTTGCCATTATGGTAGGATATAACCCCGAAAGGTTAAGGGTCACCTACTCAGCTACCAAAGATCCCTATCCTTATCCTAAACCCCAAACCTCTTAACCCCTTAACATCCCTAAACCCTCAATTTCTTCATCCGCCCACCCTCACACCGGAAGACTCGGCGAAGCCAGCCTCGGGTCTGCCCTCACCCCTGACCTATACTACTAAAGGGTACTGTATAAGAGCATTTCAAGGAAACCCCACTATAGAAGCCTATACTGCGCCGAAAAGGGGATCCCATTACAGAACCCCATACTGCCCCTTTAAGGGATCAAATTTGGCATGCTCCCAAAAAGGTTCAGTGCTTCTGTGCTGCGACTGTATGGAGAGGTAGTAGCCGCCAAGCAGATAAAGGCTTGCCTTGCCCCAGGGACGATTATGGCCGTCTGGGCCCTAAAACCCCGAAACGAGAAAGCCTGGGTTTTAGGCTGTAGGGTGGAGGCTTTAGGGTTAAGTTAAGGGTACAGGAGTAAGCTGAGGATGTAGGATGCAGGGTTTACTGTCGGGTTTAAAGGTTTAAAATTGAGGGTTAGGGCACTGCCAACCCGAAAGCATCAACCTGATGCCCCGGTCATCACGCTACTCCTGAAACTCCTGAGGCCATGCATGCCATCACGGTGCCCCAAATCCGTGAATGGCCCTGTCAAAACCTACTGGCTCTGAGCCGAATAAAGGGGCCTTACTGACACCAATAGGGTTTTGGGCGATCTTGGAGCACTGCTGCTGTTAGATGTCACTAGTATATAGAACGACAAAGCGATACTCGTACCCCTAAACCCTACACCCTGAATCCCAACCCCGTGGCAAAGTCTGTCATGCCAGAACGATGCCCAAAGAGAGATTCTCGGCTTTACAGCTTTACATGGGCCCTAACAAGGTTTCTAATGGGTTTCGCATTCAGGGTTCCGTAAACGTTTAGAGTGTTTGGGCCTTATTTTACATAGACCGTAGGGTTTAGAGGATATACGGCAGTAAAACTGTACTCCTAGGGAGCGAACCCTAAGGAAACGTGCACCCCAAAACATCTTAAACCCAAAGCATTAAGCCCTAAACCTTAAAACCGCAAACCGCCGGTGTTTGCAAACGTTTTTGCGTGGAAAGTGTATCAAAGCAAGTAAACCAAGTGATCAAAAACTGTAAAGCACATTTCAACAAAAACCGAATCATATGTTTTGCAACACGTCGCAAAGTGTTACTTTGCATCAAGCTTCATCTCCAGGCTCCTGTCTTGTGTAAGGGAGTGTTGGAAGATTGCAATTTCCGCAGTTTCTGTCTCGCGTCAAGCTATTGCGGGAGGGCCTGTTTAGTTTTCCGGCTGGTGCTTTGCGACACGCCAAGCAGGAGCCGACAAGTGTATAGCTTGACGTAAAACAGGAGACAGGACATTGTGATAGCCCAACAGCCAACAGCTTGATGCCAAACAAAAGCCTCGGAAGTTGCAAAACAGGAGCCTGCAAATCGTAATCTGCAAATAGCTTGATGCAAAACAGAAACCACTACTACTACTACTACTACTACTACTACTACTACTACTACTACTACTACTACTACTACTACTACTTTTTTTACTACTATTGCTAATATTACGACTATTACCTTTAATCCTACAATTACTACTTTTACTACTTACTACGACTATTACTATTGCTACTACTACTACTACTACTACTACTACTACGACTACTACTACTACTACTACTACTACTACTACTACTACTACTACTACTGCTAACTACTACTACTACTACTGCTAACTACTATTACTACTATTTCTATTATTATTACTACTATTACTACTATTACTACTACTATTACTACTATTACTACTATTACTACTATTACTACTATTACTACTATTACTACTATTACTACTATTACTACTATTACTACTATTACTACTATTACTACTATTACTACTATTACTACTACTATTGCTACTATTGCTACTATTGCTACTATTGCTACTATTGCTACTATTGCTACTATTACTACTACCACCACTACTACTACTACTACTACTACTACTACTTTTTTTTACTACTATTGCTACTATTACGACTATTACCTTTAATCCTACAATTACTACTTTTACTACTTACTACGACTATTACTATTGCTACTACTTCTACTACTACTAGTACTATTACTACTACTACTACTACTACTACTTTTACTACTATTTCTACTATTACTACCGTTACTACTATTACTACTGCTGCTACTACTACTACTACAACTAGACAACTACTACTACCACCACCACCACTAGTGAAGCCCAAGCAGCAGGAAATGCAACAAGAATCGCTTTGGGCTCGTGATTGGCTGATGGCTGCCAGTGCAAACATCGCTTTGGCTTGCACGTGGGCATGCATTCTTTGTTGCTCAATCACAAAGTTGCTGAACTTCCTAGCCCGCTCCACGCGACGTTCAGCAGCGCGACGCAACGGACTTACGCTGGAGTCCCGCAGCGATACAGTCTCAGCTACGGGTGCAACCCGAAGGCATGTGCAACGGGAGGAGTCTGAACGTCAACATGAATGTCCTGGTGGGCAGCTGCTGGTGGCGGCACAGCGGGCTTTTGGCACAAAAAGGGTTTTGACATGCTGCAGCTTCGCTTCATTACTGCCGAGGGCCCTGCGACCTTCACTGGAACAGCATCGAGTTTCTGCTTGGTCTTGGGCGGTCCGATGCAAACGCATGATGGCCCCGCTGGGCATCCTAGGGCAGTGCTCACATCCGGACAGTCATTGTAGCGAGGCCAAACTAGTCAGCCCTCCTTCAAAATGTTTTGCCATTGCTGCAGCGACAGGCTGCACAATGTTTCCCCGATGCTTCTGTCACAGAGCACAGACGCTTCTAGTGCAGGCTCCGCAGATGACTTGCGCAGAAATGCTGGCAGCAGGATCGGTAATGCATCTTGCTGGAACACAGGTGTTTTGCGGGCACACACAGGGAATGCGGTCGTTTATCGTGAATTCAGCACCATGTCCAGAAAGGCTGCATGAGCGTGTTCGCACGCGGCATGGCAGGCCAAGCGTGCACAGAAGGCGCACAAAGGTTGCACATGAAAAAGTTCGGCTTGGCTGGACTCCAGCCGTCAGTATCTTGAAGCCGTGTCTATATACAAGAACATGCTCATGCAGCGTGCGTACAAGAGCTTCCACGTCACACGACGGTTGATCTCAAGCCAGTAGCTCTAGATTTGTGAGACCTTCCGCCAGGAAAGATGGCGTTCATGCTTCAACAACCCGTGCGAATTTCCTGGCCAGGCCTCGCTTCACAGATGGGACACTATCATGCTTGGCCGAAACCAACGTGCTCTTATCGGGAGCACAAAGACGTAGCTAGGGTCTTCTGGAAAACATAGAAAGTGGTGCCTTCTTCGTCAGTCCACATGTCGTAGGATGCAGTTCGGTGGCGTCGTTCTCAGGCTGATCGCGGCTAAGGCCGCAACAAGGAGTTTGTGCATATTACAGCCTAGCTTTTTCGGAAATGTAAAGCAATACCGATATAATATTAATATATATATATATATACATATATATATATATATATATGAATATGTATACATATATATATATATATATGAACACATGCATATCTATATCTATATCTGTATATGTATATGAATATACTGAATATACATATATGTATATACACATACATATGTACATACATGCATACATACATACAATTGTATACCAAGACGGCTCATCTACCAGTTGTCACAAACCTTCATACTGGGTACTAAGTTAAGGGCCCTCAGCAGTTGTCTGGACGAGCTTAAGGGTAAATGAAAAAAGCTTCCCCAAATTGCCACCAGCTTAACCCTAAACCCTGAACCCCGAACCCTAGCATGCAACGATGAAGCCAAATCTGTGAAGCCCGATAAAGACCCCACGCAAAATTCTTGTTCATGACAGCCGTAAATCAACCATTTCAGCCCCCCAGTCGCTAACACCCATACTCTAGAGGCCTTAATAATTACCAAAACTACTTTGGGGGTGCCTTACTACAACTATAATTATAGTATACTATACCCCCAAACTCTATTCTAATTACTAAGGCCCCTACAGTACTCCAAGAAGCATCCAAGAGAGCCTTAAACGTTCAAGCCCCCGCAAACCCCAACCAAATTCACTCAACTCCCACATTCCAAGAAGCCTTCGTCAAAAGAGCCTTCAGCCTTCCAGGCTAAGACACTGAATCCAAGAAGCCTGCAAGACGGCCGTCAACCTTCAGGCATCCACAACTTAACCTCCCATTATCTTAAGGCCCTTGCCGGGCATGAAAGAAGTTGAAGCGCTCAAGACCCCTACAAAAGCCCTCAAACCACTATGAAAACAGCCTCCTTCCAAGAAAGTCCTAGACCTTGAAGCCCCATCTAGAAGGACTCCTTCAAGCGAGCCAGATAGGACTTGAGCAGATAGGAACGATAGGAAGCCTTATAGGAGCCCTAACCCCTCTTGCAAGGGAGTCCTTTAAGCCCAAAACCCTGAACCCTTAACCCCCAAACCCTAAACCCCAAACCAGAAACCCTAAACCCTAAACCCAAAGGCCAAGCCATGCATCTAAGGTGCCATGAGCCCCGCTAGGAGCGACATGAGGCATTCGCACCTCAGGGCCGTTCGAGTCTTCTTTCTTTGAGGGTTTGTATAAGGGCTCATAGGGTTTACGGGTTTAGGGGTTCAGGGGTTAGGGTAGGACCCTTGTGCTGTTCAGGGCAGGACCCTACATTTCATCTGTAGCTTCTTCGGTGATATTGACAGGTTGCATGCTGGGGCTCGGGGCTTGGATGGCGTTTACGCTTCGGGCGTTTCGCTGGCTTGGCGTCCAGGGTTCAACAGGTGCGTTGGGGCCCGTGGTTAGACAATGGAGACTGGATGTAGCTTTGCAGGTCCTCGAGCCGTTTTCTTGTTCAAAAAGGTTTAGTGCTGCACTGTCTGACACTGGAACCGCAAACCCAAAGCCCAAAGGCTTATAATATCCTAGACAGTAAGGCCTAAACCCTATAACCTTTACCCTGAGCCCTAAACCCTCCACCCTTATAGGGTTTTCATAGGTTTTTCAAGGCTACGTGCGGAAGGTCCTCCCTCGGGCTTCGGGCTTGGTTTGGATAGGAGTTCCTGGCGCTTGGGAAATCTAACCAGTGGTTTTGGGGTTCCCTTGGCTCTTTAGCTCCTTATTTAATAGGGATTATCATCATCCCTGGCTCCTTAGCTCCTCCAATATTTAAATGGAGAAATTGCAAGAGTTGTAGTGGATCCTCGGTCGCAGGGCTTAGGGTTTTGGGGGCTGAGGGACGGTAAGGACGTGAAGCAGACTCCTGGTCCTAAGTCTCCGGCATAAGCGGTTTTGGAGTTCAGGGCTGGGTTGCTTAGAGATGTTGAATACTTGGAGGGTCGGGGACTTAGTAACTGGCTTATTTTAGGGACTTATAAGTACCATAACCCCAATTAGGGTCCCATTTAGGGTACGTATACGTCTACTTACGAACTACTTACTAAGTCCCCCGACCCTCCAAGTAGAAGTTGTTGCTCTGCTGTTTTCTCTGAGCAGCTCCTCTGGGTAACCATGTACCAAAAAATGGTATATACGCTGGCCCCCAAGTACCAAAATGGGGACTACTGTTAGGCCAAAGTATATATACTATTTGGGTACATGGCCATTTTAGGGCTAGGGTTTTTAGGCTTTCTTAGGCTGCCAGAGCCTTCCGAACCTCGTTAATTAGGCAACCCACGCAATTGAATCATATAGAGATGGCTATACTTAAGAGGTGTGCCATACAACCTAAAAGCCAGAAAAACTCTATAGGCCCTACATGCCCCACAAACCCTCAACAATACATAGTGGGAACCGTCAACGATAACATAGGCGCTGACGGTACCTCATGTATAGGGCTCAGGCTTCAGGGTTCAGGGCTTAGGGTTTAGCATAGGCAGCCCTGGCAAAAGAGACACTTAAAGCAACCTGCATACACCCTTGTGGGCTTGGAGAGCATCCAAGTATCCATGAACTGCTGCACGGCTTGTAGAAGAAGTAGTGGCTGAACCTGCGCGTGTAGGCCCGTCCGACACTAATGTTGTCTTCGTACTAAATCCTGAACCTACTACTTAAGTTTTAGCAAACCCCAACTCCAGCAATCCCAAACTTGCCGCATACAACAGAGGAGTGCGCTTTCGAGTGTGGTCATTAGGCAAACCACCGGAAACCCGAAACCCTAACGCTCGACAGCTGTGAGACAGGCTCTGCTAGACGTTCTACTATTGTGGGGGCTGTGGGGGGGTAGGGTTTACCTGCGACTCCTAAACGCCCAAACCCTGCAAACCCTAGAGGGATCCCGATACAGGTTTCAACCCTAAAGCCCAAACAGCCCCAAACGACTAAAGGGCCAAGACCCCAATTTCTTGAACTCCCGCCTGTAGCAAACTGGAACTGCAGTGCCCACCTCAGATGATGCAACCAAGAGCTTGAGCTCCAGCTGTGGGCGACTTTTTGGTGATTCAGAAGGCTCAATTTAATTGTTAGAAGTTTAGGGTTTAAAAGTTTCGCAGTGTAGGAATCTAGGGTTTAGAGCTTTGGAGTTTAGGAGTCTTAAACTGTTGTTTCAAGAGCACTAAAGCGCTACCATACAAAGCCCCAAGTCGGTTGACCCTAAACCTTAAACCCTAAACCCCAAAAACTCCTAAACCCTGCACCGCAAACAGCAAACTCTAAACCCTAAAACTTCTAAAACCCCGTAAACCCTGAATGCCTAAACTCTAAACACTAAACCCCCACACCCCTAAACCCTACGTGGGATCTCCCTACTCGACTTTCGCCAAGCCACGAAGCAGCACCAGCACATTGAGCTGAACCACCCGTTGGCACCTTCTGCTCAGGGGTTTTTAAGGTTTGGGGGTTGAGGGTTTAGCCGTTTAGGGTTTCAGGTTTAGGGTTTAGGGGTTAGGGTTCTAAGCTGTTCGGTTTCGGATTGCGGGCCTTTTGTTCCGAGCTTCGTGGGATTTGGAACCACAGGTTTATGACATAAGTGTTCTTCCTATTGCCTTTCTGGAGTGACGCCAAAAAGAACACAGCAACATCCCTGCGGAGCTCTGTATACACTCGCCCAAGCAACCAAGCCCCAATGTGACTCCGCGACACTACAGCCTTAACCTCACATTGACCTACCACAACCTGCCTTTTGTAGGCTACCCACAAGTTTTACGTTGGGGCTGATAGAAAGATCCTACAAGAAAGCAGGTTATGGTGGTTTAAAGGGATTGCAGGGTTTGTACATTCTTAGGGTTCCTGATTGTGATATCCTTATGCCCCTCATGACAAATGTAGATTTTGGCGGGTCAAGGTAGGACTTAGGCTTTGGGGTGAGAGGCTTGTAAGGTGAAGCCCCTGAACAACCAGCAAGGACTTAAGTCCTTCGGACCATGAGGCTCCGCCTACCCGAACAGCAATCGATACGAGTACTAGTTTAGGGTTCCAAAACTGAAACCATAATACAGAATTTCTAGAACCTGCAAAGATCCAAGTTCACCCCAACGACTGGCGAGGCTTCAGGGATTTCAATGGTGCTTGCCTTGGTGTACATGGAGGCCGCTGCTGATGTAGTCGGCCTCGACAGTGCGGCGTTTGGGGCTTGAGAAACTTCATTTGTTCCGGGCTTCCGGGTTCAGGGGTAGGTCACGTTGGGGAGTTTGAAGTAGTGGGGTCTGAAATTCTGGGCTTCCGAGCTTTGGGCTTTTTGTAAGAGGCCCATCTTCAGAAGTTTGGGTGGCGGCCCTTAGGGGAACCGTCTATAGAACCCTTATGAAACCACGTAGAACCCTTGTAGAGTCCCAAATCCTGACCCAAAAGGCTTCCGGGCCGTCTGAAGCAATCGCAACATAAGCGATGCAAACTCACTTGGAGGCGCATGGTCAGTTATAAGTAGTGGTATAAGTCCCCTTATAGGGCTTATAGCTATAGTTACCCTACATATAACCCCACAAATATTCTATCTATGAACCTCCAAACCGCCAAGCGTAAACAGCAATCGCACCCGCAACCGGCCGGCACTGAAGTCCGAAATCAACCGTAAACAACAGCGACACATGGGGTTGAAATCTGGAATCCTATATTTTAGAGACTACACTACCAAACCCCAAACCAACAACCCAGAAAACAAAAAAACCAAACCCAGAATCCCTAAACCCGGTCTCTACAGTCCCAAAGTCTAAACACTAACCGGGTTGACCTCGTCGAAGATGTTGATCAGCATCACCGGCAGAATCATCCTGGCGAGACGGTTTAGGGTTTACCTATAGTCTCCATTGCAGTTCCTTTTTGGGGTTACCTTATAGGATCCTTAATATATAATTGGTTAAACCAAAAAAAGGAACTACAATGGAGACTATAGGTAGGGTAGAAGCGTCCTGGCGAGGGCTTACGCAGGGCTTGGAGTGGAAAGAGGCCTTGAACATCTGCAGGGACGGTCTGATGAGGGTATTTAACGGCGTTATAAAGGTTGCGTAAGCTCATGTTTGAGTCAGGGAGTTGAGGTATCTAACCTAGCGACATGAGAAGAAGGGACCCAAGGAATGGTATTGGCAACTATTCTACCCGCTACATTGGTTTGACGGTTTTGTGTCAAACCCTAGGACCCCTTTTCGCAAGCTCTAATTGAAACCGTTTAGGGCTTGCAGAACCCCAGGCCCTAATAGAGGGGCCTTAATAATTAGACTAGGGTTTTTGGGGCCCATTATACTACAATCACAATGGCAGTCAAGCCCCAAGAGAAGTGACCCCAGTACCCTTGCAGGCCTTGTCGGATAATGCTGACTTGGGCCCAACACCGCCAACCTCATTAGGTCGGCTGCACTGTTTGGTTTAGAATCCCTAAGACTCCAAATGGCCCAAAGCAGGTACCATTTACTGGCTTTTTTAAGTAACCAGTGGGACAAAAGTATAACTTGTATTTCAATCTGGTTCCTTGAAGAATGAAAGTATTAAAGTGTCTCCAACATCTCAGTCTACAGACTTTAGAGGCCAAAGTAGGTACTATTTTCCTACTTGGAGTCTCAGGGAATGAGTTTACGGAGTCGGGTTTGGGGCGCTTAGGGTTTTGGCCTGACGTTTTCGGCTCAAGGATTAGGGGCTTTTGTTTGGAGTGCAAGGTTTCGGGCCTACGGGAAGGGGATGTTGTATATTGGTGAACGTTTGTTGGGGGTTATTTAGCGCTGTGGAAGGAACAAGGATCTGCCCTGGTTGGGATTACTCGAGTTTTGGGTTTTGGGTTTGGGTTTAGGGTTGTTTCACTGTTCTTGCACTCGCGAGGCTGCATGTTACTTCTAGCAGGGTCTAAGGTGCTTCTGGTCACTTCCGATCTGCGGAGGCTTAACGCCGAGCCTTTGACCCCCTACCTAACCGCTAGGGTTTGGATAAACAGACGAAGCTGATTCGTGATGAAGGAGAGCACAAAGCGGTATAGTATAGACCCCTCACTATAAAATCCATTAAGAGGGAGAAATCCTTGCTGACTAGCCCCACTAGACCCAACAGGAAGCCTTGTACAACACAGCACAAGAACCTTATTATTTAAGAAGACAGCCTCCAAGGACCCTAAACAGTAAGCAGTAAACCATAAACCTTAAACCCTACACCCTAAACCCCCCGCAATGCAAAACAACGAAGCCGGCTTAAGCCGGAACGATCGATTGGGCCCGGAGAAGGCCGGGCTCGTCCGGGAGTTTAGGACGGGGCGGCTTCGAGTTTTGGAGGTTCTCTAGGGGGCTTTTAGGGGTGTAGGGTTTAGGGTTTAGGGTATTCGGGGTTCTATAGGGTTTCTATTGGGTGGCTTATCGAGTTTTCGAGGCTGATACTCGTTAACGGCTTATTGCCTGCGCTCTTGCAAGGCCTCTCGTCCAGGTACGCTGCGTGGAAGTTGCGCAAAACAAAGTTGTCGAGGCTGTCAAATTCATCATGTGCTGACAACCGAGAGAAAACGGGCCCCCCAGCTCCATGCTGATGGAGCGTGAGCTGGCTCAGCAGGCATGAAGGCCTTGTTTGCTCGGTAAGCTGACAACGACTCTTCGGCGGTCCCGTTGGGGAAGCGATACTTGTCAACATCAGCGTAGTCAGCACAAATGGCTGTGACGTCAGCATCGTAGTCACCGGCAACCGGTTGAGGGAGCTTCGAGCAAGTGTGAGTAGCTCCAAGCTGGTGCCTGCCTGGGGTTTATCAACAGTGGCTGCTAAACTTCCAAAAAACTCAGCTCCAACCCCGAACCCACACCCAAAGCCCCAAAAAGCACCAAAACACTAAGTCACCAAGCTGGGAAAGCCTTAACCCTACAAACCGAAATCCGAAACTCCTTCTCCATAAACCCCTAACCCCTAAACCCCTGTTTAAATCCTCCTAGAATCCCGATTCGGCGCTATATGAAACATCTTTGAAAGCTTTACAGGGCTACTACAAGTACCCTCTAGGTTCCTGAGTAGATCCTTTAGAAGAAGGTTGCCCTTTTTCTTACTGTTTGGTTTGAATAAGGGCAAAAGGGCACCACTCAAGAACCTAGTTTTCTGGGTTGGCCTTTAGACACCCTGAAAAATATTTATATATAGGGCCCCTTATAAACCCAAATAAGGAAAATCAAAAATGCCCCAAAATCCAACCTAGTTTTTTTAGACCCTGAACGAGTGGCCCCCGGAGACCCTGCACTGGCTGACAGACGAGGAGCACTTGGTCTTTGACCTTCTCACGAATGTGTTGGTTACATGAGTCCAAGCTCTCGAACCATTTCAGGACGCGCTCCTGAGAGTGGTTTAGGGGCTTAGGGTTTATGGGTTTAGGGAGATCTCCTTCCGTTTGGGGCTCAGGGCTTAGGGTTTAGGCTTTTGGGATCATTTGAAGGATCGGGTTACTTCGTCATAAAGTTTAGCACTTCAAGCACCCTGCCGGGGGTTACCCAGTTACTCTACTTAAAGAACTGTTGATAAACTTGTAGTCGTTGCAATTCTCTCAATCCCGTGATCCTCTAAGAGTTCACGGTTGAGATACCGCCGCCCCCCATAAACCTTAAACTGTGTTTCAAGGCCTCGTGGGCTGTGCCTGCCATACCCCAAGAAACGAAGCCTTGAACCAAAGCCCTAAAGCCCTAAACCCTAAACGCTGAAGCCCCCCAACTCTAAAATAAACCCTAAACCCTGAAGAAACCTTTACAAAACCCTTCAAAAGGGCTTTTCAATCAGACAACCTTAAAGAAACCATTCAAGGAAACCATTGAAAGCCCAGAATTACCGTATGAAGCCTCCCTGCCCCCTACACCGTAGAGTGTGCCCTGAAGTCGTAGACTGCTTCCCCTAGACACTAAGCCCAAAGCCCCCAAATCCTAAACCCCTCAACCGTCCAAAAACGACTTCCCTTCTGAGGGCTCATTTTTGTAAGGGTGCCGGCCTTGTCTTGGGTTCTGTTCTCAAAAAAACCCTAAACCCCTAACTCAGTTTAACCCCTTAACCCTAAACTCTAATCCCCTAATCCCCGCATCTTGGGTTCCTAAAGAGGGACCCCTAAACCCTAGGTTCACCTAAACTCTTCTCCCCTAACCCTCGCATCAAATTAGCCCAAAAGCCTTATAGAGTATGGTCTTTGGGCCCAAAAGTCTGAATATCTGAGTCTTTAGAACCCTAGGGTACAGCCTTCAAGCACCGCTCATCTCGAATCCGGGCCACTTGGACCTTCGCTCGGTCTTCGAGGCGGGCGCACTGGGCCTCCTGGATGCTGAAGTTCCTCGGATGCTTCTTGGTAATCGAAATCGGTGCTATCTGTACTATCTGTGGAGATTACCGGAAATTTCTGTGAGGCTGTTTTGTGGAAAGGAGTGGAGGGGCGTGGGGGGGGGGGGGGGTCGGGGCCGCCTGCACGATTGGGATAGGGTTTCAAGCTCCGTTTTGGGGCTTTAGGGCAAATGTAGGGGCCTAGTTAGAACAAGGTTTATTTATATATGCCTTGCCGAGGGTTTTTAGCGGTTTAGGGTACTGTAAGGATACAAAGGTTCCTAGAGGGGTTTCCTATAAGAGTGCCCATAATCAAGGCTAAGGGGTTGAGCGATTAAGGTAACATGTAGAGACATTAATAAGTAGAATAAGATTCTGGATTAGATTGTACTCTAGTTGTGATTAGGAAACCCCTAAATCGTCTTGGCAATTATGCAGGCCTCTAAAGTACAGCTTGCTAGGGCTTTGTTGGGGTTTAGGGTCTAATGGCTTGGGAGCGTTTATAAGGGTTTAGGGTACACCATAAACGCATACACAACAACAAACAGATGTGTATACTGTGTATGTTGTAAAGAAACAAGCACGATAACGTCCAGCCCGACCTCATCCGTCCCCCAGTGCATCCATCGGCCAACCGTGATAACGTCCACCCAGACGAGGGCCGATCATGATATTGAGGGTGCAGATTTTTGTTTGGCATGTTCTTTTGTTTGGCCCTTTTTCTCTTGGGGGTGGGGGGTGGGGCTGTGGTGGGGGTAGGGGGGGCGGGTGAAGCAGGCTACACTCCCATAGGAAAACTTGCTTTTTGTTTATTTCCGTAGAAAAGCCATTCTCCTATTTAGTCTGGAAATAGATAACCATGATTTTCCCTATATGTCCATATGTACACCCCTAAACCTGTGTTTGTACATGTTTACTTCCATGTTTCGGTAGGAAAACAAACAAACGAGTGAAGTTGTTTTGGGGTATTTGTCTTTGTCTGGTCCTTATCATCGTTCTTTGGTTCTGCTAGTTTTCGTAGGATTTTCTATGCTGCGCATGCTATATGATAACATGTGTATTTATGTAGTTATTTCATTTAGGTTAGTTTTCTTGGTTCGATCTAGGAAAAGGTTCCTATATGTTTGCAGACGATACATATTACTTTTCGTAGGATTTCTTATGAACTATTTCTTTTTGGCTCGTTTTCTTGATTTTACATCAGAAAAAGATACGTTTCCTAGATATTTTCATGTTCTGGACATTTTCATAGGGTTCCTGCTACTTTTCGTAGCATTTCCTATTATTTCTTTCTTCTTGGTTAGTTTTCTTGGTTTTTTGCTCGGAGAAAGCCACATTCCCTCTATGTTGTCACAAGATACATAATACTTTTCGTGGATTTTCTTATTAATTCTTTCTGTTTGGTTAGTTCACTTGGTTTTTTCCAAGACAATGAACTCTTGCTCGGCATGTAGTCTCTGGAGCAGCGATGGGGCCGAGCGCAAGAGGGGCAGTCTTGAAAACGGCTTGGCTTGGCTCGGTTCGGCTTGGGGGTGGGGGGTTGGGGACGAGGGAGCGGTCGATGTTCATCGACCACCTATGTGTCCCTGATTCCCTGCTTGTCACCTTGGCCACATAGTCCCGAAGCAGAGCTCTCTTTTGGCGCTTGGATCCTCGACCCTAGACGCAATAAAGCCCCAAAGCCGATTAAGCTCTAAACCTGTGTAGATACCTCCCAGGAACTCCTTTCTAGACCCTCAAAGAACCCTTGTTACAAAACCCTTATGGAAGCCCTATCATAACTTATGTACCACTGAAATTACTTCAGGTTCGCATTATCAAGCTTAAGTCTAATCTGTCTTGTGAGAGGAGGGTTTCTTCATCATGGACATCATGACTTCCAGACCCTGAAGCCCAGAAAGCTAAACCATGCTAAACCCAAAACCCCGAAATCGTGAAGAAACAAAGCGTGAATCCAAACCCCTAGACCCTGTGAAACTATGCAACCCTGCGAAACGTTCTGCAACCCAGCAAACGATAATTAACAACTAAATCCAATCAAAACCTATAAACCCTCAACCCTAAAAGCTATGAGCTCAAAACCTCCAATCGAAACCTATAAACCCTTAACCCTAGAAGCTATGAGCTCAAAACCCGAAAGCCCATGAAAGCCCCAGAACCCGATCCAGGCCGAAGTGGCTGCAGCTGGTCCGCCAAGGCAACCCTGGCCCGCGCATATGCCTCGCAAAGCACTTGGGGCTTGCTTAATGCTAGGGGTTAGGCTTTATGGGTTGAGGGTTTAGCATGTTCGGACCCGAAATAGAGACGCCAATAATCAGCATAATCCTTATGGAACCCTCCAAAGTCCAGTTGCAACTGCTCTTTGATTGCCCAAGCTCTAAGGACCCTAGACCCACAAAAACCCTAAGCCCTGCAAATACCCTAGCCTGGACGCAGAAGGAACCCTAATCAAGCCCTACTTGGAAGTGGGGTTATAAGTAGGGTAACTGTAATTATGAGTCCTATTAGGGACTTATAACCCGACTTATAACTACCCATGAACCTCCAAGTAAGCCCCAAGGTTCGACGGTTCGACCTTCAGGGTTTGGGGCGGATGGTGTTTTGACTTCGGGTCGAACACTTTTCAGCTTGGGCTTCGGGGACCCAGAGAGCCCTCAGGCCCAGTAAAGGGAACTCCAGAAAGTTGGAATATGGACTAATGGTAGGATCCCCTACAATTGACCTTAAAGGGGTTACGATAATGATATTCCAACTTTCTGGCTTCTACTGTATAGGAATGTACAGAAATATCAAGGGGCCTGAACATGTATAGAAACATACCTACATAAATAGCAAGGGGCTGGCAATCAGAATTTAGGTGTAGAAGGTTTAAGGTTTAGCCTTCAGTTGCAAACGGCTGATTAATGTCGTGATTTGAAGTTTGTTCTGGTAATTCACGGATATTGGGCTCTCTGGGGCTTGAAGACTTGGGAGTGTCAGTTTGACTGGCAGCATCCGGATTATATCAAAGAGATATGAACGAACCTGGCCGAAGTAAGTAGAGGTATAGGTAGCGCAGTTGGAATTTCCTGAGATCTATCATTATCTGAAGCATAAGCCCCACTTACTCGGACAAACGTCGGGCCCCTATGCTGGACAGCATTTGGGCCTTAGACAGGCCCTGTCTTCCCCTGAGCTGTAATTGCAGCCAGTGTAAGAAAACCAGGTGGCAAATTCACTGCATGGCACAGGACTCCTCCTCTGAACACTTCAGGGTTTACTGTTCAACGTCGCAGAGTTTAGAATTTAGTTGTACACTGAATGACCTATCTTTTTAAGGACCCGTCTGTAGGAAATCACAATAAGGAGCCACTATAAGCAACACCAAAAATCTTCTTTCGGGTCCAGGTAGGGTTCATCCTGAAGAACTCATCTGTGTGTGTGCGTTTACCCCGATAAGCCGCCATACCAGAAACCCTAGTTCAGGATTTAGGATTGAAGGCTTGACCTTCAGCTTTAACGCGTCCTCGAAAAACGTACATGTACGGTTTCGGAAGTAGGGAAAAAGGACTCGAGCTCTGCCCAAGGCGCTGTGAGCGATCGCATGAGAATCATGGAGGCGAGGATGACCAGGAATACAGTGACCTGAGAATAGGGCATCTATCGGGGACCTATTAGGGTCTCAAGGTTCTAGGCTCCTGTAAAGACTCTCTCTAGGGCTTAGGGTCTAGAGGCTAGACCTGGATTTAGGAATTCAGCTCCGCTGGGACTTCAAAGGCATTGGGCTTTAGGATTTGGAGTTGGCCTCCAGATGTATGCGTTTGCAATCTAAAGCTTCCTGCAGTTGGCGTTCTAAAGCAGGGATGCCTTTGTACAAGCCCACCATCTACTTGCAGGCTCCAGAAGTATGAAAAGACATGCAACGAGGGTTATCTGAGCTTTAGTAGACGGGTGCAGGCAGGCAGGCAGGAACCTTCATCCCACCTAGCCCTAGACAGTATATCGCAAATCATCATGTCATGCTGGGATGCTCGCACCTTAGACTCACACCTCAAAGCTCGAAAAAGGATGCAAACCCCTGAAGGTCACGCCACATAAAGCCCCATAAGCCCTTGAGCCCGATAATCTAAGGACTAGAACAGGGATCATAAAGCTAGATGTGAAGGCTCATACATCCGTGACACGCAGGGCGCCAGACTTTACGGCTCACTTAGGGGGGTTTAGGGCTTGGGGTGCAAGACTGTGTGGCATCTATCAGGTGGGACCCTGGCTCGGAGCACCGAACAACAGTCTGCAAAGAGGAAGCCACAGAACTTGCCATCAACACCCCTGATCATACCAACCGAGCACCTGATTTTGAGGTCTGAGGTGTGCTTCTTCACCAAGTTACGCTGGCAGCGGCAAGGTCGTTGGGGTTGAACATCCTGCTGCACGCCCCAAAAGGCTCAAAAAGGGCTTTAGGCTGGGCGAACCACCCTAAACCCTAAACTCTGGGCTTAGGGCACCATATTCATGGAAAGCTGAGCGCTAGATTTTAGATAGCCCTCAAGTATTTCATACTACATAGTCTGCAACATCATGTACACGCACGTGTATGTGTTCAGAGAATGTACAGTTATATACGTAAAACTACTAAATAACATATGTTCTACTATGTACATATAACCTTTGCGTGCATACATATACATACCAACACATACGTGCCGGTACATATGTCCACCATAGATGCGTTGTATATATACATATATATATATATATATATATATATGTATATATACATGTGTATATATATATATATATACATATTGTATGTATGTAAACGTATATGCTTATAAGTGTATGTATGTATGTATGTATGTATGTAAAAATAAGTGCATATGTAGATACATACGTACATACATACATACGTGCACATGTATGCGCTTTGCTTGTATGCATGTATGTATGTATGTTTGTATGCATATGTATGTATTTCAACACACAGACATACGTATATATATATATATATATATATATATATATATATGTACATAGTACATACGTACAGAGATACCACATATATACATACATACATACATACATACATAACATAGGTATATGTACTCGTGCATGTGCATATATGTACGTGTGCGTGCATGTATCTATACATATATATATATATATATACAGTCTCATAGCATGTTCTAGTACACACTGGGTACATCGCATGTCAGAAGTTCCATATTACGTGATGCATGCATTCGTGTAGCCACTACTAGTATACAACATATGGTACCTATATCTGCGTAAGAATACACAGCAGTTTCTATATCAGATGTTGCACCTTGCATACAAAATAATACATACACGACTGCTTGAAGTGTGTTAATGACGTACGGTGAAACAAACACTACATGTACATGTTAAATGCTCTGTATTGCATATTGTATGTTAGATGGTTAGTGTTTTATGTTATATTCCAAGCACTGCCCAGCATCCCGCACATATTACGATTCATGTACTCTGCATCTTAAACGGTCTCATGAATTATCCCGTATTACATGTTATATATATATATATATGCATATGTATATACATATGTGTACAACGTAATACATGTTGTCTATTACCAGTCATATTTTCTGTACTATGTACAAGAGCGCGGCACATGCGATGGTACATGTCATTAACGAAGTCAGATGCATATGTTATAAGACTGCATTTACAGACGTACTTACAAAGCCATACGTTAGCCTTATGTGTATATATCCATACTATCCATACATACATACATACATACATACATGCATGCATGCATACATACATACATACATACATACATACAACAAACAACACGATTTGCTAGTTTACACGGAAGTATATCGGCTATTCGATATATATATATATATATATACATATATATATATATATATATATATATAGTCTTGTATACTCTTTACAATGTACACCTTAGCGGCAGCCGATACAACGATGTGCACTCTGGCTTGTGTACTGTATATAACTGTATATAACTCATTCTGTACCATATAAGGACCACCCTGTCTATACCACACCAAGAACGTGAAGGATCCTTGGGGTTGTTGCTGAAACCGAGAGCACATTGGACTCTCATTTCCAGCTCAACTTATAGCGACAACCATGGCCTGTAAATGTCGATTGCCAGGAAGGCGATAAACTGAAGGAACCAAGCCATGCAACTGACCTCAGCTGTAGCCCTTCTGTTTTACCTTGCTTTTGATTTCTGGGTCCCAACCTCAATCACAACTCTAATTCAGAAAGAACTGAAAACACAGAGGAAACATTTTCAAGGGAGCCATTTACAGTGCAAAGTCTCCAATATTAGTTACAGCTTAGCGTTCAGAGAAGATCTTAGTGCCGATCTTTTAGCATTATTCAGCGTAGGATCTATGACCAAACAACAAGCCGCAGACAGCAGAATTTGCCATGCAACGAGGGTTTAGTAGGGTTTTTCGCAAAAGTACATTCAGGAGGCTCGAGAATGAAGGGGTACCTCGGTGCCGGGGCTTTGAGCCACTACCTATAGTCTCCATTGTAGTTCCTTTTTTTGGTTTAACCAATTATATATTAAGGATGCTATAAGGTAACCCCAAAAAGGAACTGCAATGGAGACTATAGGTAGTATTTAAGAATAATGACAGTCATAAAACGGACAACGTAGTACTACAGTAGGGCCGCAGGGCCTTAAGGCTGTAGAGCTCTGTGTTCGGATTTGGGTTTCAAAGGGCTTCGAAGCTACCTTCAAGTTTCAGTGATGGTCGGCCAGGCTTTGAGGCTTAGGGTTTAAGGTTTGACATAGGGTTCAGGGTTTAGGGTTTGAGGTCTGTGGATCTTTCTTGGGTTTAGGTTTAGGTTTCAGTCTGTAGGGTTTAGGGCTTAGTATAGGACCTGACTAACTTGCATAAAGTCTTGAGGTATGTTCTGCACCTTTATAGAGACTATAAGGGGATGCGAATACTAACTATTCTGAACCGAAAAATAAATCGGCTCCGGAGGACTTTGAGTCTCAGATGATTTTATCCTGCCGTGAAGTGAGGAGTTGAATGGTTCAAGGGCAGGGGTCTAGGGGCAGGATTGAAAAGTTGAAGGGTTTCTCCTAAACCCTAAACCCTAAAACCCTATACCTTGAACCCTAAACCCTCCCTAAAACCCTGAAGTGGCAGAGGGTTTTAGGGTTTGGGGCTTTCGGAAATTGGCGCTGACGAAGTGCCGATGCCAGTTGCAGCGGAAAGAATTCCAGGGGCAAAGCTCCTCTCTTTGGCCGGGTTCCTTTGAAGGTTCCTTTGCGAGTTCCTTTAACATAATTCTAGCCCATTCCTCCATTCCCTACTAACCAAAGGTAAGCTAGGGCTTCCTTTGAAGGTTCCGTTAAGGGTCCATGCAAGGGTTGCTGAGGGCGCTTCTAGACGGGTTTGGGGTTTAGGCTCCGCTATGGGCTCTTTACAGGATTGCTATAAGGGCTACTAAAGGTTTAGAGTTTAGTGCTTGGGGTTACAAACCTCTTTTCATAGGTTCCTTTATTGAGGGCTCCTTGAAGGGCTTTGAGTTCTACAAGAGGACAATAGGGTTCCCTTAACGATTCTGTAGGGTTCTATAAGAGGGTTGCCGGGGTTTTGCGGGGTTGTTTTGGGGGGTTCTATCATTGTGTTCCCTGTAAGAGTTCCTTTTAAGCGTCATATGACAGCTACTATCAGGCCTAGTATACACGTTACTGGTTGCAATAAAGGGCCTTAAGCAATACACAAGCATTGGCGGTTCATCATGGATTAATCCGACATGAGGAACCCTCGGGAATAGTACTTTAGAGGCTTTGCGTCTCGTGGAGGTCCAACCAGTCCAAGTAGAGGTAGTACTAGTCGTCGTCTTGCTGGTGGTGGTAATGTTAGTGGCGGCTGGTAGTGGTAGTAGTGGTAGTAGTGGCAGTGGTGGTGGTAGTGGTAGTGGTAGTGGTGGTAGTAGTGATAGTAGTGCTGGGTAGTGCTAGTAGTGCCAGTAGTGGTAGTAGTGCCAGTAGTGGTAGTAGTGGTAGTAGTGGTAGTAGTGGTAGTAGTGGCAATAGTGGCAGTAGTGGCAGTAGTGGCAGTAGTGGCAGTAGTAGTAGTAGTAGCAGCAGGAGGAGTAATAGCAGTAGTAGTCGTCGTCGTAGCAGCAGCAGCAGTAGTACTCGTCGTCTACTAGGGCACTAGTACGAATACTGAGAAGCATCAACACTGGTATTGGTAGTAGTAAACAGCATTTGGACCAGTGGTACCAGTGGACGATTTGCAATACTAACTCGCAGCCCCGATAGGAGAAAGAGCAAACAAGGACCGGCAGTCGTCGTATGAAAGACCTAAAGGCACTGGCACAAATCATCACCAGTAGCAACAAGTTGCACTGCACCGTCGTCATGATGATCATCGGCGTCACCATCAGAGCCATAGCCAGCAAAATATGTGCCCCCGATTGCCATGTTACCACCATTAATTCAAGAAATCATCATCGTCGTCACCAGCATCACCATGATCTTCATCGTCATCCTTCATCATCATACTCATCTTCACCATGATCATTCATCATCACTGTCTTCATGACCTTCATCATCATGATCCTGCTACTGTTCCTCGTCGGCACAGAAATAGGGTGCCAACATGTGCAGCATCAGAGGCAATGCATCTAAAGGTGGTGGCCATGTTGTCACTACTGATAAGTCTTGTTCTGGTAAAGGCTCCTTCAATTTGGCCATTGATGCCATTCGACGCTCTGACCAAAGCCGCAACCTGTTATGGTTTGCATGTTGGGTTTAGGGCTTTTGGTGCTACAGAGCTTTGGAAATTGGTTTTGCAGCGCGGGAGCTCAGGATTTAGGGCTTGCGGTTCTGGGTTCTGGATTTAAGCTCTTGGCTATGGAGCTTCGGGTTTAGATTACGTAGAGTTCTGGCTTAAGAGTTCAAGGTTGAGGGCTTGGGATTTCGGAGACTTTGAACACATCTTAGCACGTACGTACTGTGCCGGGATTTCAAAACGAACGTACCGATTGTCATGGCGCACATCTGTAAATCGCAAATTACAGGGACCCTTGGGGATGTAAATCCTCTCAATTAGGCCCCTTTAGGAGCCAGAAGTCGGGTTAAGAAGGGTCCCCTGTAAGAGGTCTCCCTAATACTACCTTGGACTGGTGTACAAGTCGGACTGCCAGCTTACGCTCCGGGCCCGCAAGGTTATGAGACCATCCTACCTCTAGTCTGCATTGTAGCTCCTTTTTCGGCTTGCCTCATAGAAAACTTGGTAAACTTAGATTTCCAAGGAACTACAATGGGGGCTATAGGTAACCACAAACCCCAACTCCCGAACCCAAGACCCTAACATCCATGACGCCAGAACAAGATCAGAAACTCTCCAGTAACTTTCCCTAAACCCTAAACCCTCACGCCAACTCCGGCGACATTTGCCAGCTGCCAGCACCCGGACCCGAATCCTAACAGGTTAGACTCGAAATCCTGAAACCCTTCTTATAGTAACACTTATAGTGACTCTTAAAAGGACCCTTGAAGGAACCCTTATAGTAATCCCTTCGAACCCCTAAAAAAGGACCAGCAATTCAGTTTAGGGCTTTGGGAATAGGGCCTAGCATTTAGGTTTTAGGGGGTTTCAGGACTTGGGAAATCAAGCTTCCGAAAACCATGAGTCCTATACCTAGTACTATGCACCAGGCTCACCAGGCCACACGCCCTGCTGCCCCCAAAGACCAAAACAAACCCCAAACAACCCCAAACCAAAGCCCAAGACCCTAAGCGAACCCATTGCGCCTCTAGTGTGCACCAGAGACGCGTGAAGTACTGAGGGCTCCAAAGAAGGAGCATCCGCTGAGATTTTCCTGGTGAAATTTTCAGAAGGCTGCTAAAAGTTTGAGGTTTAGGGTCTGGAGCTTAAGGACTGAGGACTTTAGGAAAGCTTGGTTTCAGGCATAAAGGCTTTAGGATTGTGTGGGAGGGAAGGCCTTGCGGCGGATTTGAACCCTTACCTGAAGCCCCAACATCGAATCGAGGCGTTGCAAAACCGTCTTGGAGCATCTGAACCCTAAGCTCTAAACCCTAAGCGTCCTGAAGATTGCTTTGTGGCTTGATTGGCGCAGATCACACACTCGCTACTGAGCAACGGTAGCCACATGGCCTGCGATGTCCTGGCCGCGTGCCGAATCCCGAATCCGAAGGACCAGACCGCCATGTTGAACCCCAAGAAAACGTCAAAACCCTAACGTAGCCTGAAGCCCCAAATACACCCTATAAATGCCTATAAAGCAACCATGTACTTCTATAGCCCCTATACAAGCCTAGTCCCGAAGCTAAACCGCTCATATTATTTGTGGCACCCTTATGCGAATCCTTTAGAACCCTGGAAAACTTGTTGAAACACCATAAAGCACCGAAACACCCTGTAAAGCCCCTACGACCCATTCCAAACCTGCGAGAAACAACCTAAAACCATGCCTTATACAACCCTGTGGCGTAGTAGAACAACTAGTGGCGTAGTTGAACAATTAAGGCTTAGGGCCACTCAAAGCTCACGAGCCAAAGCGCCAATGAAGGCCGCAAAGGACGCGACGCCCCGTCGTTTGAGGTCCGGGTCTCCTCTTGAACCAAAAATTTGACTAATGTTGCGTAACCCTAGGGTGAATGGAGTATAGTAATGTCCTGACCATAGACGAGATGCAGTGCTATCAGGCCCGCTGTAAGAATGGTGCTATAGTTTAAATTTAGGGCTCCAGGGCTGTAGGGCCTTTTGGGTGAGGCTTCCTTGGTTTGTTTGTTGCGTCAGGCTTGACCACAGAGATTCTGGGTTCGGACGTACAGACTGTGTTCGGAGTAAGACCCAAATAAAACCCTACACCCTAGACCCTGCAAGTGCCGCATCTTGCTCCAGTGTTCTCAGGCACTACAAAGAAAAGTTTACATGGAGGACACACAGAAACATAGCAAAAGCTGATTTTGAGCGCAGGGGGCGGGCTTGCTGGGACCTGTGCCATTCAAAACACTTCAAGTGACCTCCAAGTTTAGTAGTATGGCCTTGAGGCCCCGAACATGAGGGCCTAAATAATTAGACCAAGGTTTGGGTCCCAGTACACTCTATTTATAGGCCATCCTTGGCTCCCAGACCTGGTCTTCAACACGGGCCTATTCGCAGGAACCAAGATGCTGTCCAGAAAGTTTTCTGGGAATCTTGGTTCTTGGTTCTTGGTTCCTGGGCGCCGTGTTAATTAACACGGCCCGTGTTAATTAACACAGTCCCCGGCCCAAGTACATGAACCAAGGTGCTGTCCTAAAAGTTTTCTGGGAATCTTGGTTCTTGGTTCTTAGTTCCTGGGCGCCGTGTTAATTAACACGGCCCGTGTTAATTAACACGGCCCTTGCTATGTCAGGGTGGGTTTTGGGAGGGGGGGTACCATATACACAAATAAATATATATATATATATATATATATATATATATATATATATATATATATATATATATATATATATATATATATATATCCGTACATTCCTTCCTGCAGCCCTTGATTTGCACCCGAAGGAACAGCGAGACCGGAGCGGTAACGCCTTGATGTACGCAGAATTTGTCCATGAAGTAGGTTCTCCGAAACCTCAGGATGGCAGTTTAGGGTTTAGGTTTTGGGGTTTTATGGCATCGGGCGTGGAGTTTCGGGGTCAGGGGTTTTCGGGTTTGGGGTTTAGTAGTATAAAGGACCTTGTAAGTATCGAGTTTTAGGATTGAGCTCAGAATTTTCGAACTCGGATTCCGGGGTTCGGCGCTTCCTAAACCCTTTCTGGATCGGGGTATGGGCTCAGCGCTCTAATGATTAGAGGTGAACATGCGGGGGGCATGTCTCTCCGGGGAGCACAATTACCACAATCACCAAAGGAGGCCTTATATTGATTGTTGAGAAAGGGGTGCGGTGTGCACGAAGGTATGAAGCCCTAATCCCTAAACCCTAAACCCCTCAACCCCTGAAACCCTAAACCCCTGAAAGCCCGAGACAATATGTGAAACCTCTGTCAAATTTTGCAACCTGCGGGTCAGGCTCTAGGTTTGACGGCTTTAGGGTGCTGTAGAGGTTTTGTAAGGATCTCATAGACCCAGAGGGTCCTAAGTACCTATTTAGCAGAATGTTTGTAACTGGGAGTTAATTGCCATATTATTATCCCCCGTAACACGACCTCGGACCCTTTGGGACAGAGTTCGTAAGGATTTCATAACAAGGCTGCCCCAAATATTTACGTCCCAAAACTTCACAGGCTCAAGCCTAAACCCGTTCAGACCGTTTAAGCATCCACCCCGACTTGAGAGTTTAGGGTTTAGGGCTTCGGGTTCAGAGTTTAGGGTTTCGGGTTAGGTCCAGTAAGATCCTCTTCGGCCCAGGCAGGAAAAATGAACAGCCCCAAAGGCCTACCTAGCTGCAGCAAACGGAATCACGATACCTAGTAAAACTTCTGCTAGCCGGCTTCCTCCGAACTCCTGCTACGATAAGATTGGCGCTGCATCATGGTGCAAGGCCTAAACCCTACAGTCACAAACCTGAACCCCCTAAACCCTGAGCAACCCAAATTGCGGCCCTAAACTTCCAAACCTTCGAAGAGTGGCCCACATGCCGCCCGAAGGTGGTGCCAGTTTACGAGGCTGACAACAAAGGTCATCGAGCCAAAGAACCTTTGCTCTGGCCATGGCTCTGCGGAATTTTCTGCGATTTCAAGTGGCCTTTAAGGCCTTTTACTGTTTGCAGCGTTTTCTGGTGGCTCTTCGGCCGGTTTGGCTTTAAGGTGTCGAAGGCATCTTGTGGATCCCACAACCTTCCCAAAAAGCCTTCGCCTTCTGGTCTTGGGAATGAGCTTGTATGAGGGTCTAGGGATTGGAGTTCAACGTTCTGGCCTGGCGTTGAATGGTTTGTCTGCAAAACCTTGACCGCCAAAGCCACAGGGCTAGCCACCGGGGGCCCTAACGACTAGAACAGCGACTTTGTTGTATATTCTATCGCAGTTAACTCGGCACTAGAATCACTAGAAGTGAGAGCATGGCACTCGAGATGGGTTGAGGGAGGCTAATATGGAGTCCCGAGAGCCTACAAGACCCTCAAACCCCTTCGGCATTGTGGGAATCCTTGTAAAAGCACCGTAAGCTTGTTTAACGCCCCGTCGCAAGCCTTCAAATAAGGGGTCTCCACGAGCTAGGTTTCAGACGATTGGAGAACGATGTAAAGGATGCAAGGAAGACGCTACGAGAACGTACAGACATTTCTACGGACGCCACTTTCTTGTGAAGACGATCTAGAACAATCCGACCGTTTGTGCCGTGTGCGTTTCTTTCTGAGCTCAGGAAGCATTCCAAACGCATGAGCATCGGGCATCGTATGTCAGTACCCGAGGACAAATATGAACTGCAAGCGCTGCATGTGCACATTAAGTTCCCAGGAGGGGGTCCCAGTTCCCTTTCTCTGTCTGGTCTGGCCGGCCCCTTTCGGTACCATGCTCCGGTCTGGTATCGGGGAACTAGGACTATTTCTAGGCGACGCGTCGGCGCCCTAGCATCCATGCCATTCGTCCAACTTCTAACATCCCGCAGCATTTGTTGGTTCCGCTGTCATGGGACTATGCTCCAAGGCATCGCTGTCCACTCGTGCTGATCCGACATCAAACTACTTTGCAAATATCTGGACCTCTTCCCCTAAACCAACAGGTGACCCCTAAACATCCCACGAAAGACACAACATGATCAACAAAGGCTGGGTAACACGCGATCCAACACCTATAACTATACTTAACAATAACCTTAGACAAAGCCCCAAATATGCTCAACATCTTCCCTAAACCCAAAATCCGAAACCCGAATTGCCGAAACCCTCAACCCCTAAGCCCTACAGGATCTGTACGGTTTAGGGTTTAATTTACTACGTTGAACCCTCAACCTCTACCTATAGTCTCCACTGTAGCTCCTTTTTGGGGCTACCTTATAGGATCCTAATTATATTTCTGGTTAAACCAAAAAAGGGGAATACAATGGAGACTATAGGTAATCCCTGAAGAACCCAGTCGAATCAGAGCCAGGGTTCAAGCACCAGGGAAGCCCACGTGTTGCCGTCACGCCAAGCCAACTTGGCGCAGACGGGATCACCTGCTGTTTCGGGCTAAGGGCCCCAGGAGTTTAGGGTTTCGGGTTTAGGGTTTAAGCTCAATGGTTTTATGTCAAGGGATTTTAAGGGCATAGAAGGGTTTGCAGAGGAGACACACCAGGGACTCAACTACTTTTTGTACTAAGGATATGTGCCAGTTGACCAGCTGCATAACTTGAAACCACTGGTGGGGTTTCCAGTTCAAGGCTAAAGGGACTCAAGCGAGGCTACTAGGAAACGGCCTCCAGCAAGAGGAAAGGCTCGCAACAGCGACCAGAAAAAGTTTTCCTGCGCTCTTTCCTTATGGATCTCGTGTTGAAGGCCCTTAACAGGAATGTCGCCCTCAGTGACCAGTCACCGACCCAACAAGTCCTGATCGCCCGTAGAGCGTAAGGTAAACACCTCGAAGGTAGCCCCGGTGGTTCCTTCGCAGCCCCTGCAAAACCCTCATGTCTAAAAAGCTCCTAGATTAGGGCTGCTGTGATTTGGGGGGGGGGGGGGGGGGTATTTTCGATGCCGAGCAACGGCTAAGCCGAAATGCTTTATATGTTTCATCCGAAACCTTAAACAGAATACCTAAATCGAAACATGTCAGGCTCTAAGGCTTTAGGGCTTCAGGGTTTCAGGTTCAGGGTTAATTAAGCCGGATTCAGGGATTGAGGCTCAGTGCAATTATGGTTCAAGTTGTACTTTCGTTGAAAAAGTTGGGGGTCTAGGGTGCCCAGCAATTTGGCACTGACCTAAGTGCTGTTCTGTTCTCTTGTGAGGCTGAGGTGTTGGAGAACTTGCAGAACGCAATGCGTTAGGGCGTGTGGGTGCAGGGTGTAAAGCCAGCATACAGTAACGAACCGAACCTCTGAAGCTCCAAATTTTTGTTAAAGACAGTAAACATCAGCAAACCCGAAGAATCCACCAAATGCCCGACCTTTTGCGACACCAGCAAGGCCAGGGCAATACAGACCAAGAACGACATGCAGATGGCGCCGCCGATATTGCCTGACCAAAACGCGAAGCGGGCTCTAGCAGAATATTAGTGGCCGTTGTACCCATGGCAACAAGTGCAAGGCAATGATCCCGACCCCCCCCTTCCAAAAAAAGCAGTGTCTCATTCAGGGGTACGGTGTACTCTCCAGGCCAAAGACATGTTACGCATCGCGGCAGGTCTCCTGGCTGATAGGTGGCCTGCATGGTTGAACGGCCATGGGAGTAAGGAGGTGATGAAGCTAAGACTGTAAAATGAAGAATCTGACCTCAGGTAGGCCCGGATACTGATAGCCACCTTTAGCGAATCTACTCGCCAAGTTCACTGATCCCTGAAGTAGACTTCCCGGTGTGATGCAACATCTGCAGAGGTGCTGGCGAATAGCCCATGCTAACCCAAACATCTCAAGCTGAGATCCACAATCTGTGCATGACATCCCTGAGCCCCGGAGTCCTACATCCTACACCTTCCCGGTCGTGGGCCGCAGTGGTATGATAGTTGGAAGGAGTGAAGGTCGCTTGTACTTGGAAGGTCTTGGGTAGTTATAAGTGGGGTTATCGGTCATAAGTAAGGTACCTATAATTATAACCGCTACCCACGAACCTGCAAGTAGAGTTTCAAGTGCCCGCATGTACAAAGTTCCCAAACCTGTACAATCGCGGATTCCTAAGGTATGTTAACAGTATGTCTACAGCCCCTAGCCACGCCCTAATTAATTGGTAAACCCGTACAAGATACTTCGTTGAAGGCTTCTGAGAGCTTGCGAAGTCTCAGCCGCAAGGCATTTGGGGCTACAAAGTTCCCAAGCTGCTCCGTGAGGAGGAGCGTACGCTTTCTCAAAGCAAAATACGTGCCATGACCAGAAGGGTTATCAGCATTTAGGGTTCCTTCAAAGGGCTCCACAAAGGGATCTTTCAAGGGGACTAGAAGGGATAGGGTTTAGGGTTAAGAAACACCCACGTAAAAATGGTAAAGGCGGGCCTGTATAAGTTAAAGGTTACGTGAATGAAGCCCTAAACCAGCCCCACACCCTAATAAACCCTAAACCCCGAAAGTCACAGCGTTTGCAGTAGTCTTTAGGATTTAAGGTTTAGGGTCAGTTTGGGATGTAGGATATCTACTAATCATACTACCAAAAAAACGACAACCTAATTATTTGGTCCTTGGGCCCTAAACCATAAAGGTCCCTTAGGGTAAGCCCCACATGAAGCCGAGCCACTGTGGATCCATAGCGCCAGCAGCTTAGGGAGTCGTGTGTCGCGCCAGCAGTGGCTCACGAAGTAGTCGATCTCTTCGGTGGGCTGCGACTTGCTGAAAATCTTGTTCCTGAGGATGCTCAGGGCTCAGGGTTTAGGGTCCTGCTACTATACATAATGGTACATAGCGGACACATACACAGCGTGTGTGTCTACTCATAACTCTTTCTATATACATACACACACAGGGATACTCATGGATATAGACATGACACACTATATGGACAAGGTCCAACTCCCAGTTGTCACTTGCGGAAGATCTTGCTCCTTGCATGGCAACTCCAAACCTTCAGCCCCATCTGGATTAAGGGCTTGTTTTTTTTGAACGCCTTTTTCCATCCGCCGGGATAGAATCTCAAGGTTGAGAAAGGGCTTTTAGGGTTTAGGGTTTGGGTTTGGGGATTAGGCGTTTGGATCTTGAAGGCCTGGACCTAAACCCTTTCAGAGCTGAACACGAAACCCTTCGGCATATCCCCGAAACCCGAGACCAACAGCGCCGGGCATCGAATACTCAGGAGGTCCCCCGCCAATGGTTTTCAGGTGCTTGCCCCAGCCGGCTAGGATATGCACCTCAGGATATGTGGGATGTAGGTCATATTGTCGGGTTTATAGGGTTTAGGGCTTGGAGTGTATAGGGTATAATGAGGGTTTTGTAGACTTGTGGGTTGAGGCGTTAAGCGATTAGGTGTTCGAAAACCTTCAGTGTTTCAACAAGTGCTCAAAAGTCGTTAGTTACCGGGCTTCAATTCCAAAGTCCTCCGGCGGAATACTGGCTTGGGGCGAAAATCGCCGCACCACATGGTCAGTGCCGTTTGGCACACAGGCCCTGAAACCTGAAAGCCCTAAACCCCAACAAACCTTACACCTTAAGCCCCCTAAACACTATGACCCCTAAGTTTTTGCGCGGAGATCCTGACGCAAAGAAGGGTTGTAACTGGAGAGCACCGTGTGGCTCGTGTCTTGGAACTTACCCAGAGGGTCCATTATGGAATGATAATCCTCCAAACCATAATGGGGATGGTCTTTTCGGACCGGACCTAATTCCATAATGGTAGTGTGCATGGACCTTCTGGATTACAAGAGATAGTGCCGACCGAAAGAACCGGATCGTTTCAGGACCCTTCGATAACCGAGAGAGGCCAATGTGTTGGAATTCACAATGGCTCGTGTCGACCGAAAACCCCGGCGTGCACGGCGGTGTAAATGACGCCGCCAAGAGCACCGCCAAGAGCCCCTTGTGCTGGAATTTACAAGGGATCGTGCTGTTGGGAGGCAGCAGACACGCCGTCCCCGCGGAGATGGTTGCAACGGAGATGGTTGCAAAAGTGGAGAACGAAGAAATCGCTTGCGTGCGTACTGGAATTTGCAATGGATCACGCCGCCCACAAACTAATTGACACCAAGTTTCGATCGGGATGGTTCAGATAATAACGACGTATTCAAGATCACAACAGTCCAGACGGAAGTGCCAACCAACCCCACGATAACCGACCTGGACGACCTGACATCTGCATTAGCATCACACCATGCTATCCCAGGCACCTCCGCGGAAAACTCTTCATAACGCTTTAAAAGCCCAAAGCCTTAAAGGCCATAAGCCTGAAACCCCAAACTCTAAACCCAAAACCTCAACGCAAAACCCTCACCCTTAACCCTAAACCTTACACCCTCAACCTTAGACCGAAAACCCAGCGTGGATGTCTCCCTCTGGTGGGGCCCGGGAGCCAGCGTCGTGGCCCGAAGCAGGGAGGGATCTTCCAACTCCATGGACCTTATTGAAAAATTATGGGGTTTAGGGTCTAGGGTTTTATGGTTCGGGGCTTCTGGGTGGTAGTTTTGGGGCCCTGAAGAGTATTTATGAGTAGGTGCCTCTATAGCAAAGTATGAGGAACATTCGAAGGCTTCCCAGACTGAAGCCGAGGCTTTTGTTGTGAGGGTTTGGGGTCCGTTTGGGGTGCTAGGGATGCTTTTCGGGTCCCCGGGAAGGGTTGTAGTGGTTCTTTCAGGGCTCCTTTACCGGTTTTTGGGTTTACGGTGCATTTTCCATGGGGTTTATAAAGGTTTCTATAAAGGTTTCTATGCTGGGTATTTAAGTCTGGGTTTATCTGAATTCTTCAATAGGAATTTGTTGTATGGACCCTTAAGGAGGAGCTATTTGGATCTAGGGCTCACTGTAGGGCATAAGGGTTTAGGTTAGAAGCTGCCCCCACCCTGTAATAGTGGTATAATAGGAATATAATAGGGCCCTAATATAATCCTCTATAATCCTTGTAGTCACTGTTACAGGGTGGGGGCCCCTTCTAAGGTTTAGGGCATAGGTTACTCGGGTTTAGGCCTGAGGGCAAGGAGCAAGATTGACTCAGGAGGCGAAGACGTTGATCCTTTTTTTTTTTTTGGGAGGGGGGGGGCTAGGGTGGGGTTTAGAGTTTAGGGTTTAGGGTTTAGGGTTGGTTAACCCCGACAGACCCCCGTAGAATATGCATACATGCCCCTTTAAACACCTAAACTCACTCCTATGACATCAGACTCCAAACCCGAAACCCTGACCCACCATGAACCTGAAACCCTAGAACCCAAAGCCAAACTTGCTGCCCTAAGCCCATCTAGCCCTTGTGTGGCAAGCCGGATTGTGTGCGAGCCGTATGAAAGCCACAGTGTAACACTTGTATCACCTGGCCGAGCCCCTACACCCTCCTAGCCTCGGAAACTTAAGCACCAAAGCTAAAACTAAGGCCATCACCCTTTAAAGATTTAGCCCCTATGACAAGAAACTTCTAGACAAATCTTATCAAACTCGTTTTATCCGCCAAGCAAACCCTTCTGAACAATTTTCGGTTGCACCTTAGAAACCCTAAAACCTGAACCACTAAAGCCCAAACCACTAAAACCTTAAATCGCAAACGCAAACCCGAAACTGGGCCCTAAACCCTACAGCCAACTCTTAACCCGAAACCCAAGACCGTGTTCCAAAGGCCCATGGGGTTGGAATTATACAGCATTCGCAGAACGCTAGGCGAACTTGAAAGAACCCACAAGGAATCCTGAACCCCAAACGCCAAATTCTTGCTACTTATGAAAGCACATGATACAACCCTGTCGGCCTGAACATCCCAAATTGTAAATGCCTACCACCTACAACACCTCATAAGACCCATGTACAGAACCTCTTGCAACCCCCTTTATAAACCTCTTGTTGGGTTGCACCGTACACCCCAACCCCAGTCCCATTATGAAGGCCTCTATATAAACCCGTTTAAAGCCCTCAGAAACCTAAAGCCGTACAAGACCCTCGGCCCAGAACCCAGAAACCCGAAGCCCTTAACCCAAACCCCAAGCACGACACCATAACCCCAAAATTCAAAACCACATTCAGCCTTAAGCCCCAAGCCCTTCATAAACCCAAAGCCCAGGTTTAGGGAATAAGTTTGCCCAGGCTGCTTCAAAGACATGGAAGCGGTGGCATTGCTCTGCTTCGGCCGCATCCTGCTCCTTGGTCTGCGGGACGTCTAGGGTTTAGGGTTTGGGGGTTTCGGGAATCTAACTTAAGCTGCCATAACAAGCAAACCCTGCCATTTACGAAAGATCCCGATTCCGGCAACTTCAACCAAGTTCCGTAACCCCAAACCCTTATAGAACACGTAAGGGAACCCTGAACTATGGTAACTTACACTAAGTTCCCTAACAAGAACCTAGTATATGGTGTTCTCCGAAGACATAGGGAGGCAATCAAAATCAACCAGAACGCTACAAAACCATGCTTGAAACTGCTAAACCTTAGCATACACCCTGTTACTACAAAGCCCCCTTAAAGCCTCTCTTATGCCCCTTTCAAGCTCCCATTAAAGCCCACCCTCAAAGTCCCTTTGTATGTTTAATTGAAACCAGTGTTAGAACCCTAAAACCCCTTCAAAGCTGAACCTCAGATCGTAAACCCCTTAACCCCTCAACCCCAAAGACCCATAATATAGGGGCCCGAATGATTAGAATAGGGTTTTGGGGTACATTAAGTATAGCTATTATAAACGAACCCTAGAAATAATATTGGTAATGGTTAGGCCCCTATATTATAAAGCCTAAACCCCTGAACTTAGTGTGCTCTCGCAGAGGAGCGGGGACCAAGTGACCCAGGAGCTGCGGTTCGAAGAGTCCATGCCTCGGGTGCATACGGATAGTTCTCTAAATTCGGGTCTCCTGAGAATTTTAGTGACAAGAATAAGGACAAGAATACGAATAAGACTGAGACTGCAAAAGAGAGTGAGACTGAGAATGAGACGTCGGGCGAGAATGATGATCAGACAAAGACTACAACAAGCGATAACAGTAGTAACAGTAGTAACAGTGGTAGTAGTAGTAGTAGTAGTAGTAGTAGTAGTAGTAGTAGTAGCAGTCGTCCTCGTCTTAGTCGTAATAGTCGTAGTAGTAGTAGTAGCAGCAGCAGCAGTAGTAGTAGTAGTGGTGGTAGTAGTAGTAGTAGTAGTAGCAATAACAGGTAGCAAAAACAGTAACAATAACAGTAACAATCACAATAACAATTATCAGAAGGACCCCCACAAGAAGCGTAGTTAAGAAAGCTACCCACATAATTTGGGAGAGTGATTGGAAGAGTGAGATGCGTACGGCATTTACAGGTTAGGGTTTAGGGTTGAGCGTTTCAGGTGTTGGAGTTGCAGGGCCTTGGCGGATCGTTGGTGTCTTTCGGGAGTCTAGGTCTGCATAAGGTTTTGTGGATTTCTGGGCTGAGGATCTGCGTGGACGCTCATGGGACCATGGAAGTAGCTATTGACAACACTAAATCCCCGATTCCACCAACAGCCGAGGTGCTGGTGCAAAGGTCGGTGCCCTGCTTATCCATGGAGTAGGTCAACTCGCCCACTCGATCCTGAAAAAATAGAGTATGAAACTTGAGGCGTAGGGTTGTTCGGGTTTGGGCTTTAGGGTCTAATACCGGGGCCTGAGCAAGTAGAACACGTGCTTGGTGGAACTTTGACGGACTACTCACAAGAGTTCTACAGAGGCTCAGGGTTAAACGAACCTGAACCCAGAGCCTCCAAAACCCCTTAATTAAGGAATATACCTTAAAATATAATATGAGCGCTAATATGACTTAAGGAATATTCCTTAATTAAGGGGTATTGGAGCCTCTGGGAACAACATTACCTTAAACCCGAACCCTGATGAACCCTGAACTATTGGACCCCCCCAGAACTCTTGCCGTCGGATCCTTCTCACGCTCAATATACGGACGGGATCATGGGACGGTATAAACTTGGAGTAGGTCTTTATATCTTTTTGTGGTTTTGGATTTAGGGTTTAGGGTTTAAGGTTGGGCTTCTGAGGTTGATTTGGCATTTTGGTTTGTACCTAAAACGACGACTCGGTGGAGTAAAGCCGCTCCAATGGAACCAACCCATCATCACGAACTTTATTGCGTAATTGAGGGTTTCGCATGTCGGGGCTGGGGTTTGAGGATGAGTGTCTTGCAGTAAGATCCTTGTAATCGGCATACTGCACTTATAGCAACCCTTGAAAGAGTAACCCTAAGCCCTACACCCGGCCCTTGTTGTAGCAACCCTCACCCTCATAGTATCCTGCATGGTAGGCGGGGCTGCTGGTACCGGACTTCAAGTTTGGCGTCGGCATTGAGAAGCCAAGAGCCCAGGACGCCCCCAAACTCCGAACCGCACCGAAGCCTCAATAACTGGGGCTCCGTTTTCGGGGGACTCACAAGAAGGGTTCAGGGTTTAGGGTTTAGGGCTGCCGTAACCCTCACTCTGTCCTCACTTTCGGTTCCATTGCGCTCGAAATCGTCGCCTCAGCAGCAATGGTCACAGTTTAGGGCTGGCGTTTAGGGTTTAGAGTTTTGGGGTGGGGATTTTGATGTATCAGAATATTAGGGGCTTAGGGGCAGAATGCAAATAGGGTTGAGTGCTTAGGGTTTAAGGATTTTGATACATCGTCATTTTAGGGATTCTGGGTTTCGAGTAGAACGTGGGCTTTGGTGCTTGGGGTCAAGGGTTCTCGGGGTTTTATTGTAATGTAGACTTCTGGTTCATCAAGCCATAAACTTCTAATTAATCATGCCGCTCCAGTTTAGGTATATCAGAACCCGAAACCCTACATGCTTCTTCTTATTATTATAGACTTAAACATGGATGTTAAGATATCCTCAACACAGCCTCGATGTCAAGGGGTACTTTTTCATCGGGGGTCTACATCAACGTTCAGGGTTGAGGGTGCGTGCCTCCCTGGGTGCCTTGAAAGGGACTATACCTGCTGTTGCAAGGGCCTTATAAGGGCTACGATAAGGCTTACTATAAGCCTTACCATGGCTTTGGGTTTTAATCACGGCTCAAAAGGTTTTGGTTCTGGTGGAGCCTCTCTCTCTCTCTCTCTGCCTTTCCATCTCTCTCACTCTCTCTCTCTCTCTCTGTTTCTCTCTCTCTCTCTCTCTCTCTCTCTCTCTCTCTCTCTCTCTCTCCATATAAATATATGTCTATATGTATGCATGTGTGTCTATGGAATGTTAGAGGCTTTCGAGGGTTCCATAGAATTTTGTAGAGTCGTAGAAAGTGTTAGAGGCATAGCGATTGGAGCTTAAGATCTTATCGGCTCTAGAGGGCCTTTGGTATAGGGTTTTGTAAAGTGGGGCACATCAATACTCAAGATGGAAGTTCGGGTTATAGTCTAGCAAATATTAGATGAAGGGTTTGAAGATCACTCATTCTTCCGGCCTCTATGATAACTAGTACACTTTACTTCTTCAGTTTCAGGTTTCGGGATTCGAAAGTTTATTGCCCCTCAGGGGGGATGCTGTATGTTATACGTTGGGCCTTCACACTTAGAAAAATGCAGGGGCCTTAATGATTAGAGTAGGGCTTAGGGGTACATTATTATACCATAATCGCAATAAGGACCCCCAAAACCCTATTCAAATCATTAAGACTGAGAGACCAACCTGAAAGCAGAGATGATCGTGGAGTTTCCGAAAATGTGGGACCTAATATAGCACCCTAAATTGTAGGATCCTTATTATCAGGACCCAACATCTGGTATAGATTCAGGGGGCCCTCCTCAAGAATACAAATTCCTGAATACTAAGCCCGCCCGGATTGGGGCTTCGGGCTTGTCTTGCCTGTTGACTTATGCTTTGGGATTGATGTGGCCCGGGCTGTACTCAACGACCCTCGTTCCCGTGCCCGCAACCCCCGAAAACAGCGAAAGCATCAAACCCTAAACCCTAAACCCTAAACCCAACCCTAAACTCTGAAGGCCCTGTGAATTATCCCTCTCAGCCCAACCTTGAAACACTACTGAAACCTCAAAAGGTACTCTTTCAACAGAACCCCAAATCCCTAAACCCTAAAGCCCCTTAAACCCTAAACCCCTAAACCCCAAAATCCCTAAACCCTAAACCACCAAATCCCTAAACCCTAAAGCCCCTTAAACCCTAAACCCCTAACCCCCAAATCCCGAAACCCTAAACCCCCAAATCCCTAAACCCTAAACCCCACACCGTGCCTTCTACCTCCGTGGCCGTGGAGTTCCGCATGCGGCCACTAGCCATGGAGTCCCGAAATCGGGGAGCCAGGCCTTTCAATAAACTACGGGGTCTAGGGTTTAGGGTTTGTGGTTTGTTTGGGGTTTGGGGTTGGGGGTTTAGGGTTTGGGGTTTGAGTTTTGGGGTTTAGGGTTTAGGGTTGAAAGTACAGGGTTTAGGGTTGAGGGTTTGAAGTGCAGGGTTTAGGGTACCCAGACCTTCCAAGTCCCGTAATTAAGGAAGATGCCCTAAATCATATATTAGGGATCCTACATTACTTGAGGCATCTTCCATGATTAAGGGATGGGCAGGTCGAAGGCCTTCATAAAGGATATAAGGATCTGGGCGCCTTCGTGCTAAAAGCTAGGGAATAATATTCACAATAGCTTAACCCGCCTTCACGATTAGAATAGGGTTTGAGGGTATGTTATTCTACAACTATCATAAGGAACCCTTAGGAACAAGATTGGATTTATTAAGGTCTCTCACAGTAATGTTGTAGGGACTTAAGTGACTTAAGCGGCGCTTGTCGAGTTGTTGCGGTTGTCTTCAAAAAGGATCCACAAGGGTTCACCCTAAACCCTGAACCTCCAAACGCTTAGCCCTAAACCCCTAACCCTCAGCCAAATTCTTGCAGAGCAAGGGTATGTGGAGTCTTGTTAACTGCTGCTATATACTAGGTCTGCAGTTACTAGTTGAGAAGGGGTTGGCTACGGGTCTGCATGGGTTACCGACGGGTTCTATGCAAGCTCTTTCAGGAGTTGCCCTGGGATTTATGGATATAGTTCAGTCAACGGCTTCGCGTAAAGGTTCTTCAAGGGTTAACTACAAGGATTGTGGTACGGGTCCGATGAGAGCTTAGGGCTTACGATGAAGGGTTGACACTTTGGGTTAGGGGTTTCAGCAAGGCCTTCCAGACGTACTTGCAAATTCTTCTTGTCAAGGTTGTGTGTCGAGGCTTTCGGGTATGTTTGCGGTATGAGATCCCTTAGAGAATCCCTTGAAGGAACCCTTACAGAACCTGAATCGCGCCCCTCCAGGCCCTTCAGCCAAGCCTGCGCTGCCCGTGCCATCGCCACGCTGGCCCTGCTGTCCTGGTGAGAAGCAAGAAGCCCCAGCTCCAAAACACCGAACTTCAAAACCCCTCAATTAAGGAATATACCTCTACTAATAATAGTAGGATCCCTAACATGAACGAAGGAATATTCCTCAATTCAAGAAACCGAAAGCCCTGAAAAGCCCGAAAGTGCTGACGCCACACAACATCCTTAATCATAGAATCCTTCCAAGGCCCAATTGAAACCCACGTAACACCCCCTTATCAAATCCTTACGAGCCACTCTCGGTTTGAGAACCCCCCCCGAAAAATCCTTTATCGGGTCTTTGTGACCTATAAACCCTTACTAAAGCCGAGACTGCTCCCTGGCCCCAAGGCAAACTAACCCGAAACCTCAGCCGGAAGGTCCCCCAAAAATGCTAAACTCGAGACCCAGGACCCCAAACCCGATCCTTCGAGACCCCAAACTTTACAAACCCTTGTCCCAGGCTCCCAGATTTGAGGGGTGGAAGTTTACAAGGACCCCCAAGGTATGTGGAATAAAAGCATTCTATAAGTTTTGGGCCATTATTTTACTTGCTTTAGGGGGGTTTAGGTAACTGGATCCCCAAGGTATGAGGAATCCCAGCGTTTATGGGTTTTGGGCCATTCTTGTACTGCGTCATGTTTGTCGTGTTTTTGTTGTTGTTGTTGTTGTTTTTTATTTGGGGGGGGGGGGGGGGGTGTGGCAGGTAGGGTTTATGCGGTTTAGGGTGGAGGTAAGACGTAGGGAGTCTCCCCACAGGTACCTTGATTTAGTTCACTGAGAATCCCGAGAGATGGATTTCGGGAGGAAATCGCAGCCGTACGGCCGATACCCCTCAGCCCCGAGCACCCCCAAGAAGCACGATAGCCCCTAGGGTGCCTCGTCTTAATGGCCCCCGAAACCCTTCTCATTGTCAAGGCCCCTGTATAGTACTGCAAAACTGACAGTCTAGAGACCCTGAACCCCAAACGCCAAACCCTACACCTTGAAGCTCGAAGCCCCTGAAGCTTACGTTCCTAGGTCCTAGGGATCGCCGGAGGACGTTACTAAGAACAACACGCACAGAGATCGTAATCCCTGAACCTACCACGCCCACCCCTTCCTCCCGAAGCTCTCCCGAGACCCCTTAGTGAAGCCATGCTGATCCGATCCCAGAACCCTGAACCCTATACAAGGAATGCTCTTTGAACACTGCACGATGCAGGGAAAAAAACACTTGTGGGAGAAAAGCCCTGCATCCCGGAAACAAAGCGGTAGAGCCCTATACAACCCCTGATCTAAACCCTATAATCCCTAGAGCCTAAACCCGATGTAACCCCTGATCTAAACCCGAACCCCTAAAGCCGAAACCCTGAAGCCTAAACCTAGACCCTGAACCCTGAACCCTGACCCCTAAAGCCTAACCCCTAAACCCTAAAACCCTAGTTAACCCCACAAGCCTAAACCCAATCCTCCTTAACCCTACCACCCTAAACCCCCAAACCCTAGCCCCTATCTCCTAAAGCCTTAAACCCTAACCTCTAAACCCCAACCCCTAAATCCTCAACCATCGGCCCGCACAACAAAAAAATCTCCGGGCTCGCCTGGGCTGGGAGCCGCTAGGAGAGAACCCCGGGTGGGCCGCTCGTAGGCTTCCAACCTTGGCTTCTTCTACTTGGAGGTTCCTGTACCAGAACCCTCCTTGTACCAACAAATAGGGGTATATGGTCCCAAATAAGGGGCGAGGGTCTAGGTAAGGTTTCCTTTCAAAGCTGTGTAAAATCAGTACGGACGACCCTTTGGGATTTAGGGTTGCTCTAAAGGTTTCTCTTCTCGCCTTTTCGAAAGGCTACTATAGGCCTAGGCTATAAGGGTATACAAGCTCGCCACCTACCACAAGGGTTAAAGAGTGTCGGGTGTAGCAAAGGGGTCCTGGCGGTAGCCATCTTCCAAAGCGGCTGGCGGCTGGCGTCAGACAGTCTACGTTGGCGGCAGTTATCGGCCAGGTGTTAAAAACGGCGCCCTCGACATTGCAGTCTGATGTGTGCCCGCTGTCCTGCCATGCTTTGACTTGAACAGTAACTACGAGTGTGCAGCAGGGTGGCGGAGAACATCATGCGCATGTCGATGTCTACAAGAAGCCGCGCAAGCGCGGAAGTCTCCCTGCGGGATATGTCTACACAAGGTGCTACTTGCATCTGCGAATACAGGTGACGCAGATATGGCTTGGCCATGGCCCACAATTTGTGCGGCGTAGCTACAACGAGCTGGGCGCATCACGGAAAGCCGTTATATATCCCAAGTTCAAACCTTAGTAAACAAGGACAACCAAAAGAACGATGTATATTTGCGTTCCAACCTGTTGGCTTCTCAACCCTGAACCCTAAACGCGCTGAACCCGGGGTCAGAGAAGACACACACAAACGCCACTCCCTCTCATCCAGTTCATGGTGGGGATAGTGTTAACAATCTAAATTTCCGTTCCTTATTGGGTTTAAATGCCAGAGGAATCTAAAGATGCTAATCAACTCTGAGTAATTAACGATGTAGTTAACCATTTAATCAACTCTTAGTAATTAACGATGTAGTTAATCAAAACAACTAGCATCCTACTTCCGAATGCCCAATTACCAAACCTACAGCCTCAACCCCGAACCCTTAACCCTAAATCCGAAACCCTCAAACCCCAAACCGTAAACCCTGAGGCCAAACCCTCAAGCCCCAAACCCTAAACCCCAAAATCCGAAACCCTCAAACCCTGAACAACCCGGAATCTAAATCCTAGACCTGAATCCTGAAGCCTACACCTTAAACCTTGAACCCTAAACTCTCAACCCTAAACCCTGAACCCAAGCCCTAAACCCTGAACCCTAAACCCGCAACCCCAAACCCTGAACCCCAAACCCCAACCCTGAACCCTAAACCCCAAACCGTGAACCCTAAACCCCAAACCCTGAACCAAAAGCCCCAAACCCTAAACCCTAAACCCCAAACCCTAAACCCCAAACCCTGAACCCAAGCCCTAAATACCCTGAAGCTCTCAGAAGCGACCAAGATGCCTGCGGCTGCTGTTAGAGGCGCCTCCTGCCACTCGGCGACTCATTGAAGACTCTTTCGGGGCTTGGGGATTCGGGCTTTGGGATCAGCGCATCGAGTTTCGGGGTTCAAGGTTTAGGTTCGAGGGTTGAGGTTTTGGGGCTTAAGGCATCAGGGTTTAGGATTCTACAGGGCTCTGTAGGGTTCTGTAGGAACTTGGGTGTAGAGCTTAGGGTTTCCGGGTTCAGGGTTTAGGGGTTTAGGGGTTTGGGGGTTAAGGGGTTTAGGGCTTAGGGTTTAGGGTAAAGGGTTTCTGGCTTTAGGGATTTATGTAGGGTTTTTGGGCAGGTGTTGACAACTTTTTGGGTTTCGGCTTCAGGTAAGCCTCGAAGTAGAGTAGAGATAGATCCAAGCAGATGGGCTGCGATACGACGGTTAAGGATTTAGGAGTTTAGAACCCCAAACCCTAAAATACCCTAAACCGTTAAGGGTTCAAAGGCTTGGTACCTGGCCATGGCAAAAACCGCAGGCACTGACTCCTGGCCGCAAGAACCCCAAGCTTCAAAAAGCTGCCTTACGAGTAAAGCCCAAGCCTGGTATCCTTAAGCCGTCGATAACCGTCCCTTCTAACTCTACCTGTCAAACTCGGAAGCTAAAGCCCAAGACCCTCTAGCCCGACGGCCTACTCAAGACCGGAACCCGGCCACCCTAAACCCTGAAGGGTCCAAACACACTCTCCCAGAAAGCCCAAGAACTCTGAAGTAAGGAACATCCCTGAGCTTAAGGGGGCATTGTAAACCCCAACACCCCTACACCCTACACCTTAAGCCCGAAATACTGAAGCTTTATTATGCGCCCTAAGGACCCCAACAAACCACCTCTTTAATGAATTTCTAGGAGGAGATCAGAAGAACTCCCAACAGGGCATATAGGATGCTTGAGGTTTTTGTGTAGGCATCCCAGAAGCACCAAACCCTAACGAACTTCAAGAGACGTTTCGTACCTGTAGGAACCCTGAGGTGAGCCCCACCCTAAACTCTAAACCCTACTTGGAGGTTCATGGGTAGATATAAGTAGGATCACAAATCCCCTAATAAAGGGCTTATAACTATAGCTACCCTACCTACAACCCCACTTATAACTGCCCATAAACCTCCAACTACATTGCATCACCTCACAGAACCCTTCAAGAGCCCCTCGTAGGAAGGAACCCTCAAGCAGCCTGTGGGGGAGGTGGGCATCAGGAACATGGTCGGCGAGTTCACGGGCAAGCTGAAGGTCAGCGACGTGACCTGCGCGTTGAGGGTTTTTGTAGAGGGTTTAGGCTTTAGGGTTTTATTTGTTTTTTTGGAGTGATATGGGGTCTTTGACACCAGGGCCTTTAGGGCTTGATACGGCTTTATAGGGCTGTGTAGGATTGTACAGGGTTGCGACTTCGTGGGGCCATTTCAAAATACGCACCTTAGGTATTAGTTTTATGTCCTGCCATGAGGCTGGCCTACTCATGAAGCTCCATGATCCGTGAAGCAGGATGCAAACAGCCAAGCGCTAGTAAAGCTCTGAACTGCTATGGCTGCTGTCGCTCCTGCTGCTACTTCAACTGCCACTGCTACGGCAGCATATTTACATTCATGATAATATCTACAACAAACATTAGCAATAGACGAACAATGACACTGCCAATCGTGCTAAACATCGTGGCAATACTGACCACCCAACCTTGCCGATGGTCATGGGCGCGTCCTCCGCCTGCACGGATGCAGCTGAAAGAAAAAAAATCGTTGACATGTTCAAGCAAGGTGTTGGGTTTAGGGCAAGTTTAGTCCAGGACAGTGCACTGTGTTTCGCCAAGGCTCTTTTCTGTGCGCATATAACCCGCTTATCTATCTATCTACCAAGCTATCTTGCTAGCTGCCTACCTGTCTATCTACCTACCTACCTCCCTACCTATCTATTTACACACATACATACATGCATGCATACATACATACCTACATGCCTACACACATACACACATACATACGTACCTACATACGTTACATACATGCATACATCTATACATACATGTGTATACATATGTACCAGAAGTTTACAGGATTTGACTACGGTTTGGGCTGCCCTCCTTCCTCCCTCCCCCTAGCATTCACTGGAATGGTTTCTAAAGCCAGACTTCAACCTATTTAAATATATACACTAGGAATAAGGTTGCAGGAAACACATAATCGGAAGCAGCAATCTGGTATGGATCTTGGGAATGCCTTTTTGTGGCACAGAAATCGGGAATAGATTCTAGAAGCACAGAATTCTAGAAACAGCGTTTGCGCACATTGTACAGAAACGCTGTTTAGAAAGTCTGGCTTTTGCCACCCTTCGTTTTCATAACCCTAAACCATAAACCCTAAACTAAGCCGCTAAACCCTTAATTAACAACCCTTAACTACCCTATCGGGCTTGGCTCCCCATTGGCCATACATCACACACATACGACCCTAAAACATCCAAGAAACCAGCATGTGTGTATCGCATTGTATTTGGTTTCCCCCCAACCCCCATCCCACCCTCCCCCCTATTCCACTTGCCCCCACCCCCCCCCCCCCAAGTCTCTCACCTGCCGCCCCCCCTAAAAATAAAGGGTACCCATGTTCCACCTATTTGGTTTTCAGAATGGAATCCAGAAAGAAAGGGAAAAAAGGGTACCACTGGGGAACGCGGTATCCTAAAAACCCCAAACTCTAGACCTAAAGTACCCCTGTAGCAACCCTGAACCCCTATTCCTTAAACCCTAAACCCCCAAACTTTTACAGTACCCGTATAGCAACCGCAAACCCCTAACCCTAAAGCGCACCCTGATAGCACCCCTAAACCCCATAACCACCCTTAAAGTAACCCTCCGAGGATTCTGATGGGAGGCCACAAGGGGGTTTAAGATTCTTGGGGTCAGGATTCCTTAATATGAACCCTATTCTGGGAACCCTAATCCCTACTAAACCCCCATACCCAGAGAGCCCAATACCCCTTAATTAAGGAATATACCTTAAATTATAGGGGCCTAATACCCTAAAAGCAACCCTTGGAGGATCTCAAGAGGCAGCCTCCGAGCCGATAGAGGCATCTAAATCCCCAAGCGGCTTGGGCGAGCTACCGCTCCAGCTGGCCTTGCCGGGCTCTCAAGGAAAAACCGTTTTAAGGGTTCCCTTTCAAGGGTCCCGTTAAAAGGGGGTTCCTTTACTGTAGTTTGGGGGGGAGCCTTGAGACATGTTGAGGGTGTTTTCTCCTTTTGGGGGGTTGTTGGGTTTAGGGTTTGTTGTTTGGCTTCGGATTCAGGGTTCTTGCGCTTCTAGGGCTTGGGTTTCTGGCCTGGGATGTGCGGGTTAGGGTATCGGAGCTTTTACATGCTTTCACCATCGGGGTTGGATTTCGGAACTAAACAACTTTATGAGGACTTCTCTAAGGGTTAGGGTTTAGGGCTCAGGGTTTAGAGGGTTCTAAAAAGCTCTTGCGAGGTTTAGGTATTCATAAACTGGTCACAAAAATCGTCCATGAAGGCTCGCACTTGGATCTGACACGACTTTGAGCAGGTTCTGTAAGGTTTTCTGGGAGTTCCATACGGGCAGTTGTCAAAATTATGGCTACCCTACATAGTAGGCGCCGTACCCCAAAAAGGGACCATAATTTTGACAACTACCCATACAGATTCCATCTAAGGACCCCCTAGGGGCTCTGGGGACGTTTGAGGCCTACGACTTCCAGGTTTTGAGGTCTGCAGGTTGACGTCACCTGAAAGACCAAATGACCCTTAAAAGTAGTGGCCCTATACCCATATACTATGAATCCCTATATGGTATATGAACCTTAAACCCTTTTAGGGGTCATTTCGTCCTTAAGGCAGGGTTAAAAAAGGGAATTAGAAAGCGCGAGGCGCTTTGATTGAGGAATCTACGACGGTTCAGGGATCTGGGGGTTTAGGGACCCATGTACGTACACAGTAGTTTCCATCATAGGGCATACTAATTATGACGATTATGGTTCGGGGAAGTATCCCCTACCTAAACCTCTAAACCCCTAAATCCTAAAGAACTAAACCCACTAAACCTCTAAATCCTGCAGAACTAAACCCATACACCCCTAAAGCTCCTGAAACCCCTAAACCCCACACACGGGCTTCGGTTGCGGCTGAAGCTTCTCGGGCTGCTCTGAAGGTCAACCCTGAGTCGACCCAGGTGCCCGCCCACGGCCCGAAAGACTAAGCAGCCAAGAAGGGGTCTGAAGACTTGGGGTTTAGAGGATCATGGGACTTAGTATTTCGGGTGATAAGTTATAAGTACCCTAATTGGGGCTATAGGTAATTATAGGTATAGTTACCCTTATTATAACCCCTGTTACTAAGTCCCATGACCCTTTAAGTAGGATTATGGAGACTACGGTTTAGGAAAGCGCTAAATCCTCAACCTCCGGCACCACGCCCCCACAAACAGCCTAGAGACCTCTTGAACAAACCTCTCAACAACTCAACACCCTGGATAAAACCATAAAACCATAACCCCCCCTGCCACCCCCCGGAAAAAGGCAACACCTACAACTGGAACACTTCAGACAACCCAAACCAAAACCCTGCAAAGCCCTTGCATCAAGAAGTGCATCCAAGCTGCGCTGGGTATGATCATTGCCAAAACGGGCCTTCGAGGTTGGAGGAGGTTGGGTTGGGTACTGTCCCCATACAGTAACAGTCTCTCAGAGGGCTTCTATTCATGCCTTGTATATTCCGCTACATTGTAAGTGTTGTTCAACTGCTACTATACTATACATTGTAAACCTTATTTAAATGCAACTGCATTGTTAATATTCTTCGACTTTTACTCGACTAGACGTATTATTCAACTGTTCCCATATTGCCAGAAACTTATTCAATTGTGACTATACATTAATTTTCAACATTTAAAGATTGTAAGAACTATGACAGTAACTATGATTCAAGGGTACTGAAGCGTTCCTTTAAATGGATCAAAGCGTGATGGGCCAAGCATGACATGTTGAACCGTTTTGTTTCATAGAGGGGCCTTTATAATTAGAATAGGGTTTGAGCGCCTTCCACGTTGGAAGAACTCGAGTGATCAGCCGTCGAGGATTCGACATGAAATACTCAAAGGTCAAGAGCTATGGGTACATAGGGTTTAGGGCTTAGGGTTTACAGTTTAAGGTTTAGGGCTTAGGGTTTACCGCTACTTTGAGGGACAGTGGACTTGGGAAGCGGACCATAAACTACCAGGACCCCGAAGTGGACTCTAACGGAGCCCTTCTGGTCCTTTACAGTTGGAATTTGGGGGAGAGTAAAGGGTAGTTGGGGGGTCCAGGAACTTAAAGGGTCATGGGACTTAGTAACTAGGGTTACAATTGAGGCAACTATACCTATAATCACTTATAACCCCAATTAGGGTACTTATAACCCTTACTACGTCCCTTTTGATCCTCCAAATAGGGTATATTTTGGAGCGCAAAGTCGGGTGTTCAGCGCATTCTTCTGGCAAAACCCTTCGTCTTCTTTGGCACCCTAAACCCTAAACCCTAAACCCTAAACCCTAAACCCTAAACCCTAAACCCTAAACCCTAAACCCTAAACCCTAAACCCTAAACTTTTTGGGCAACCCATCGAAGCCCCTGGCAGAACCCTCGTTCACAAGCCCTTATAGTTCTCCAGCATCCATAATTTAATCCTTAGAATAGCACTTTAAAGGGTCATATTATACCGGAAATGAGTGCACTGTAGGTATAATGACGAGCGCCAAGGAATAAAACTGCAATTGCTACGATATTCAGGCTTCTATTTCTACGCTATCCCGAGAGCGAACACTTGAAACTCCCGTCGTGCATGCAGCAAAGACGCTTCGACGGCCCACCAAGATCCGTTAGATCCGCCATGTTGCAGTGGAGCACGTGGTCTCGGGTTTGGGGTCGTAGAGTTAGGGATTCAGGGGTCTGGAGTAAGGCTTTAGGATTTAAGCTCCTCAGGGTTTCAGGTCTACGGGTGTGGGGTGTAGGCCTGAGGGCTCGATCATTTTGAGGCTTTGAGGGTCGAGGGTTCATGCTGCGCCGAAACTGAGGTCAGCCATAAGGGCATCGCATGCTGTGCTGCTTCAGTGTGCTATTTCTACTTGCCATAGTTCATAAGCTTGACATGCGGTTGCTGCATATCCTAAACCTCGAACCCTAAACCCTGAGCTTTAAAACCGCTTAAAACGCCCAAAAAAATCGTGGAAGACCTCAACTCGCTTCGCCATCTCCCGAAGCCTGGCCTACGACGGCGCCCAAAAGCCCTGAACCCTTCGTGGGGGTCTCGGGGTCTTCCCGAGACGCTGGGAGCCGGCGGAAGTTCAGATTTAAGGTTGAGCCAACAGTCAAAGGGGAAAAGGAGGGACCCTTAATGGGGACCCCTAAACTATAATGGGCTGTATAATGGGTATATATATATATATATATATAATATAATAGCTATACTAAGGGTATATACGTAGGGGTCCTTGTTGAGGGTCCCTGTACCCAAAAAGGGACCCTAACTTTGACAACTACCCAGATTCAGGACACGACATTTTTCGGGAGGCTGCGGCCCGGGCCTGTTTGATATTTGGGTACGTCTCTGAAGTCTGGGGTCCCCTTTTTTGCTACCTGAAAGGAACCTCCAAGGGACCCTCATTTAGAGAACTGCCTGCCCTCTTTGGGGCAGAGGGTTTAGAGTTTCGATGGGCTTCGCGTTTACGGTTTAGGGGTTCGGTTTAGGGCTTGGTCTATGGAACGGCCAGCTTCAATCAGAAAAGCATAACAACAGGCCTCAGAGGCCTCATTGTGTTTCGAAACTTTCGCCCCCAATCCCTTGTCACAGCTCCTATGCCGGGAATTCATGGTGACCAAGCCGCTCCGACCCTAAACCCTAACCCCCCAAACCCCATACGTGCCACCACAGCTATGAAGTAGGTAAAAAGCCGCCGAAGCGTCCGCATCTAAGATAGGGCGGTTCGGGGGTATGTCATACTGGAACTGTACTAAGGAACCCCCAAAAAACCATATTCTATTTATTAAGGTCCCTATGTTTGGCTTCCCAGGGTGGCGACAAGGATTCCCACAAAGGTTCGCAGGATTCTTTGGTGCGTTCCGATAAGGATTCCGTTAAGGCTTCCTAGGCTTCCTCTACGGGTTCCCATAGAGACTCCAGGGTTTCTAGAGTTCCGATCAGGGTTCCTTTCACCAGCTCTTCAGGGGCTCCTTTACAGGATCTATAGGGCTCCTTTCAAGGGTGGTGCTTATTTAGGGCTTTGGAGTCTAGGGTTTAGCGGTTTAGGATTTTTGTGGCGGCGCTCTTTGATCCAGCGCACTGCGATGCGTCGTCCGAACTACTGTGGGCCTGAGCGTGGACCCGAAGCCCTAGTACAGGGGCCTTAACAATTCGAATAGGGTCTGGGGGTATGTAGCAGCAAAACTATGTTAAAGAACCATAATCAGGAATATCATTGGTAAGTATTCCGGCCTCCGCCAAATTACACCCCCAAACTTTGAACCTTGGACCCGAGGAACGTGACTTCGGGTTGAGGGTGGAAGGAGGGATCCTCACCCATAAACCGAAATATTGTCTGAAATCGAAAAATTCGCATCTCTGACACGGAAGTCCGAAGCTGGTCACGGTCAAGAACTCTTCAGTTCTAAGTACTAAAAAGGCTTTCATGCCTAAAATAATATAGTGTAACCGTCGGAAATGATACTAGTACTTATTTAGACTTCTTTGTTACATGCACACTGTCGCAATGCCACCTGTGATGTAGATGCCTTTAGGGTTTAATGCTCGGGCATGGAGGTTGGGGGCGCAGGCTTCACGATCCAAACTCTAAACCGTCAACCCGAAACCCTGAACATACTAAGGCTCCTGTATTAAAGGATGTCACTGTTTCGGTTGCAAGGTCTAGGAGCCTGATTCGAGGGTTGTTTGGAGAGTTCTCTCCATTCGGGTTCTCTTATGGTCCTTTTTTATGAGCGTGCTGCTTTCTTTTGAGTAAATTAGAGAACTGCCCTTTTCAGGTATTGCTTTTGTGGTCCTGGGTTTTGGGCTTACGTTTTGTTTTAAGGTTTAGGAGGGTTGGTTTCGAAAGTTCAGGTGTATCGGGGCTAGGGTATAAGAGCCGCATACAGCCCAGAGAGACTCTGCGTTGAAACTGCCCGCGAGTCTGCAAGTAACGCTGCACCCGCGTGTCCAAATTCTCAGTCCTCTGGTCTGCAGCAAAAACACGTAAACAAAAACTCAACCCCTAGACTCCCTAGACCGCTAACCCAATATCCTCCAACCCTCAACCCCTTAAACAAAAATCCCATGCCCCGAACCCCAACACCCGACGCCTCTAAACCTTTGAACCTCTAAACCCTTTAAGCGCTAAGCCTCTACCTAGGCCTAGACTTGCAATCGCAGCAAGTCTGCCAAAAATCTGCATGTCCGACAAGCCGCATGCTCTCTCGGCCCAAGGACGGATTTGGAACGACAAGTGCATTGGGCAGATACCAAAAGGGGCAGTATGTACAATGCCGAAGCTTGCAGCACAGCCGGGTGTCAAACGAAATGTTATCCATTATATAAAACAAAGGCATCTTCGAGACGACCACCCCGTAGGGTCTGGCGCGCCTGTTATTGTCGATTACCGGAGCTCGCCCAAACTCCTAAGCCCTTCCTTAAGCTTGAAGCTGGAGGCCACAAGAATTACATTAAAATCACGCAAGACCTATTTGCCATCTCCAAGTTAGTTCTTTTGTGTCGAAGCATGGGGTCTGAGGCTTAGGGTGTGGAAGTTTGTGGGTATCGAGTGTAGAGTATTCAGATGTGGTCCCTTTGAATTGCTGCTAAGCTGCGAGCCGCACCGCCTAACTGTTAAGCCGATGCACATACGCAGCTCCCAACACATTTCCGACGAGGCTGCGAGGACCGCGGCGGTTGAACCACATCGCCGGGGCTCAGCCGCAGCCCCACCAGCCTTGGCCGCTTTAGAGAGGAGATCATCGCAGCTCCGGCCAGGTTCTGCCCTCCACAATGGTGCCGATCCAGAGCTTCAAGGCAGGGCGGAACCACATGGTCACCAGCCTTGGCCGCTTTAGGGAGGAGATCATCGCAGCTCCGGCCAGGTTGTGCCCTCCGCAATGGTGCCGATCCAGAGCTTCAAGGCAGGGCGGAACCACATGGTCACCAGCCTTGGCAGCTTTAGAGAGGAGATCATCGCAGCTCCGGCCAGGTTGTGCCCTCCGCAATGGTGCCGATCCAGAGCTTCAAGGCAGGGTGGAACCACATGGTCACCAGCCTTGGCCGCTTTAGAGAGGAGATCATTGCAGCCGGCTAGGTTGTGCCCTCCGCAATGGCCGATCCAGAGCTTCAAGGCAGGGCGGAACCACATGGTCACCAGCCTCGGCAGCTTTAGACTGTAGAAAAACCAAAAACCCCCCCCTTGGCCCCCCGGTCAGCGCAACTGCAACGGCAAAGCCAATCGCGGCGCGCTGAGTTCCCCGCGATGTTGGGGGACAAAGGGTTGACATGGCCTCAGTGGTGATGCACATTGCACCGAGGCACAAGTCTCAGGACCTGGCTGGATACGAGATGATGTGGGGGCAACACCATGGCGCAAATTTGAGAATTACGGGCTGCAGCAAAGATCTCGGGCTTGGCGACTTCCCTTGCAAGCCCGAGATCTTTGTCCCAGCTTTCCCGAGCAACGGTTTTCGCGACCTCAGGCCCCCATGTCATGTTCGATCACCCGTGACTCGGTCGCGATGGGGGTGAGAGGGTGAGGGGGGTGAAGGGGTGTGAGGGGTGTGAGGGGGGTGAGGGGGGTGAGGGGGGAGGGGGTGGGGAGGCAGGAGGGTGAGGGTGAAGGTGAGAGAGTGCGAACTTGTGCCTGGTTTGCCACACCCGCACAAGCTCACACCCACACCCACACACACGCACGCACAAAAAAAAACAACGTGCAAATAAATGCATCATTACACTCAAATAAATGAACATACTACAGTAAAAATGTGTATGTGTGTTTTTAGTGCACACACGATCCCCGAAATGCCAGTGGGCCTGGAGTTTGCTTTTGGAGGGGGGTGAGGGGTTTTCTGAGCCAATGTTCAGGTCTGGCTTGTTGAATTGAAACTTATGTCGCAGTGTCGCACACCCTAAACCCTACGCCAGAAACCCCTAAATAACCCATTGCACCTACAGTCCTAAGTCGCTAGAAACTAAACCCGAAAACCACCATAAAACCCTAAAGAGCAGTATAAAACCCGTGTAGACCCTACAAAGCCCTAGCATACCTCCGTAATTCCTTCTAACTAAATACTAGCCCTTGTATAAAACCCCTCTTAACGAAACCTCCCCTGAATCCGTAAACCCTAAACCCTAATCCCCAAACCCTAATTCCCTAAACCCTCGTAGAACCCCGCTCATAGCACCCTTTCAAGCACCCCGGCCGTGGGCTTAGGCCTTAGGCGTCACATGCCCATAGAGGACGATGTGCTCTAGGCCTCGGCATGAAAGAACTCTTCTAGACTCCAAGAATGACCTAGGAATAAATAGGGTGCCCTTTTTGGTTCAAAGGGGCGCTTTAAGGGAACCTGAACCCTAAAAAAGGGAAAAGGGCCTACTCTGGGTCCTAGAAGAATTCTCGGGCTTGGGTTCAGGGGTTTAGGACTTATTCAAGGCTTTGGCGCATTCAAGAGATTTTGATAGGGCTTAGAGATTATAAGGCCTCGGCGTGATAAAATTTCAGCACTCTATCTGTAAAACATACCAAAACCTAATATAATATGATATAATATAATATGGTAGAATATCTTAAAATATAGCAAACAAATTATACTATAGTATCACAAAAATGTAATACAATGCTATATTTTATAGTAAATATATAATA